TATGTTGTCCAGTGAGATGGCGACTTTAACCAAACAACAGTGCATCATAACAGGGTTTCTGGATGAAATCAAACAGCCCAAAGAGTTGAACATGGAACAAGAAAAGAACATTTTATCTGGAAAATATATAAGTGTCTGATCAGGAGTAGTATTGGTAGATAAATTGCATTATAATCTTGGGACTAGTGATCAAACCGTGTAACCATCTTCAGACCAAATCAGAAGGCAGTATGGAGCATAAGAAGACAACACAGGAACAGATAACTGGATTCTAAGAGTATAAAAACATTGATAACAGAGAAAAGTATTACGCGTTTCCATATTTGCAACAACAAATGCAAAGTTAAAGTGTTTGGTGTCCATACTATATGTAGGCAGATTTTCAAATCTTGAGGTAAACGTAATAATCCTAGAAAACAGATGTAAACTGCTGAAAACTGTTTAAAGAGACAGAAGCTGAAACAAAGTATTTATAATGATATTTTAATACACCAGAGTCAAAAACACAAGGCTATTTTTGATCTGAAAATCATCAAATCAAATCACATTTTATTTCTATAGCGCCAAATCACAACAGTCGTTATCCCAAGATGCTTTCCAAAATTGAGCAAGTCTAGACCACGCTCACTGTTTGATGAATTACCCAGACCCAACTTTAAGATGGGACAGATTTAATTCAACTCATCTAACATGAGTGACAGTGGCAAGGAAAAACTTCCTTTTAACAGGCAGAAACCCTGAGGAGGACCAAACTTATGTTAAACAGCCACCTCACTGCTGCTGAGTTGAGGAGGATTCCAGAGAGATAGAGCTATAAATTATGTAGAGCTATTAAAGAAGTATAGGTTCTGAAAAAAAGCTTTCAGTTTTTACATGAAACTTAAAATTAAATACAATTTCCTAAAATAATCCACATGCCCAATTTAAGTTAAGGCAGTTCAGGTTGCTTCTCTGATCCGTCCCTTCAAAATAGCATAAAGGCCATAACCATAACCATAGCTTTTTTTCCCTTAAACTTGCAACTCCAGTTTTTTTATATTACAACTGAGCGACAACTATTTCGAGTTCGAGTTAAATCCAGTGATATTTTGACATAATTCCCCAAATTTCAGTTTTTCTTCCTTTATGAAGCCTAACTTAACAAGCATACTCCTGTTTATGACTTACTAACTCTGTAGCTGTAAGATTGCCAGCCTGCACCAATTGAAAGATGTGAGGCGACTTTTACATCTCTCTGGTGTGGCTGTCTTCAAAAATGATAAAAATTTCTTTCCAATTACAGTATTTGTTTTTATTATTTCTACGTGTAAAACTGACAACATTTGTCTTTTGAGGAGACCTGCTTATGATTTTCCCTGTAAGACCACCGAATAGCCTTTTTTCTTTCTTTTTTTGGCTCTATCTTGCAGCTGAAATTCTGACAAGTCTCTCTGTGTGATTTATAGGGATGGGACTGTTTGTCAGTCGAGTAGAAGCTCACATACTGAGCTCTGTGACCCATAGTGGAGCAGTTCCCAGTATGCTTGGAGTGATGAGTTCCTTTACTACAGAGATGATTCCCTGCACGGTTCCTTTTCATCCCCAATGAAAAGAGAGCAGGCACTTCTCTGTCCTTGCTGGGTGGACACCGTAATTTTGAGTGCTCTTAACCTTGCCTGGCTTTGTTGAGATCGGGGGTCTTTCCTTCACTTCACTTTAACACACTGAGAGAAAATGGAGTGTTTAGAATTCAGCAGCAACAGCGACTGTGTGGACTTCATGAATCCCGAGGTTTTCAAAAAAACTGCCCCCTAGCAAATTATCAGCCCCCGCACACAAGAAAGGTAGATAAAAGTGCCCCAGTGTAACCTGAATATGTCCTATCAGCTTTGATTTGAAAGCCAGTCATGGGGCATTGAGGTCCCCCAGTCTATTTTCACCTGAGGAACAGAGAGGATTTCACTTCCTGGGAGAGAATAATACAAGCAGAGAGGAGCAACTTTCTGAATGTCTGCTGTGCAGTTGTGTTGAACTGTGGCTCCTGAAAAGTTTGATACTATTTGATCAAATCGGGTAAGAACAACGGCTGAGAGACTGTTTTGAAATATGACCTGATAAAGCAGCAGATATTTCCACAAGTGCGCTTTAATATCTTTTCTTTTATTATTATCAAAGCTGTACATTTGGATTAACTGCACACTGAGGCCCTGACTGAGAAGCCAATATAAGACTGATGATCTACAATTATTAAGAAGCCCTTTAGGAAACCATGCTTCCTTATAGTACATGCCTCACCCCTGCACTGTTTACACAGTACTGCTGGGTGTGTGTTTGTCAGGTAGAAGTTTGAGCGGCAGGTTCCACACTCACTCAGCATCTGGGAATGAGCCGGATGCCGATTGCACTTCACAAAGTAGCACTTCCTTCCTCAACACACTCCAGACTATGCGTTGAACTGCTGCCTGGCAACCGTCTGGACAAGGCCCAAACTGTTGTGTTTGTGTGTGTGGTTTTAGTGAGTGCGTACATGGTCAGGATAACACTATGGGATCACTACTGAGTTTGATGCAGGTATGCATCAACAACAGACTCTTAGAGGCCATAAATTTAACATCATTGCCAGGTGTGAGCTGTGTTTGGCTGTTGCACACGTGGGTGTGTGTGTGTGTGTGTGTGAGAGTGAATGCGTGTGTCTGTATTCAACACCACTCTTGTTAGGAAATTCCACGGCACATTATTGGGTTGTCTTGGTGATTGTATGGCTCCATTCCCAGACTGGATCCCAAGGGATTAAAATAAAAGAAAAACTTCTGAATGATCAGTCATCAGTTAACTGGCTCAACGAGAGTGACACCTCCACTGTTAAAAGCCAAGATTAATTGAAGAAAGCAACAACATTAAAAATGCATATCTAAGAATATCAAAGGCCTACATAAATTAACAGAAATAGAGTATTTTGGCTCAGTTAAGTTCGTAAAACATTTATGACTCCAGCCTGTCCAGTGAAATTTGTGTTTTGCATTTATAATAAGAATTGATGACATGAATAATAAACTCCCTCACGCTCTATGCATCTTCAAAAGCAGCTTTTCACCACTTTTCACTTTAACTCTCCTTTTTATCTAAGCAGCCTCTCATCAATTTACAACCCCATTGCTGTCAGATTTGGGGAACAATGTAAAATGTTAATAAATACAGATTTTGATGGTTTCCGAACAATTTAAACTCAATATTAAATTGATGTTAGTGTAAAGACGCTGAAGCAGAAAAGTGTTATTTTTCTAAATGGAGGCTTATTTTAAATTTAACACATGGAGAATGTTTCTAAAAAAGATTGGGACAGCAACAACAAAATACTGAACAAGTTTTTTAATGCTAAATAGGAAAAATACAGAGGTGCACATCTCTGAACTGATAAGGTTAATTTGCTACAAGTTACCAATGTGATGACCGTAAAAATGACCAAATATGTAAAGGCAGAGAGGCTAAGTCTCTCAGAAGCAGAGATGGAAAGAGGATGACCACTCTGTGATAGACTGGGTCACTTCAATCATTTCAGAATAATGGTCCTCATTAAAAAATCCTAAAATTTATGAGTATTTCACATCGTCCACACACAGTACATGATTTTATTAAAAGACTCAGAGAATCAGAAGAAAAATCTCTGTAAGAGATAATGGTACTGAATAGTTGTAATGATCCCGAGGCAATACTTAATCAAATAGCAGACATGACTTGGTAGTAAAAATTACGGCATGAGTGCAAACTCACTTCCAAAAACTTTATTTCTGCACCCATAAATGCAGTTTAAAACTGTACCATGCAAAGAGGAATACATTTATAAACATGATCCAGTAATGATGGCAACCTCTCTTGGCCCTGAAACTTTCTGGTGGTCTGATGAGTCAAAATGTGACATTGTTCTTGGAAATCATGAACTCCATGTACTCTGCTTAAAAGAGGACAGAAACCACCTGGCTTGTTATTAGTGCACAGTTCAAGAGCCATCATGTGCGATGGTATGTAGTTGCATAGGCACCCATCATTTGGTTAGCTAACACATCTGGGAAGGCGCCATTAATGCTAAACAACATATACAGGTTTGAACAACATATGCTGCTGTCCAGTTTATTCGCTTTTTGCGGGAAAGCAAGGTGGTTTGGTGTTCTGCAGTAATATAACAGCATGGCTTTATCATAGAGGAGTGTCGTCTAACTGCAGAGATGAAAACCATGACAAAGGACATCCTGAACGATTGTGCCGCTGAATACCTTCGCTGGCGAAGAATGAGACAACATTTCACTTTCAAAACTCTAGAAACTGGTCAACTCAGTTTGAAAATATTTACAATTTGTTGTTGAAGATAAGGTGGTGCAACACAAAGGTAAACATACCCCTGGTGAAAAGTTTTAAAGTTAGCATTTTATTTTTGATAAAAAATTTTGTGTGCTTAGTTTAAATATTTGATGTGCTGCCTTTGCACAGGATGCAATTAAAAATGGGTTCAGATTGTTTGCAACCATCAAATTTTAATTTGATGAAATAATTACTAATATTTCACACTGTCCCAACTTTTTTGGAACTGATGTTGTAATTATGACTACGAGAGAAAAGCGCTGCTGGACAAAGTCCAAGCTGCTGCCTTGGAGATGGCTGGGGAAGCCTCAGCATCAGGCCAAAGGTGATGCATCACGGTCATCCTCACAGAGAGGCGGCAATGGAGCACAAGTAAACACTCTTAAATCATCATCCTGGGACAGATGGGGGAGGTCACATGACCCCACAACCCCACCAACTCCTCTGTCTCTCCTTCAACACACACTATCAACTGTCGTAGCAAAGAGACAAACGTGTCTGCAAAATACCAAGAAATAAGTTGTCTTCCTTTCTTTAAACGACTATCAGGTAAAGGAACAGACATGGCACATAATAATATGACACTACGTGGGAGGTGTGAATCTTATTCTTTAAGAGCTAGACTGAATTATGACAGAGAATTTCTCTGACGGGTTTTCATGTCGCACCTTTTCAAAGAGTCATTCTTTGTTATAATACAGAGACTACTTATGGTAACATGGAACTAAACCTCTTGATGGGGCCTTTTGCCATTGTATGAAAGTCTTTCATGATGTTCAACAATGCATGTGTCCCCCTTAATTCTGTATTAAGGAGGTCCTTGTGCTTGTTGTTCGTCTTGTCCAAGCAGGCAGCAAAGCATCTCAGAGAACACCATATCCTTGTAAAACAAGAGTCACATAAATAAATGCATGACACTTAGCAGCACAGGAGGTCTTTAGCATCATGTTGTTCCTCTCCCACAGAGATTTAACATACCATATGATCTTAGTGCTTTAAAGTCACTTTGCAGCCATGCAGGGAGCTCAACAACACATAAATATTTTTCAAGGTGAGTGCTGAAAATACATCTCATTTTGAAGCTACTTCTAAAAAAAGAACAGGGAAAAACAGCACACAGAAAACAGATTATAGGGCTGTTTTGAGAAATATGAAAGAGTGAAAAGAGACTGCACCCCTTGATGATAAAAAGCAAGTTTATGCTAAAAAGAAAAAGAAGCTCCCTACCCCCTCCTCTCTTACAGCCTAGTCTCTGCGCCTTCTGCTTACATACACATACACGCGCACACACACTCCTCCCTTAGCCTATATAAGCAGACAGCAGCTGAACTGACCCCCTCCACCCTGCATACTCCTTTTTATTAAACACACAAAAGATGTTTGTGCATCTTTAAAATACACGTGGATATTTTTTCAGTTCCTAAGTTAAACTTTAAGTGAAAGAGGATCTCTTTTGCACGCACACAGTGTGCAATGTGAGCAGAAAGCCCCGCATTGTAGAGAGAAAGGGCTGAGCAGAGCAGAGAGCTGCTGCTTCCCATCCCCCACATTCACATAGCAAAGTTCTGCTGCTTTTGCAAGCGGTGATGCTGCGTTCACGGACTCGAGCCGAGGCTCGTTAACGCACACTGTCGCAGGACCCAAGTCCTTTTTCCTCTCATATTTAACACTTTGGTCGTCCTTCATGGAACTTATTTTCAGCTGATTTTTTTGTCATTGTGTAGGCTTAACTCAAGTCTACAAGAACAGGTAAAACAGAAAAAACGAGATTGCACCTAATCTCTTCAAAAGTGATCAGTGCTTTTTATATCCATGAAATCATTTTATTTTCAAGAAATGTGTGGGTATTACAATAGTTATGACGGAAAACTTATCTCTGAAACTTTCATTAATACTCTTAAAATTGGATTACAATGTTGTTTTACATATCTGTGTTCATAACACTATATTACTGTTCTTTACAGAAACCATTAGCTATGTTGTTTAGTATTGAATCAAGCTGCTTAACGATCTCCTGTATGCCTTTATGTTTGCTTTTTAGGTACATATTGTCCTGAACACAGATTGGAGCTATTTAATATAACCTTACATCAGTGTGGTTGTGTTAGCCTATTTGTATGTTTTGTTAAATACTCCGTGGGGCCTTCACACTCTGCTCTGACCACCGGGTGTGAGGTTTGCAACATTTCCTAGAAGCAGTGTGGAAATTTCGGTCTTCTCATTGCTGTTTTCTCTTTAGTTTTTGAACTGTACAAATCGTTCGAGCGTGGTTCTGGAAATTCCGAGGGAGTCTGAAGGCAACACGAAGGCTGCTGCTGCTGCTAGGAGAGCGCGAGGCAGGCAGGCAGGCAGAGAGCACGAAGAAAGGGGGTGGGGAGAGAGAGAGAGAGTGAGAGGTGGAGAGACATAGGATGTCTGTTCCTATTAATTGTATAGAGAGAGTTTCTGCTTCCTCCAAATCTCTTCTCGCTGTCGTGCGTTTGCCTGAGATTTGACTTCTACCAGATAATGTGATATGGCCTAATTCAGTGTCACTTTTCCACCATTATTGTCTCTCTTTTTTGTAGGCTATCCTTACTTCCTGCTCTGTGAGTGGCTCAGTCCATCCCCCATCCTTCTTCCTTTTCAGTCCTCTCTCAGTGAAACACACACACACACACACACACACACACACACACACACACACACACACACACACACACACACACACACACACACACACACACTACACAGACATGTACAGGTTGTGATTTCATGCTTTTCTCAGCTTCCCTCTGCATTACTCTCTCCACTTATTTGCTTTTGCAACACATAGAAACAATATAGAAATAGTCACTTTCTATCCATTAGCCCATTCTGACAGAAGAAGCCTGTTTTGTTCCAGTCATTTAACATGCCCATGAGATAGAGTGCACACATTTATGTTACAATGAAGAGCACACAACTCATGCATGAAGCAATTTTTCTAATCAGAATGGCTGAATAGTTATGTAAGACTTCTCGGCAGAATACAATGGTAAAGAAAGGGACACATTCCTACAAGGTGAAACTGTAGACACCACGTCTATAGTATTAAGTCGGCTAGCATTAGACAGAAGACTTGTATGAAAACAGTTTCTAAGAAATATCAAATGTCGATGAATGCGTCTGATTCCCTCTTGTATAACTTACGGTCACTGTTAGGGCTACTTCTATCTAGTCAAGGCACACCTTTGGTTAGTCCCAAGAATGTCTCGATCTGATAAGCTACATATTTAACTATATGACAAAGCCGCACACATTTTTGTCTATAAAAATAACTCAAGTAAACAAATTACCTGAGATATCGGCAGCAATGAAGTGGGACAAACATCAGAACATGTGAAATGTAAAGCAACTACAGACCTGTCATAGGGTTTTGATAAACTACTATGTTTTCACAAACTTTGCTGCACAAAAAAAAAAGAATTTTATTACCACAGAGATGGGCTGGTTGATGAATCCAGCCACCTTTACTGTAATCTTTTAGCCTTTGCATTCTTTTAAGGATATTTATACATCCTTTTAAAGCAGCCATATCCTCATTCGCTTAAGTGACTGGCCTTATTCTTGAGCATAATTAGTTTTTAGGTTTCATATCAAGTAGGGAGTGTTGAATGCAGCTCTACAACTTCAGCCTTGCTAAACAACTATATTACATGAAGTATCTGATGAACTTTCACTTTCCAGTTTTGTATTTCCACACTGTTGTTTAGGGTTGTTTTGCTTAGTTACTTTCAAGTTTTTGTTCCTAAAGTGTCACAAGCTCATGACAGCTGACAATAATGATCAGGGTCAGATTCAAGGTCCTTACACACCGGGACCGATGCAAATATCTGACGCAAAATTACGAAATATTCGGAGGCGAATTTTGATGCGCCTGACTATACACATCAAGCTCGATGCGATTTTGCGACTTTCCAGGGGGAAAAAAGACGCATCCCGGGTGAAAGTGAGAAGACGACACAACACCAGACTGACTGTTTTTTAGTTCTCATTAGACACTAATGTTGAGATGTCTGTTTTTCATGATAGCATGTACTGAGTCGGGGCTAGTACTAGATAAGCACATTAAACTGTAATCCATAAATGTAAGGTAACAACCGAGACCTAATGGTGCTGTGACAGCAACGTGATTGAGTTTGAGACAGTGAAAATACACATGGTATGTTTTATCTGAACAGGTTAGCTTATGAGCTAAAGTTGCTTTGCACAGATGAAAGTTAAAACAAAGATGTTTCGCAAACTGTTAAAGTACACAAACTATCCTTCAGGTCGTTATCTTTGTAATGTTTGTGTTTTTTATCAAAAAGTACTCTGTTCTCCGACACGTAAACAATCAGCCGGTCGGCCATGTTGGATATACCGGTAAATCTGACATCGCAACAACACGCAATCTGATTGGTCAGAAGTGGACACACAGTATGCGAAACTTTAGAAAAATCGACCGTGATCCGAAAAAATAAATGCCGCAATATCGCAGGACAGGAAAACGTCGCTGATGTGAACGCTTGTATTGACAGGATACAGGTTCAAAAAAAATATTGACGTCTGAAATAATCGCACGATAAAAACGGTCCCGGTGTGAAAGGACCTTAACAGCGAAATTTGATGATCCCTGCTCAGTCATATTCAAAACCAAAATCTGCTTCAATCCCATAAATGAAATGAGCATTTGGACATTCCTACTTTGTTATACACACTTGAAAAAAACCCAAAATTGATTAGCGTTGTGTCAATAAATTTCGTGTTATCGGCCCATCTTTTTACCATGAAAACAGAGATATTATTGGGTGGTTAAAATCTTGAAGGATACTCACAGATTTAAGTTGGAGGATTTTACTGATCCAACCTAATACTATTGCACTAATTTAAACAGTTGAGCCAACTTCTTTCACTGGCTCCACTTCAGCACTGCTTGTTTTCACAAGAAAATATAGAGGAATAAGAGCACACATCAAAATCGAAATCTCATACACCTATGATCTCATTTTTCATTTCGTCTTCAGTTGCTCTCCGTTGCTATGCAGCAATCAATTGGTCGCAAAATATTCAAAACTTTGTATTTAAATACAGCGATTTTCAAAGATTTGCAAAGTGAGTTCACTTTAGAGCACATTATAGTCGCAATAATGGCTCCCCGTGAGTATAAACAATGTTGTTATCAGACAGCCAGCCTAATCCGAATCCAGTTTTCACTGAGAAATCCACTCCGGGTTTTTATTTTCTCGCGACAGGTCGGTAAAATGGCTGTGTCTCGCGGAGCCTCGTGCTGGTTTGGTTGATTTCTAGCTCGCGCTCTCGCTCTGTAACAGAAGCCCCCCCTCCAACACACACACATACACACACACTCACACACACTTGAGTCGGTGAAATTCATTTCCCTTGCTCTGTATTTATAAATTTTTGCTTCTTAAAACTTTCCCCTCTCTGTTTTAACTTTAAACGGAGTCGCGGTGGATTACCGGATACCGGTCCGGGCGGAGGGCAGAGGGGGGAATGAACCGGGACAACTGGTACGTGGTTTTAAATCTAATTGTATTTATATTCAATGGTTTTTCGGAGTTTGATTGTGAGTGAGTCGCCGTGCTGAGAGAGAGAGGCAGAAAAAGAGTGGAGGAGAGAGAGAGAGAGGGATATCATGGCCGCTCAGGTTGCCAGCGTCGCCACTCTCAACACTAGCCCGCCATCCGAACTCAAAAAGCCGGATCGGGACCCACAGGAGGAGTCGGTACCGGGAGAGAAGCAGCATGAAAATAAGGAACCGGGACCTGACGGCGGATCGCCAGGACAGAAGGAGCTGCAGGACGGGACCGACGCTGGAAATGCTGGGGGAGGAGGGGATCCTGATATGAAGAACGGCAACGGGAATTTGCCCAGGGTAAATAATAATAGCAGTAACCAGAATGATGCAGGCGGGCCTGAGGGGAATAACCATCCCGGGATGGGACACCACCACCAGGGCCCCTTTCCTCCTCCTCCTTACGGTTACAACCAGCACTACAGCCGGGCCCCTTTTCATCAACATGGCGGACAACAAAGCCCTGGCATGGCAGCTGCATCGGGGCCGGGCATGATGGACCCTTACCCCCCTAATTCACACGAACACGGCTACCCAAACCATTATAACAACTACAGCCCTTTCCAGAGCAGGACTTCTTATCAGGGCCAAGGGTACGGGGCCATGAATTCCCCGCGTAACAACCAGCCTCCGGCGGCTGGGGGGCAGCCAGGCAAGCAACAGCCAGCAGGAGGAACCACAGCCATGGCTGCCTCTTATAATAATCAGAGGTTTAACATGGGGAACCAACAACCTACGTCTACACCTACTTTAAATCAGCTTTTGACATCCCCAAGCCCTGCCAGGAGCTACCCGAATTACCCCCAAGGAGACTATAACAATCAGGAAGGGGCCAATAAGGGACCAGGAGATATGGGTAGCAGTCAGTATGGTGGGGTCCATCCGGGTTGGCAACAAAGGAGCCACCATCCGCCTCCCATGAGCCCGGGAAACACTGGACAACCTCCAAACAGAAATCAGGTAAACCCCTCTCACTGCACTGACACTTTTGGACGGAGTTAAAGTCAGCCAGTAGCTCACAGAAAGCACTGTAGAGTTGCATATTGCATTGGACCAGCCATTGTCTATGTAGTAAGAGCTCTAAAATGGCTGCCTCCTCTTTCTCCCAATACCACCCCCTTCAACAGTGTTTAGACAGAGAAAGAAGCCGCATTTTCTGTGAGAAACAACTTTCTGACTCGTCGGTATTAGTATGTGTCCCTGCTGGGTGCAGGGCAAGAGTTTGACTAAGTAGAGCAAGAGTTTGTCAGGAGAAAGTGTGTGTGTCTGTATGTGTGTGTGTGTGTGCAGAGAGAGGGAGATATGGTGGTATTTCTAGGCTGTGCTTCTTCAGCCTCATTGTAGATTAAAGTGCTGTTTTTTCTAGGCTTCCTCTCGCACTTGTGTTGCCATCAGTGCGATCAAGAAATAGTGTCAAAGGCTGTCAAGATCATAAACAAGATGCAAATGACAGCGATAGCCGTTAAATAACATTTGCATAATCATTAAGAAAAGACCTCTATGTGGGTTAAAGAGCTGCTCGCACAGTCAAGTGTAAGCTGTATCTCACAGTCCAGTTAATGGCAACAATTACATCTGCCAAGTGTTTACTCGGATCAAAGTGTGATTGTGACCGCGATTGATTCATCCTGACGGAGGATTTTCATTCATTGTGACTCGGTTCGGCTCCGTTTGCCTCTTTTTTTCCTCCCCCTCCGCGTCTCTTTCCCGCATGTGCCGCCTTGTAAACACAGCCCCGCTGGTTGGAGTTGGCAAAGTGCAGATTGCCTTTGCTTTGGGATTTGAATTATGGAGGTAAAATCCTGCTGTCAGAGCCAGGAGACAGTTGGTCTTAGGTTGACATGCGAGTCGAGATCTGATTGGCTCCCCCATCCCTCCGCTCTCGGCCATTTATAATTGCATCTAATGGAAAGGCTGCAGAAAAACAGCCCTCTCTGCCCGCACATATCCTCCACCGTGTCATGAAAACACACTCTTACTGCCCTTTTTCTTTCTTTATTTTTATTTTATTGTTTAAAAAAATCATTTTAAACACCATTCCCTGCATTTCTCGAGTCTCAAAGATGGCTTCTGTATTTTTTCAACTTTGATTTCATCTGTAAATCTTTCATTGCCACTCATGTAGAACAGAAACTGCAACACTTATCCATATTTAGAGACTTAATTCAGTCGCTTTATGTATTGAAATCACTTTAAGGACACATTATGTTCTCCCCCTGCAGTAATTTGCATGTTGACTGTAAACATGTAGCTCCACCATTGTTTTTTTATATTTTTTGATTGAACCATAACCTCATCTGCGCTTAGTTGCGTCTTTATAGTTGTTAGTTGTTGACCGGTCACACGCACCTGAAGTTTCTCATTTTTTTAAACTCTCTGGGTACACTCTGCTCCGTGTGCAAGTCGAACTGACTCTGGTACAGCAGATAGAGTAGGTGTGGTCATGTAGCTCTGTTGTACAACTGTGCTTCTCACTGCTTCCAGATCAGGACTGAAAGAGACTTTGTTCCAGAGTATCTTGTGGCCACGTGAGTGAGTTGGACTGACTGCTGTTGTGTTTACAAGCAGCCAAGGTGTCAGTCTAGTGTCACAGTTTTTTTTTTTTCCAGCAGGTTTATAATAGCCTAATTTACTTCTTCATGCAGAGAGAGTAACCATGTCAACAGCGCTCAGCTACACCTCTCTCTCTCTCCTTCTCACTCAGTGATAACAGCCACATGGTTTGTGTTTTCGTTTGACAGGTAATTGTCATGAGTGTTTGGACCACAGTTGAAGACTCTCCTATTCGGAGAAGTACATCTTCCACTTTAGTTGTATTTCTGATGAAGGCTGATATTGATCATACAGTGGGACGGATGTATTTGTGAGACTTGTGATGAAACTTATTATTATCAGCGGAAATCAATGATTGTGGATATGTTTGTAGTATTTGGTGAATATTCAAGCTGGACTTTAAAAAATATTGTCACTGCCATGGTCTCATTAAGGTACTCAGATGGTTGCGCCGGGTGAGAATTAAGTTTTTTTAAGCTAGCTGCTTTTAATTGAAGTTTTTCTGAATTAATACAATATTTGTTATGGTGTTATGAGAAGTTTTGATGAACAAGAACTATTTTATTTTTCCAAAATTAAAGTGATACTGGTACCCCTTTTTGACAGCTCTCATTTAGGCCAAAAATGGGCATCTGACAAATTTGTTTCAGAATTATTTTGGTTTTCGTTTGTGGCAGTAGGCGTTACTCATCTCTTTTCAGTTTCATGGGATTGCGTTAGTGTCTGGTAATAGTATGAGTTTGTATATTTGCTCAAAGACATAAGAACTTTACAGTTTTTCCAGACCTGTTCCAGGGCTAAAAATGAATCGTTTTACTTGGGAGAAGCACTGGTGCTCTCAACTTAAAAAAAATTAAGTGCACAAGCAAAAATTTAGGAGCTCACGACTGAAACGAAGGATGATAAATAAATTATAGTGTGAACCATTACCACAGGCTTTACAGTGAATGCAGTGCAAACTCTTCCAGCCACTGTCTGAAAACTGGGAGCTGTCTTTGCCACTGGTCACTGCGTCACCACTGCCATCACCAACTTTAGGAGTCACATTTTTGTAATGTGGGGCGGCCTGCAGTAGAAATCCCTCAGCGTTTGCCGGAACTGTACTGATTTTGCATCACTTTCTAGATTCTAGATCAAATCATGTGGTTAAAATGGTTTTCAGTTTCAAGCCATGCTTTCTGATCTATTTTGTGCTGCAGCGTTTCTCTATGATAAGTTGGCTCAATATGGCAGGATTTGTAAATATAAGGTGATGCATCTGAAATAATTTCAGGCATATAGGATAGCTACCCATCGAGTTTAGCTGTGGCAGTGCTTGTCAATTTAGGAAAATAAAGCAGATTTTTTTTTTCATAAAATCTTTCCTTACACTTCTGAGACAATTATTTTGGCTATTAAAAAGAACTGAACAGCTTTTTTAAAAATCTACTGTGCTAGACAAACTCGGTAAGTACATCAGTCGTAAATTAGAGCTGCAATGATTAGTTGACGCGATCGATTACATCAACTACATATATTTGTCGATGCGAAAATTTCAGCATTGACGCGTTGTGGTATTGTTGTAATCACACACATGCTGCTTTATTTTTATCCGAAACTGCAGTGCACTACAGCAATCGCCTTGGGCAGTATCGGTCGCTGTTTACATCCCACAAGGAAACAGAGAAGAATACACGAAATTACGGTGGAACAAACGAACTAAGAGGATCGAAAACTCCAACCTAAAAGTTCCAAAGTTTGGGTACATCTCACTGAAAATAAACCAGCGAAAAAATGCAGTCTCTGTTAAGCTCATCTCTCATTCCATCGTAGCACTAACACCTTAAACTCCGACAACCCGGAGCTGCAGAGAGATAGGTTCACAAATAACGTCAATACAATGTGGATATCTTTAAATCACATGCTTATTTTTTAATTAACCATCGGCCTATGATGCAAGTACATTATACGTTTGTGTCATATGTCTATCAATCGGAAAATTGTGGCGGAAGCTTGCTTAGCAAACGCTAATTCACTTACATGAATGTGTACTGAACTTAAGATAATCGTAATTAATTGACTAATCGAAAAAGTAACTGATAGATTAGTTAATAACAAAATAATTATTGTAAATGACTAAAGCTTTTTTGTTTCAGTAAAAGAACTTTGATAGAAGCGCTTTGCACATAACAGAAATCCTTGTGCTAGTATGTTGCATTAGTCAAATATAAGCCCATAAGTCAACCCTGACTATTTTATAAAACCTCCTAACAGTAACATACCTGGCTGAGATCTTGGGGATGAAAGAGTCTAAGGCATCTAAGTAGAATCAGAGTTTCTGCTGTGTTTAAAAAAAGGTTTATTTTTATAAGAAGGAGGATACATTGTGATATAGTTGTTTATTTCCATTGAGCCAAAGAGTGTCCATTAAGCACAAACTGTTCATCTCAACAAGTCCACCACCTGTTGCTTGGCAGTTAAAGGTGCAAGCCTTCACACATCTGATTGCCACTTTGGTGCATCTCAGCGGGGTAAATTGCTTCACAGTGCAACTTTGCACATCCTGTCTAGATGTCAGGAAAAGGTTTCAGATCAAAATGCCTAACACTGATGTCCAGATATCCTGCAACGTTAATGGTGTGATTTTTACATGTCAATCAAGACGAACATGTTCTTTATCATAATCCGTTTAAAGTGATAGGAAACTCTATTTTGGATCGCTGCTTGACCATTTTTGTTTCAATCTGTCACTTTCTGTGTGCAGAGAAGTGTTGAACCCAAGGGCAGCTTCAACTTTTGGCAAACAGGGTGAATTGACAGCATCTCACTCAGCGTGGATGGGGAGCTTTTCACAGTTTTAGTTCATTTTTGGACATCAAGACAGGCATATTTTTACAGTCAAGTGTTTAGTCAAGCTGCAAAATTGTATTTTAAATGCTCCAACTTTACTTTTGTCGGTGTGAAATGAACTGTTCTGCACTTTTTGGAGTACGTGTTTTTAGCCACGTTTTTCATGGCTCATGAAGATAATCAAATTATTTTTTAAATGTGGATTTCATCTCAATCAAATCAAAGTTGATAACTGTTATTCACAATTTTTAATTAGATTTAGATTGAAGCGTTCAGTACTTTTTACATCTTAAACCCAACCTTTATTATTTGAATTGACATCAAATAGCTTTGGTAAGATAGCATTGTCATTAAAATACACCAGATTTGATAAATTGTTTGCAGTTGTTTCAAGGACAGAAGTAGAACTTAAATGAACAAATTGAAGTAACAAACTAAGGAAAGGTGTTTCTGTCTCTGAGAGCAGAATGCAAAGAAATCTGCTGCCTCTTTAACTGCACAGCTTGCTCTGGGAGACAGATTGAAACAGTTTGGCACTGTAAAACACAAGTTGAGGAAAAAACTAACCTGATAAGTATTCATATAATCGTTGAATTCCTCAAAAATAACCTCTTCTATCTTATTCACAGACATCTGGCACACTTTTTCATCTCTAGATATCAATCCATGCCGGTTTTTCATATTGACTAATGGGCTTTAAGAGTAGACTGTTCTCATTACACCAGTGTAAAAGAAGAGTCTGCTATGGTGGTCGAAGCACAATAAAAGCAAGGAGAAACTGTATTTCTGCGGAAGGTAAATTGGCCCGATCAGCACTTAAATTGAGAGGAACGAGAATAACCTGAAACTTTTTTTTTTGTCCCTATTGTTTTCGGAGGTGCAGGTGCACAGAGCGCATTATCTTAATGGGTATAATCCCAGACGTGGTACCTGGAGAACAGGAACCCTCACAAGGGTAAAAGGACAGAAAGATGACCTGATGGTTTCCTCTTTTGGAACCTGAACGGTTGTCGTGAGAGGCCACCACTTAGCGCACTAAATGTTCACCGGGGACGTGATTCCTCCGGATGTTTCCGGAATTCCGGATTTTCCATCCTGAAGAGATGACCCACATGAATCACGGACATCCTTAAAATGAGTTTAACGAAATAAGGGGGGTGGACTGGAAAGTACTCAGACATCTACAGGCTAAAATGCGATATGACAGTATACTCGCAAGGGTTGGAATCAGCCTGTTGTTTTGAGATGGATCGCAGTGAGCCATGACGGCTGTTTGTGTTAATTTACAGGCTCTGATGCACTTTAAAACAGCTGATATAGCCAACTCTGATTCTGATCAGTATGTTGTTTCCATATCTCTATTAAAAACGCTGTATCCACCTCTGATGCCAACATCTAGCACCTTAAATGTGCCTGTCACAGAAACTTTCTTGAAACCCCTCCGCTGATCAAAATCAAAAGAAAGAATAAGAGAAACAAAGTCGATTTCCTCTTTATCCCGTGGGCTAGCTCAACCGTCTTACAGTATTTGTCGCAGAAATTAATCAAAGTCTGAATTATGATCAAGTTTCAAAGTTTTTTCCTCTCCTTTCATACACACAAATTTTATGCAACACAAAATTGAATGACCTGAACATGGACCACAAGTTGGCAGCCTTCAATATCAGAAAACCTGAAGTGCTAAAATGTTAAAACAGAGGTCTAGACATGCATGAAAACAACATGCACATGTACAGCTGTCTAAAGAGGACGCTAACCTTTTAAGAATTATATGCTTGATGCTTTTGAATAAATATCGTATGTTTTCGTGTGTGGAATGGGAGGGTAGTAGTAGTCACAATTCTAGCCGATATTTTACATTTTCAGATTTTATTTTCACACTTGTATGGGAAGATATTAAACTGTTGGAGGTAGAAAGTGATCATTACTCATTGTATTATTGTTCGATGCATCATTGTCTGTGGTTACCACAGAGTTTTGTGGTCAGTGTTTTGGTTATCATAGAGTTATTTTGCAATTCTCAGCTGAAATTTACTCAGCCTGCAAAAAAAACCGATTTCTTTGATATTGGATCTTATGAAGGATATGTAAAGAAAATTAGTTGTTGTTTTTAATGCATTTTGTTGTTGATTCTTTGTTTTTTTGATCGTTCTATCAGTTAAGGCTATAATAACCCGATGGATTGCCTTGTGGATAGTACTGCAATTCATCAAATTTCAACCTGTGTTATGATATCCCCCATAGTGCTGGTTGAATTTGAAGAGTACAGATTGTCCTCTGCTGTGGAGTGGTCCATAAAGAGTGCTGTTAACAGTGTTTAAACAGACTTTATTAAATGCTTCAACTCCTCGTTCATTAACTGTGGCATGATTGGCCTTTTAATTTCAGGATTTAATGCCAGTAATGTTTTCTATGGATGATTTCGTACACGGGTATCTCACCTGCATCAGCCACCTGCTGACGATGAATTAATGTGTTAATTGGCTGTTGGGTGAGGGCTAATATTATGGCTCCTCATAATGCCTTGCTCACAAACAAACACTCTGAATTGGATTGTAGTGCAGTAGGTTGTTTTTGGATGCTATAACGCCAGGTGTTTCCCCCCCGCCTCACACGTGGGAACGAGCCATCGGGGATGCCCTCTCATCTCTGCAAGGCTGACTTCCCAAATTGAGTATGAATGAAATCGTAATGGAAGACACTTTGTAAATATTTTGTTTGTTGAGGTAGTCTCACAGGTTAGACCGAGTGAAAACAGCAAAAGCGGGGCTGTTAAATTGACTGCTGCTAATAAACGCACCGCTCTGTGGCTGATATACGAGGGAAGCCCCTTTGCAAATTGGAAAGAAGTGTCCAGGTAAACAGTTTCACTGTGTCCAAAACTCTTAAGACTTGATAAAGATGGAATACATTTGTATTTGATCGAGTAAATGCCTTGACATGCTGTGCTTTCGTTTTCAAAAGTGAATCTCACAGAGGTGTGAAGTGTCACTTCCTTTTGGTTATTCTAGATATTCTAGATTCTCGATGTCTGACAACACTCGAACTGCATAAGTGTACTCAGAGGCATGCAGCTAAGGGTTTTGAAGTGTAATTTTTCATCATGTTTTTTTGTCATAAACGAAATACATCACCAAAATCTATACGGGCGCTACTTGACTATAACTCTCAATGTACAGACAAGAACAAAACGACCGTTTAAGTTGTGGAATGAGTTTGTAACAGTATAGAGATTTGAACAAAAGAAGTTTTTGATAATTAATGCAACATTAAAGGACTTTAAGCTAACAAGACTCCAGTGAAAAGGCTGAGAGTGTAAAGGTAGTCGAGTTGTTATGATTCACACCATGAAAGTGTTTCGAAGTTACTAACTAATGAATTTCAACTACAGAAAGTGAGACACGGTTTATAACTTTTACTGAATTGTTCAGTGAAACCGACACACGTTTCGAAGAAGAAAATATCCACAACGACTTCCACCTTCTGTTCTGGCTGTGTTTGTTAGGGGGGGTTGGTGCTGTGCAGAAGAGGAAGCGCGAGCATTTGAAAAGGAAGTTCACTCTCAGCTCTTTAGTGTGCACTGCTGAGTAATGATTCTCCACAGGCCACATGGACAGCATGCTGCCTCCCGGCAACTCTGTATGTTTGTGTGTGTGTGTGTGTGTGTGTGTATGTGTGTGAGAGAGAAAGGGGACGGTTTGTGTGTGTATGAGGGAGAAACGGTGTCAGTGATACCCAGGGGAGGGGGAGGGGAGGGGAGGGGAGGAGGGGGTGTTTTGTGAATGATCTTCGTCTGCCCCTGACAGCTGTGTGTATTTGTGTATAAAGTGCAGCAGTTACTTGGTGGTCGGTGGGAGTGTGTGAGTGTGTATTTATGTGTGTGTGTCACTGCCTCAGGAGCCTCTCTGACCTGCTCTTACTACTTGTGTCACCAGCCATCCGCCGCTGTGTAGTAACATCATCTTGCTCACAGCCACAGACAGAAAAGCATTTTGCAACTAAGTCTTTTTTTCTCGTCTTTATTTTGGCTGTTTTTATTCCTCTACTCTCAGAAATTTTATCCTGAAGAATCCTGAATTATGAACGGGGTATTAAGTTGGGTTATAAGACCGTCGTGATATTAGGTAAAAATTTATGCCCATTTAATAACAAACACTTTTACATGGTTATTGTTTTTGCCAACATGTATGCGTCCAACAAACAGTCCAGTTTTGAGCTAGTGTTGATGGACCCTCAAACCTCGCCATACGTTTGTTTTAAACTTTATAATTTAGCAGGCTCAAGGATTTCAGTCGTCTGTTGTCTGAGATTAGAGAAAAATGAATGAACACACCTGATTCAAATAATAAGCTCGTTATTAAGCCATCACAGAGCTTGATAACGAGCTGATCATTTGATTCAGGTGTGTTGGAGCAGGGAAACATCCAAAACATGCAGGACAGTGGGCCTCGAAGACTAGACTTGAAAACCACTGAGTTCGACTATTGCAGCAGTCATCCTCTAAAGAAATTTGACAGGTGAAGAGATTTAAATATGATTTCAAGCACTGAAGTTTCTTTGCTTTTAATGGAGGACCTCTAAAAACAACTCTTCTCCTGAGAGAAACTTGGATGGATGTGGATTGAAGAGTCCTAACCAATAAAATGTCAGGTGTTTTTACCAGTTTGACTTGTGTTTATTAATTTTGGACAGATTTTCAACTGGCTAATTTTGAAATAATAAAAAAAAATCTAAAATAAAACATTAAAATGGTATGTACCTGTGAATTCATATTGAAAATTGAAATAGTAATTGAGTTATAGACTTATTTTTCCTCTAACTTGCATAAAACTGATCAAAACATTAAAAAAATTATCACTTACTTGAGAGGACCTTTCTTCATTAAAAGTCCTATTTAAATATGTAAATATTTTGTAGATTTGATCAAAAAGTTGTCATGAACACAAACATATTTTTAACTTTCTGAATACATTTTTCATTGTGCGTTCTGCACATTCATGGTTTTGATTGGATTGAAAGTGTCATTTACAGTATTGTTCCAACATCATCGTCAACGAACACAACACTGCTGAATATATGTGTAGCGTTTGACTGACGAAATGCTCATGAATTTTGCAACTCTGTTCATCGTCCACCACCAACGTTTTCGTCTAGTCTCGTCACATTTTAGTCATCAAAGACTTACGTTTAGCTCATCAATATCACATCTTCGCCGTGGAAAACAACACTGCTCATTTAAGCGGACAAAGGAAATAAACAGTGTTTTGATTCTCAAATCCTTTTAGTCACAAACATGCATATCATGTTCATATGTTGTGCAATAACCCCAAGCTCTAGATTTGCCTGTTAATGTACTTCCACAAACCATGAAAAAAAAGATATTGTGTTATCAGATTATTGTTGCCTCTCGAAGAGTAAACTATGAATTTAAATAACTACATGCACATTGTTGCACATTAAAAACACTGAGTGAAAAACAAGTTCCTCTCTGGACAAATGTCAAAGTTGGGCTTCTGCATCAGGGCACGCTGGGATGTAAAGGTAATTCATTTCTTTTGACATTTGCCTTCTAAAATGCTCCAGATTAGCATAGTAATATCTTTGAGCGAGCCCGTGTGAGACTACAGACTTAATTTACATGACGTATGGTGTGTGTGTTTTTATGGAATAAGGTGGTTAACCTTTAAATTGGTGCAGTTGTTGATGCTAGAAGGTAGAGAAGGATGCTTCCTCCTCGCTCTCATACAGCCGCGCTCACCTTTGCTCTCTGCTCGAAAAAAAAGCCTCATATAAAAAAAAAAGGGAAGCAGGGACCAAGAGCATCTGAGGAACAGTTGGTTTTCTTTCTCTCTTTTTTCGTGGAACTTTATCATGATGTCTGTTTTTGCAGATTGTGCCCTCCAGTCATAGTTGTGCTTTTTGTTTTGCCTAATGTTGTATGCACTGTTTCTGCTTCTTTTGATAAAACTAAAAATGTGGTGTGCTGCATACATGGTAAACAGGAGCGGGGAAACAAGCCTGCGAAGCCTCCAGCCGCCTCGTAGATCAATACTCAAATCTTAAATCCAGTGTAAGCCTCATTTTAGATCTTGATTGAAGACAAATCAAATCATTTAAGATAATAAATGATGTATGTGTAAATAAATAACATGGTATGGAGATGCTTGGGGAGGCTGTGTTAACAACGGTCTCATGATATATTGGTTTTGCGATAACTGAGGTATTGCAAGACACTCATATGGTGTTAAATCACCGTATCTGATTACCAAAGAATAGGAAATGCCTCTGAAAGGTCAAGTGCAGGGTTAATGTCTTAAGCGCTGCCACTAGAATTCATGAAGTGGTTACACTCTGGTTAGACGGTCTTATTTATTAAATCAAAATACAGTGATGCACCAATAGGGCTGATACTGCTGTAATAACACTGTGGCCAGTAGCTGGTACAGATGTTTCTTGCATTACCTCTTTGTCTATTTTTGTGTCTGTTTTTTAAATGAACTTAAAGATTTGATGTATTAAAAATAAGTCAGAATTGATCCAGCAAGGGTCTGATAAAATACAAAACAAAACAAAAAACTCCTGAAATTCTGTTGATAGTTAACCGGTTCACGCTACAGCCTCTCTGCTGTGATGCTCTCCGTCCCTCGGCTTTTCAGGCTTTCTTGCTCCTATCTGTTTTCACTCCTCCACATTAGCAGCATGAATGTTTGCGCTGCAAGTGAAAAGATAAGGTGCTCCGATGTTAACTTTTTCCATCCACAGTTCTCTCTTGCTCTTGAACTTTGTTGTGCATCGACCTGAGGTCCTAGCTATGGAGGGTGTTCTCCATCATCGTACCAGACACACAACATTGTAGGCCACCAAAGAAGTTTGGTCATAAAAAAAGTCATGGTATTGGGAGAGTGAAATAGTAAATTTTCCAGCTCTTATATTTCACTGACCTTAAGGAGTTACTGTACATTATTATTTCAGAGAAGCAGACTAATGTTTACAGCATTTCAACTGACACCTCTCTGTGTACAGCAGTGTACCAGGCGGCCTGTTTGATACGCCGCCATTGTTGTGTTTTGATTTGATCGGCTCATGGTTAGAAAAAAGAGCAGGCCGTGGTCAGCAGGGACAAAGTTACGCAGACAAAAGCCACATCAGAGCGCTTGTTGAGCGTCATTGTTTCTGGCCCGTGCGGCAGGTGACTATGATTTATGCACCACAGACGTATTGAATTGTATCGAGCGCCTGAGCGATGCAAAGTTTGGACTCGGTTTTGTGACGCTTGAAAGTGCGGCGGTAGAGACAGCAGTTAACTGTTGTTGGCATGTTCTTCTCTCTCTCCGCTCTCCTGATGATTTGCATGGCCAGGCTCCAGTTCACCTGTTTAGTCTGTGAGAGCACACAAATTAACAATCCCAACGGTCTCTCCTGTCCAGTTCAATCCGTCGCTCATTTGTTTCTCACTGAGGCCTGAAACATCTTGGAAAAAGAGCCAATTCTTCCCCTGCTGTAGTTAAAATTTAAAGTGAAACTCAATATCCCAATTAAATTACAAGTTCATCAGTCGGATTATGACATGGCATGTTTTCCTCTGGCTTGGTGTGTGTGCGTCTGTGTGTGTCTTTGTGTGCAGAGCAGTGTGTCTGACGTAAGTGTCGGAGTTGTGACTCGAACCATGAGGCACGCAGTGACCCAGCCAGGTCCTTAAGTGGCTTCGCCTCATTCAGTAGCCAGGGTATTTTTGGCATAGTAGTGAGTGACACACTTATCGTAATGGGTCGTCCAGGGTGCCAATGGTCAGCCTGAATAAGCATCCTTCCCGGCAGCCCAGCCTGAGCCTCGGCAACGTGATGTAACCGATCACTGTCTTGCCTCCAGTGCTGACAGGGGAGTCGCTGTCCACTCACACATCGAGTGGCTTATCTCTGAGCGGGAGCGCGGGGCACCAAGCGCTCTTTTTACCTGAGCAGCCAGGTGAAGTGCTCATGTAACCCGAGGAGCCTTTTCTACACTGTCCTTCACAGCGCTTCCTTAAATAATCCACACTGCTCAGTCTAATAAGAACTGTAAACACTTTGTGGAAGCAAGGTAGTGTGTTTAAATAATCATCATTTGAGCTCTGCTTTGGTTTTGATATTTTATTCTCCTTTCATTAACGAAGAAATAATTTGTTTATATCGCCGAATGAAAATCAAGTCAGACAATGAAGCGCGTCTTTTAAAAATGTTGATGTAATTTTTTGTTACATTGGCATAGCAGGTCCGGGGAGACAAGTATAACTTATGTGGATGCAAGGTTCCTACACAGTTGGAATTTCCATACTTTTCCATTGCCTACTTTTCAGAATTATTTTTGGAAATACCTACGTTTCTATTTTAGAAAACAGTATTTCAAAGCTGTGGTTATAGTCTGGAAACATAAATATCTTTCAATACATATGTTTTCATTTTCCATACTTTTTGAGATCTGGAAATTGATCACATTTATTTACATACTTTTTCATACTTTTCATACTTTCCCTGTGGATGGAAAAATCTCACTAAGATTTAATCCAATCCGAGATCATGATACCCAAATCTAGACATGTTAGACTGAATCTGGTTTGATTATGAAGTTAAAATCAACCGTGACATGACTATAAAGATTTGGTAAATAAGTCACCCATAACATACTTCAAAGTCTGTCCTAACAGAAATCAGTTAGAATTAGACTCAAGAGGGTGTGTTGTAGACCTAAATAAATAAAAATAATAGATATAACAAGTGATCCAGAAATCCTCTGAATCTGAATCTTTATTCAAACTTTCTTTGAACGAGTCAAAGTATTCATAACATGGTCTAAAATTAGCCACATTTATTCCAAGAATGTTTCTGTCATTGGTTGTCCTTTTCAACACTCACTGCCATTGCACGTTTTAGTTGCATTTAAATGTGGATCTCATACCCAGCTCTAGTTTTTATCTTGAAATGAGTAAATATTAATTTAAAGCTAAAGGAAAATAAAACCTAAGGATTCATGTTGTGTCTGCTGGTACAGCTTCTCCAGTTCACTATCCCTCCACGGTGAAAAGATGAACATCTGGTTCCCGCTCCACCATTTCTCACCACAACGTGCGCCGTGTCTGCCGGCCACGTTCGCCTTGTCCTGTTCTCATCTCGCTGCTGGGAATCAGCCTCTGTCACCTGGAAATATAAGTTTGGCCTGACAGGTTGACAGCTTGCAGTCAGGGTGAATGTTCACCCTCATGTACCTCCAGCCTCAATATCACACTGACAGACCAGGCAGCAGCAGGCAGCCCTCTATTTTTTACATCAGCCAATAACTGGACAGCCTCAGGAAGCCGCTCTGATCTCCCTAACAGGAGATATTTTTGTCAGAGTGCACTGGGCCTGTCAGTACATTGCTGGAAACCAGTGACTACCCAGCAGCTTTGTTGTAATTCATCAGTTAAGGTAATGCCTATAACACCCATCAAATTAATATGAATCATTGTGGATGGCTCTTTACTCAGCAGCGATATGTCAGAGATAATAAAAGCTGTTTTAGGTTTCAATGAGGGTAATCTGTGTTCATTTCAGTTTACACCGGTATGTTAGCAAAGAACATGTTTTTGAAAGTATATTTCCTTTCCATTTGAATTTTTGTGTATTTTTAAGCCAACATACAAGGAGTTAGGGCTGGGCAATATGGCCTCAAATCAATATCACAATATTGGGCTTTATATTCAAAAGTAAAACAGACAGATCGATTGATTAAGCCATGTGACCTTTAGCATGTCTACTCTTGATGATGCCTCCACATTCTCCTAGCTCACTCTGTCCCTCTTCTTTACTAACACACAAACACACACAGTTCTAGGGCTGGGCGATATGGCCTCAAATCAATATAATATATTGAGCAGTTCACCTCGATAACGATAAATGGACGATTACTACTCCACAAGTTGCTCACCCCCTCCCACATTAACTTTGTCTACCTCAGCCGCCGCTCCAACTTTTGAACCATCCTCCATCTCCTTACCTGTCTTTCCCTCTTTGTTACGGACTGGATGAGGTGGAGTCACGTCTCTGTCGTAGGACAGCGTCTTACAGGGACATAAGACCACAGCCTACCTACACACATTCAAAACCAACTTTTATCTTTGTATTTTTTTTACACCGAATATATTAACATTGGCAAAATGATTTCAGTTATTGTCGTAAATTTTGGTACTGGTAAATTTTCGGTTCATCGCTCAGCCCTACAAAAAGTTAAAAAATAAAGTTGTGCTATCAGTATTTCTCTGAGTGTGAATTTCTCTGTGTTTTTTTGCTGTTTGTCAGCTTAAACTCTCAGGCTTGAATTCTTCATCATTTAAGAGAGACGCCGGCTATTTGGCACCACACTTTATCAACTTCATGAACGAATATTCAGAGCCAAGTCTGACTTTTAGCTGCTTTTATAAATTTAAGTTGAATTTGGGTGGTAAATGGATTTGCACTTTTATAAAGGACCTTTCTAGTCTCAGTCAGACCACTTAAAGTGCTCTTACATGTCTCTTTACATTCGCCCATTCACACCAGAGGACCATTATAGCCTGTACATACACTACTAAAGCCTGTACATAATTCTATTCAGTGACATTCTCATGTATATATTTCTCCTTCATACGGTGTACAATTGTAAATATATTTATACTTGCTTAGCACTCCTGAATGGATGATGCAAACTGCATTTCGTTGCTCTGTACTTGTGACATGTGCGATGACAATAAAGTTGAATTCTATTCTATCAGCATTGACCCATCCTATTCATACAAACCAATGTAATATATGAAATAATAATAAAAAAACAAAACTTACTCTAAACTTTCCCGTAAACTTTAAAAAAAAACATTTATAAAAATGAATTTGGTCAGTGTTCAAAACTACAAATTCAGACAATTAAATGAGAATAAAGTTAGACTTAAAGACAACAAATACTGACACAGACTCAGACTTTTTATTGTCATTGTATGAGGAGTGGTGTTTTCCTAAGAAAGTGGAGCAACAAAAAATAGAATAAAATATGAAATAAAATTGTACAGAATAAAAATAGAATAGACTATGTACAAACTGTGCAACAGTACAGCATCACAGTACTGAACACTGCAGATTGTATTCATATTTTAGAAAAATGAAGAAGTCCAGAAGAGTTCAGGATTCCTAATCAGAATATCAACACACGATGTAGTCTGACTATACGGTGAAGTAGTGAACTGTTTAAAGTATTCACTTGTCCTTGTAAAGGTTTTTAATTGTCTCTCTTATCTTAAACTAACCTGAATTTGTCACAGTTACCTTTAGCGTCTTATTATCACTGGATGGTTTTGTCCCATGTGTTTGGCATCTCCGTCTTGTAGGTGCAGAAAAAGGTAGCTCTGTTGTTGTTGTTGTTGTTATTGTTGTTGTTTCGGTTGTTCTTATCGACCTCAAATAGCTCTGGAAAAAAAAAAAAAAATCTATTCCAGCATCTGGAGAGATGTGAAAGCTGATTTTGTCATCAGAGTGTGTGAGCCCCCCTCCTTCCTCCTCCTCCTCCTCCCTAAACATCTTTTGAATTCTTCTGAACAGCTGGGTGAACATCTGGGTGAGTAGGGTGCCGTTTCCTCTGCTCTGTGAGGAGGATGAGAGCACCGGCAGCGGCAGGCGCTGGCTGCCGCTCCCCTCTACCCAACCCAGGTCTTCGATGCTTTCATCCAGAGTCATGCAGCGGTCAGCTTCAACTTCGAAACTTCTCAGGTTGATGCAGTGGGACGGCGGACTAATTGCTTAATTGGGAAAACATGTCCTTTTTGCTCGCCCCCCCTCCACAGCCTCTTAGCTTCTTGTTTACTCTAGCTCTCAGGTACAGATCTGGCTGTACTTTAGCTTCCCTTAAAAGCTTATTTAAACAAGTAATCTGGATTGTTTTAATACTTTACGGCTGCCGTCAGAGTCCCTCACTGCTGTTGCGTGAAGGGGAAAGCCCTCTATCTTAAAGCTAGACTCTATCTGCTGTCCATTTATTTTATTTTCTCCATATTTGGGGGTCTAGAGAAGTCATGAATACCAGAAACAGTTTGAATTGCTTGCACGGGTTGCCTCAGCCAGCAGCCTTAAAGGGGCTTTAAAGGTTACAGCGTAATCCCTGTTGGCAAATGTACCCGATCAAAGTGCGTCCACTAAAAGTGATTTTTTTTCTTTCCATTGACAGGCTGGGATTGGTTTAAAAACTGTCTGACAACATTGCACAAAGGATCGCCTCAGAAATGGGCGATTTTGTCAAACAAAGCACCTACATCAATCTGAAACAGCTGTCTCCCTTTAAAGCCTTCAAACAACTGACAGAAAGTCATTTTACCTTGCTGCAATCAGAAGAATCTGGTCTGCCACTGCCTCCAGCAATTAGTTTGGTGTGTTATTGTGTGACTTTGATTATTTTTTTTAAGAAATTTTATTTTCTGGGGGATATTTTTTTTACTTTATTAGATAAAAGAGCTTGTGAAAGACAGGAAACATGGGGAGAAGGACTGGGAACCGGGACTCAATATTGGAACCAGTAAAGTATTGACTGTCACCTCTGTATATGAGCGGTAAACCGGTGCTTTATGAATGTTAATTCAGTAATCAGTATTGGTGCATCCACAAGTCTCTTAAAGTGAAAAGTCAACTGTGGCAATGGTTTTTCTTTTTTCTTTATTTATAAAAACATTGCTTTTTCTGGAGTCAACAAAGATTGTTCACGTTTGTGGAAATCGGGGCACGTTTCCCTTCAGAGTTTGGCGCAAGTCAGTGTCGGCGCACTGGTCCAGCACCCTTAAGCATTTTAGGCCCTGTTGTTGTTTTTTGTTTTTGAACCTATGGGTAATATAGATCCCAGAATATTATGAAATAGGGCCAAATATCCTAAACATTGTGCAAGAAAACTCAGAAGTGGGAGCCGTTTTTTTCCACACACAGTTTCAGCAGATTAATCCGTCTGGCACCTGTGCTCATGTGTAAAATATAACTTTTCACACTTCCACTCCAGAGACAAAAATATACGTGAATAAAGGATACTGGGATGTCATTCTGGTTGTTTGTATTGTAATTTAATTTTCATTAAAATGAAAAGTAAGATGTGTGTCATACAGAAGGTCAGGGTTCAAAGTGTCCCTGAGGAAGACCATTGACAAGAAACATCTACCTCACTTTTATGCCAGTCTGCTTTATAGTCTGTGGAGAAAGTGCGAGAGGAACCCTGTTGCTTTTCCTTAAGTAAAGTACTTAACCCCTCACTCCTTCAGGGGAGGTGTTCAGCACTTAAACAGCGAGAGACTGGTCAAACTGGGCAGCTTTCACTCTGAGCGTGGAAGTGCACATATTCTCTTGAATCTCACCTTGGAAGGTTGACATTGGTGGTAAAGGTGAAGATATCCCTGTCCTTCTCTGACATGTGATACGTGTGATTCCACCGCCATATGAGGGCAGCCTCGGACGGCATGTGCGAGCGCCGCCGCGTTGCGTGTTGAAGGGCTTTAACGCGTAACAATGGTGTGTGTGCCGCCGAGTGAGGCCATGTGGCCATGTGGCCGTGTGGCGGATTAAATTAGCAGCAGTTGTTTATCGTCTGTCCCCCCCGGTCCATCTGCTCTGCTCGGCCCCGTAGACTCCAGCTCTGCTCTCAGGCACTGCTCCAACCCCCCCCTCCCCATCCCACCCTCCCCTACCCCTTACAAATCCCCATCCCCATCCCCACGTCACACACACACACACACACACACACACAGTCAAACACACATACACACACACAGACTCTTGAATAGTTGCAATATCCACCAGCAGCCAGTCATGACACAATATACTCAGTGCAACCTCTTCTGCCAAGAGTGCTCTGGCTTTCCTCTATGCAGATTAGCCATGTGCTAATTGTGGTTATTTATTTATTTTTTTATGGGAGAGAGAGAAAAAAAAAGGAGGGGAAGAGTTTCCTCTAGAAATTGATTAGATGACTGAGCAGAAAAAAGGCGGCACTGTGTTGTAACCGTGCACATTTGAGGTTTGCGTCGCGGTGTGTGAGGAAACTCTCGTGCTCTTCAGGCCTGTTGTTAAAGGAAAAGAAGTGTCGTGAATATGTAGGCCGTCATGTCAAACCCAAGATTTGGGAAGTTACACCCTTAACTGATTCTGATGAAATCTTAATACAAATGCTGATGACTTTCATTCTTAGTGTGGCTGGTGCTTTTTGGAGTCCAGTTAGTTTTGCATACCACAGTGGCTTTGAAGGTCAACTGCACAACAGGAGCAAAAAAAAAATACATTTCATTCACCTCCACAACCATGAAACTATGTGCAAAAAATTTTCACATAGTGTTAAAATATTCTGCTTTGGAACTCATCCTGAAATATAAAACCATTTTAGTGTTTATTAGAACAGTTTAAGTGTTGAGTGGAACATTTTTTTGGCATTTTATAATTTTTGAATTTCAAAAAAAAATTTGTATGTGTAAGATCTATTATTTTCAGGCACTGTATTTACATTTCATGTTATATTTTTTGTATTTTATGCAGTGGATTTGTGTTTAACTGAATAACTATGCTTGATAAAATTTAGCATTTTTTCCCTTTTGCTACTCAGTGGAATACTTTTTGAGTTCCATGAAACATTTTTTTGGGGAAAAATTTTTTGCTTGAGTTCCACTAAATATTTTTCTAGAATTTTTATGTTGAATGAATATTATTTTTTGCTTAAAATGAAACAATTTAGCATTTTGTGAATTGTGTATGCACTTAAGAAAATATTTTTGTGCATATTAAAGTGTTTTTTTTATTGTCATAAAATGTTTGTGGGGTTGAGTTCCACGGCCACTGTGGTCTACATGCTGAATTTTGACAAAAAAAAATTAGGAAACTATTCAAAACCACTATGTGTGATTATTTTTTTAATTGCAACCACAACATTAAACGTTGTTCTTAAACACAGAGTTAAAGAAAAAGGAACAAACAAAATGAAAAAACCCCGGCCTTGTCTTGTATCTATATTAATATACTGTTGACCTTTGGAAAGACATATCAGCCTTTCAGCTGAGACAGTTTTGGAAACAAGTGTGTGGGTTGCTGCATTTGATCTGCGTTAATCAGGGAAGTCCCCGACTTGTCACCCACACACAGTTTATTTTAATAATGTAGACTTGGAAGTTTGCCTGTTTTTTTTAAACATTTGCGGTGAAATGTTATCTGAATTTCATGCTCTTGAAAGGAAATTAAAAAGACAATGTCAAGATTTTTCAGCTTACATGAAAAATGATGGCATGCCATTTATAATTAAATCTGCTGTACGTGCAACAAAGGATGAAATAGACGTTCCTAGTTCATACGCTACATATTTCTGATCATACTGTCAATTCTTTATTCCTATTTTTGCATTTCAACTTTGAAATGAAGTTTTGCTTTGCAGAGCAGTTTTGATCCTTTACTTCTACTACTTTGACAGCACTCTGTTCAACCTCAACAGTGGCAAAGAAGCCTGCATGGTGAAGCAGAGACAAGGGGAAGAGAGTAAAGGTGGAGTGAGTCTGATAAAGTTTAGATGTTGACTTTTAAAAAGACATCAGTTATTCCTAGCAATGTTTGAAATTATGCTTTATCTGCATCACAAGCTACGTGATGGTCAATTGAACATAAAAAAATCATACTATCTTATTCATGTCACTAAGCGGTGCATGCTCTATAGTGTAGACTCTAAAAGTGAACACTCAGAGGTCCTGTTTGCAGTCCAAAGACTGTTTTTTTTATGGCAGAAACTTGATTACAATTTTATCAACACTCTTTCACTTTCATTTTTATTTTGCAAGTTATAGGCCCGCACTGATGAAAGTAAGTCATTTAAATGCTATATTTAGAAAATCTAGGTTTGTTTCAACTAGATTGTTGCAATTAGTAAGTATGTACAGTTAGTTATTTATTATGTGTTTTTTTTTTAAACTAAGGAGACTCTGTCTTTGCAGTTACCATCTTTGCAACAATGAGTTTTTCTAAACAGGGTGGGACTTTGTCTCTGTTTACCATCTTTGCAGTACACCTGACCTTGTGTGTGTGTGTAATGGGACAATGCAGACTCCCGTGTCTGCAGCTGCAATACCAGTGAGTCAACTGCTTCTCGCGAAGTTCAAACATTTGAGATGTAGGTGGAGTGTTTTCGTTCTTAGCATATGCAGCTTGATGATCCAGTGGGTTCACTTGTGCCGTTTATTCAGCCCGTGGTCTGCATCGCTCTCTGTGTATTAAATGAAATCCATGTAAGTTCAAGAGATCGTGGACATCTTTCATGATCTATTATCATGCTATTGCTCACCCCAACCTATTAGTATCACTAAAAGAGAACTGTTGGCTCTTTTTTGTCCACACAAGTTAGTTAATAAATCCGACTGGTGAATTTACCTGGTTCAGGGTCTTGAACGAAAGGTGAGCTGTCGCTGATGTTTAAAAGAAATCATTTAAAAAGTTCCCTTTTCTCCTTTTTTTTCACCTCACTATCAAACTTTAATATTTTACCAAAACAAAATATCCACAAACATCCCCTTCTTGTCATTCAAAATGATCCTCTCAGTTGTGAACCTTTAATTTTCAAACTACCACTACTTTTATTTATAGTTGTATTGGTTTTTCTTTAAACTCATTCATAAGAAAATCAGTTCAGGAGCTCAAGGCCTTTATTCAGCAGCGGAGCTTTAGCCTTGGTGTCGCCCTCTAAAAGAACCACTCTTTTTACAACCAAGAAAAAGAGGAACACATCCTCGTTCGGCAGTTCCTGGCCTTCACAGACAAACTCTCTCTCACACGCGCACACACACACACAGACACACACTCACACTCACTAAGGCCTCAGCCAAAGCTCCCTGGGAACTTGTTGGATGTGTAATAGAGTGTCAGATGTGGACAACTTAAGCAATGCGAGGAAAAGTGCTGGTAAACAGATCAATGAAGGCCAGAGCAGCGGCGTAGACGGTTCCAGTGTGTAGTGAACAGATGTGTTAACATGATCAAATGAGGTAGTGGAGTAAAAATGAAGACATCTGGAGCAGGTTTAACAAACTGGATTCCCCAGATTTTCACTTGGCAGCAGCCTGCATACTTTTAAGGCCGCTGTGACATGTTTTGAATGTTATTACATAATATTGATTATGTTTTTGGCAGGAATTACGCCAGTTTGTTCTGCACATATTGGCGTTTTATTGAATTTCTGGATTCACTCCGCTGTAATGTTGTAGGGATTTTAGTAAATTGAGTGATGAAGCTTACAAACAAACAGAAGCAGCAGTGTACACACCTGAAAGGATCTTTTTTTATTTAGAAGGACTGTTTACCCAAGACTGGTGAAAGACTGTTTTTAAACTGAAAGGATGAGAGCGAAAAAAAACACACATCTTTTTAAAAAAAAATTCAATTAATCTGTTGAATTTTTCCTTTTAATATTGCAAAACCAACATTGATGCTTTCCAATTGCTGTTTTCCACCAACCAAGAGTTCAGAACCCAAAGATATTCAGCCACTAATGGCACTAAATGTATAAAATAAAGGAAAACACAACATCCTTACTCAGGAAGCAAAAATAGGTTGTTAAATGTGTAAAAAACAAACACATAACCAGACATATTTGTATTTTTGTGATGAATTCTTATGATTGTTTTATGTTTTAAAGTAGTTGAATTGTATGATTTTCTTCAAGGTTTGAAACAAGAATCATTAAAAACAGCTTTGATATGTTGATATTACATTTTTGGAATTCTACAATTATTTAAAGTGAAAATAAGCTGCAAACTTTTTTTTCCCTGTAAGCAAGTTAATAAAAAATATTTCTGTAAGGGTCATGATCACTTTACACATTTTAAATTTGGGATGTCTTGAAACGATTTCTGTTCAAGCTTCTTAAGTTTGATGAAAGTGAAATTAAACTTTTCTAAATTCAGAAATCAGTCAAACTTTAACATAATTTACAACAATCACAAAAAAAGGTACGACACTTTTTTGTAAAACATCAAAAAAAGATTTTGTTGATTTGAAAATTATGTAAACCTAAAATTTATTTAAAAATGAAACTGAAAAATTTTGTTTTTCAGAGGTTATTTAAGATTTAATGCAAGCAATGTGTTTTTAAAAAGTTGATAAAGAGAAGACAAAACACTGAAAAAGTTGCGTTAATTTCAAAAAACGTCATTCAACTAATTCAGCTAATTTCTCAGTTGTTCTCGGTTGTTTAAATAGTAGGACATAAAAAAAGAGCATCCAGAGGGAAGTGGACATGGGAGGAGGTTGTCTGAGTAAATAGTTCAACTATTTCATAATAATCTACTTAGTTGTAAAATTACAAAGAATTTGGGAGGCTCATGGTCTGTGCTGCGTGGCGCCATTAAAAGAATTTGGAGGAATTGCAAAACAGAGAAGGCGGATGACTGTGATCTTCAGGCCCTATGTCAAAATCAGAAATCAGGCTCTGTCGTGGAAATCACTGTATGAGCTTAAAAATACTCCAAAAACCTCTGTTTGTGGACACAGTTAGTCACAGCATCAACAAATGAACCTACAACAACAAGTTTGTTACTCATGAGTGAATCTTGTGCAAACTAGGGAGGGTGATGAAAATTAAGAATTGACGTTAAACTAAACAAAAACGTCACGACTTGATCACACTAACCTGTTTGTCTCAGCTAACAGGCTTGGAGTCAATCCACAGATAATTCCAGATTACTCGCTAACTGTTCAGTCATTAATGACAGCTCTGATGATATACAGGTAAAACATGGGAGTCATGGTCTAAGCTTTTGGTTGTGGTGCTGAAATTGAAAGTACAGAGAAAAGTAGCAAAAGTGAGTCAGGTACAGCGTTACTTTCAGGTGAACATGTCGTAGACCATTAACTCCCTAAAATACCTTTAAGTGTCTGTTAATGAGTCACAGGAGAAACTGAGAATGATCAATGTCGTAGGGACATCAGCTCTGACTCTCCACATTGCTCTGATAGCTAAAAAAAAAAACCCAGAATGTAGTCCAGCTGTACTCCCTTTCCCCGCTGAGCTGGGGCGCGAGCTGTCAGACTTCTTAATGGAAAAGCGGGTGTAGAAATATTCTCACCGCGAGCGAAATATCGACTGAAATTGGCGAGGAAAAAAAGGTTGATTGTTTTATGGCCCTGGCCATCGCTGGGAGATTTTGTCTAAATGAGAAATAGATTTTACCTTTAGTGATGCTGCGCTGTAGTTTGTTAGCATGCTAGTCATTTTTCATGTGGATAGGAGGACGTTAGCGGGTGATTCAGGCCTCAGTGGCACACTTTACAGATAACACAGGAGGCTCCGTCTAACTGCTAAAGCAGCTCATTAGGAAAGAGATATTGCATTTTCTGCCCGTTGGTAGAAGTAGCTGCAGAGAGAAGATGTTAAGTTTATTTTTGCTATAACTGGACATACCTGGAGTCTTTTTTTAGTTGTGTTTAATTGAAGCAATGTGCGTTATAGGAACTCCCATCATGGCATGTTGTCAGGTGTGTATTTGCATGCGTACAGGGAGGTGATATTTGGGCATTTCGTGGGGTCCTTCTTTGCAGACTGGGGTTAAAAGTGCATTAGAGGTCATGAGAGATGGCCCACCGGGGCCTGTTACCTCTCCGCTCCCCCCCACGGTGCCGTTGGTAATGACCCTGGGGAGCATAGTAACACCCCCCCCTCTTTCCTCCACACACATATACAACATAACACACTCCTGAACCTGAAGGAGCACAGGAGAGTGTGGCTTGGGGGAGGTTGGAGAGAAAACCTGGAGTGGAGTGTGTTATCTTGCATAATGTTGGTTGACCGCCTCAACAGCCTGTTGATCCCCTCTACTCTTTCCCACCGCCTCCAACACCTACATGATCACACACACACATATATATATTTTTACACACACGCACAAACACACCAGTCCCCCTGCTGAGCACCCCCCCTCACCCACCCATCTGACCTCCTCTTTCTCATTGCAGGACTGTCATTCATAGAGTGCCAAAGCCTGCTGCTTTATTAAAGCCCAGGAAGAGCAAGGCCTGGCCCAGGTTCAAACAGCAGTGCAGCTGGGACCTGTTACATTTTCGGCAGACTGCCCTCTCCGTCTCGCTTGCTATAAATAGCCCCTGTGGTTGTCTCCCTTAACCAAGGAAAAGAGGTTTTTTAAGGGGGGGGTGGGAGGAGGAAAAACACACACAGATTAATAACCGTGGGAAGCAATGAAAGCTTTGTGTCTGCTGCCCGAGGTCAGCAGGCCAGGAGGTGTTGCTACTTCAAAGCCCCCATTGTGGCTTGTACTTTCTGACGCTGCTGCAGTGGGTTTGATGGAAGCACAAAAGGGGCTGCCAGCGGTGTGATGAGTAGATGGCACGGGATTGTGCCAACCAGCCAGATACCCACACAGGCCCTGATTTTTTTGCCTTTGTTTTTTTTAACAATTTCAAGAAATATCAACTTTTTAACAATACAACGTCTCTTCTTATTAATGAAACAGTCATTGTTTCCAAGAAGGAGTCTGGTTTGGTTTGGATGGTACGCAGTTTTTTTGCATTTTCATGATTGGAAGTTTGGAAAAGGGCCAAAAAAAAACAAAGTGTAGCTGCTTCCCACTGTCCTGGCACCTCACTGTTGGGGTGAGATTATAATTGGTTATATCTCTTCTTACCTGAGTGTATTTCATCAGTAAATTCATGCATCCTCAACATTAGGAACATTTTAGTCCATATCAGGAATTGCTTCCAGCGTGATAAACTGATAGGGTTTTATAAAGACATACTTAATTCACACAGAAAGGAAAAGCGGCACAGAGATTTTAACTCCTTTGGTTCCTCTATCTCTTCGGTCTTAGCTAGTAGAAGACTTGCACATGCTAATAAGTAAGGAGTCATGTTCGGTATAATGTCAAGAAAGAAAGGTGTTATGAAACATTCGTCCAGTCTACTTTTTACAGGTCTGATAGGACTACATTTGACAAGGATGGGATGATTGCATAACTATCCAAAGTTGCTTTCCAGTGCTTATTTATTTGTTTGTGCAGGCAAGATGTTCATGTATTTCGCACCCTGCCCTGGGCTGGGCTTAGTATATATTTCTGCTTTTTCCCCCTTGCCAATCCTATTCCTGATTTATCTGTTTATTTTCTCTTCTGATCAGGGCATAGCTTATATTGAAAACCTGTAGAATTTGCAATTAAAATGATACTTAATGCAACAGAAACTGCCTTCAGAATAAATTGCTCATACTTGCTTTAATCATGTTTTTGTTGCACTGGAGTTTGTTTTGGGGGGATTCCAGCGATCTCATCTCTTATGTACACACATCATCAGACACTTTATGACCTTGGCCCCAGCTGTTGACAGGCAGGGTTACCTCATTTCAAGCTCCCCCCTACCCCCTCCTCCTCTTTCACTGTTCCCTGCCTGGCCCTGTGTCCAGAAAGGCAGTCTGCCAGAGTAACACTGTCTGCCTAGGCCATGTGGATCTCCCAGAGTCCAAGCCAAGCCAAGCCAAGGTCAGCCCCTCCAAACACCAGCCCCCGGCCTCCTCTCTGACGTCGCTCCAGCTGAGGGGTGGGCCCCGCTCCAGCCCCCTCAGACACTTCCTTAAGCTTATTTTCATAGAAACCCTCCCTGACGTCTCTGCCGTAACAGTATCCACCCACTGGCACAATGATCTCCTGGGCAGGGAAATGCTCCTGGCGGATGTAGTGGGCTCATTCATTCATTCATGGCCAATTTTTTCCTTTTCTAGTGGGAAAGTAAATCCACTACTGTGTTTTTTCCCTCCCCCTTCTGCTTTTTTTGTTCTATATTTGCTTGATTATACTGTGGCTGGTTTATAAAATGATGCTTGCACGATGCACTCAAACAGTGGAGTCATTATTTGTCTTGGTTGCTGAGTAATGCTTTTTCAAGAAAAGCCACTAAAAAGCTACCAAAATAACCGTGGCTATATTTGAACCAGGAGCTTTTCCTGTCACATCACTGGATTCTGAACAATGTCCCATCAGTTGCATCATTATAGAGCTTGTTATAGCCTGTTTGGGTGTATAACTGCACTGTCTGAAAGGGACACACCATAACCATCGAATCTAAACCACGACTGAATGACAGACAATTATCTCTCAGCTCATCGAGTCCCAATTTCAGCTCATTAAAACTTTGCGATTCTCTTTGAACGTCCTCCAGCCTCCAAGCCCGATGGACCAGGTGGGGAAGATGCGCGGCCAGCCATATGGAGGACCCAACCCCTACTCTCAGCAGCAGCAGCAAGGGCCTCCCACAGGGCCCGGACCCCAACAGGGAGGCTCCTACCCAGGTCAGGGCTATGGACCTCCAGGTCCTCAGAGGTATCCTATGGGGATGCAGAGTAGGACACCTGGTACCATGAGTGGCGTGCAGTACGGACAGCAGGTCAGTGGTTACTCATTTCGGTTATTCTCTCTGAACGCCTCTTCAAAGCTAAAGTTTCAGAACTTAGGCTTTTAGATTCTTTATTAAAAACAAAAAAAAAAAACAATCTTAAAAGTACCGAGCTGTTGTCTGAAATGAAAACAAAAAGAAATCTGAACGAATGATGAATGAAGGCTCCTCCTTTACTGAAGAAGTCTGCAGGCTTTTCTTTTGGATTTTTATTGCAGTCAAAGATCAACTGGATTATGCAGAAACCATCAAGTGCACATACTTTATGATTTATGACCCAAGACTTTTTTTGATGACAGATATTAATTAAATGACTTCAGAAGCTGAGTCTTGATTGTCAAATTGTCTTTGCTTTTCTCAAAAAAACACCAAAAAGAAAGTTCAACGTGTCGTCTTTTCTTTTCCTCTTCCTTTTCTAAGATTAAATCATTTTTTTGGACTCATAGGTTCATGCCAGCATAAAAAAGCACAACATATAGAAAATATAATTACAACACGGGAGAACAAAAAAACTACAGGTAACAAGAGACCAAAAAATCCAGAGTTTCATCGTTTCATGTGGGCTGAATAAACTCAAGATAACTTCAACTTATTTACATTCATGGTTTGAGAAATACTCGACCAGATGTGGAGCACAGTTGAGTATAAGAAGCTCTGTTTTGACATAGTTATGGTTGAAAGTAGTTTATTTGTAATCGTCCCCTCACAAATGGAGCACGTTCAAAGTGCAGCATGTGACTGGGGTTATGTCTGGGTTCAGAGATAAGTTGGACGAGTTTCAAAAGATTGTGTCATGTTCAAAAAGTCAGCGTCAACCCAATCTGAACAATCATCCATGTGAGTTTTGAAATCGCCAAACGTGAAGTCACTGTCTGGCTACTGAGAGTCTTTACATGATGTATGACTGTTGTGCATTGGGGCAGCAGCGCCATTCTTTGTCGATGAGGAATATTGTCAAATATTGACAGGGGGACACTTTGTTATCCATAAACCTCAGCCTGTGGTGCTGAGGGTGAGCTGGGAGAATGGTGGGCTGAGGCCTGCATCACTAGACCCTGTCTAGAAATGTTAGTTATAAAGTCCAAAAGGAGAAATACCAGTGAGTGATCAAAGAAGTTAGACCTTCTTTTTAGGGGGTCATTAACAGGGAAATTTTGAGTGTTTCTCTCTGGTGCTTGGTCATAGCACAGGGCATGGTTTGAAGCCTGGACCACAAGTTAATGAGTTTTTCACATTCCTGTTAGTTGAGCCAGTCGAGCGTTTATTTGAGCCGTGACTCAACGTTACAGGAATGGTGGAAGTGCCAGCATACAGTAGACTCAATTAATGGCCAGACTTTTATAATAGTTCAAATCAGTTATTGTTGCATTTTGCAGAAAAATCGCCCCAGATATGGCCTTCAATCAAACCAGAAATGTTGTTTTACTTCAGATTTAATACACAAGATAATATTTAAGGCAGGTGTACTACCTTTTTCTTTTTTCTAGTGCGCTCAGTCTTTGAGGTAAGCTAAGTGACAGCTTGATCTAGCTTCATCTTCAGCAGACAGATAAATCAGAGGTCTTCATTATTACATTTTCACAAGACAAAAGAAGCTTACCTCCAAATGCTGAACCCCTGCCTTGGTGAGAGACAGGACAGCGCGATAGATGACATTATATTTCTTCAGCTTTAGCAGCAAAGGATCTCTGTAATGGGCTGGAATATGTTAAAAGTGCTGGATAAAAATCTGATGCTTTTTACTGTCCAGGTTTTAAATATGGTGGATTTACATGGGAAAGAATCTCCACAGTCAAACCAAAAAAGGTCCAGAGTTGCAGTTGACTGACATAGATATCAGTTCAATGGCCAATACAGAAAACTACAGAGCAGGTTAAACAATAACAGATATATAATCCCAATTTTAACCATCTTTGTATTTTTTTACCTTTAATAAAACACAACAATTCAAAAATAATAATAATACAAAAAAATTAGAAATAAAATGATTGAACTTGTTGCCATAAGCGAATTTACGTGCAGCTATCTGTATCTGATGGGAAAAAATGAAAAAAACAACAGGGCAAATATTTGAAAAAAAAAAAAAAATGCTTTAATAGAAAAAAAAACCAGATGGTGTAATAGATATTAACTGATTGATAATTTAACATTATAACAGAATTTATATTAAGCACTAGTAGCTAAGTATTCTAGACTTGATATTCTATCATTTAGGGTTGGAAAAATGTGTTATTTTACAGGAAACACGGTGGTAACTTCGTAAATTTTTGGCACAGGGCACAAAACTAACTCTTAGACCATCATCACAGCAGCCACCTGGCATCTTAAAGTGAGCCTCATGAGTGTAAATATTAGCCAATGCTGGTTATTACAAAGAGTCCTAAATTGGCTAAATTGATTGACCTCACCATCACCGCATTGATCGGTCTACCTCTAGTCTAGAGTTAATACATGTGAACTCTGCTTGGGAGGACAACCTTTCGACTCTTCATGCTTCATTTCTATTACCCGCTGAAGAAGGTAGCGTGTTCAGTGCGGGTGGGCACCACTCTCTGGCTGAGAAAGTGCAAAGAGCCAGGTAGCCTTAAGTACTCATGCATAAGTAGGAAGGAGACCTTCTTCAACCCCTCAGCCAGGCAGTTTGAAATGCATGCTGGGAATCCCACAGAGTCAAGTTTTTTCTTCCACGTCCGCTGTCTGTGGTCTTGTGTGCCTATTGTGTGCTGTGATTATCTCATTCTGGCCCGCCTGGTGTCTGACCGTGGACTCAATAAGTGCCCTGCAGAGAGAAAACAGCTCCTCTCCTTTTGTCAAAAGTACTCGCCACAATACAACCACTTCACGTTGTTTTAAATGTCCCTACTATCTCTTGTTTTCTTTGAAATCCGGCGTAACTGAGAACCTCCCAGAACAACACGTGGCTTTTTTTTCCCCTTCCCTCTTCTCTTTTTATTACTGTTTCCTCACAAGGTCAGGGTTTTCTCCTTCTATGCTCCTTGAGGGTAATGAAACACACACTGTATTGAAAGGCTTTCCGAGCGCAGTATCGGGTAGAATATGAAAAGCCTCATATTGAAGTTCAAGGAGATGAAGTCAAAACTCAATTTTTATTTTCATGGCTGTAATTTAAAGTGATGCGCTGCCGAATTTTTTGCACTTAGATGCTTTTTCTCATGCGCTTCTTTCACTGATCAGTTTATAGCGAGGAGCACACTCCTGTCTCTCTTACACACACAGAACAGTTGTCTTTCCTTTTTGATTAAAATGAAGAGAGACTCTGATCACTCTGCTAAGAACTAACAGAAAAAAAAAATTCAAAGGGGTGACTTATTCGGGTATTATTTATATATTTTACACGATCAGAAAGGAAGCTGTCAGCGCAAAGACTGTGTTCAGACAGTGATTGATATTCCATAGAGGAGCCCAGGATAGTAAACCTGTAGTAAAATCAGCTGAAGAAAGCTCAAAGTGTCCATGTGCAGTTCACCTGTACTCGACTTCATTCATTGTTGATTCTTCTTAGAACTGGACAATGTGACAGACAATCATACCACAATAATATTCTCTATATCACTATAGTAGATATTTATCAGCACATCAGGTTGAATAACGCTGTCAGTTTTATGAGTTTCATGATGAAAGAAATCGAGACATTCTCATGTACAGGGTATCTGCAGGGTCTTAAAAAGTCTTTAAACGTCTACAATCCAATAATTTGAATTTAAGGCCTAGAAATGTCTAAAATTGTCTTAAAATCTCATAAAATGTTTACGATTTTAAAAGATGAACTCTACAAACGATAAATAATATGCCACGGGAATAAAAATTGATTTGAAGTAATGTAAGAGGTTACAATTTCCCCTCATGTCTTTTGTACTTTTTTGCCAATATGGATGATAAATGGGTTTTACATTGTCCCACTGAGCAATAGGCGCTATTAGATGTCTATAATTTTTTATTTTTAGACCTAATTTCAACCGTCTAGATTCTGTATATTTTTAGATGGAATTTAGACGTTGCACTTTAACCCATTATTCAATAACTATTTATTTCAAAAAGCAACTGTGAGTTGATAACTGATCTCCAAGTACTTAACCAAAACAATTATGATAGCCGTTGAGCAATATACAGTGTAGTATAGATATAGCCCAGATTTAGACTTGGTCTAAATTAAGACGTTTTAAAAACTTTCATTTTCAGACCTGTGGTAGCCTGATTTTAGACCAGTAATCTAGGCTCCATTTAGACGTCCATTAGACCTCTTTTAGACCAAAAATGCTCAGTAGAGTGTTTATTACAGACGTTAAAAAATCTTAAAAAGTCTTAATTTTGACTTGTTAAAATCTGCAGAGCCCCTGCATGTAGTTCATATGTGTTCTTCTGCAGATATAATTTACTGTGACCCAAGCTGCCATTAACAGTTGAGTTCCTCATTTAAAAGGTTTCCGCTCAGAAACAAATTATCTCCAGAGCCCCTCCTCTCTCTGAGACAAACTGACCTGTAAAAACAGGGAGGAAGTTTTTAGCACCAAAGCAAGTGTCAAACTGTATTCTTCATTTGAGTCTCTCTCACAGTTGTTCAGGGTTGGCTTGTTGAGTTGATGCTAAAGCCTGGTTTCCACTTCTGCACTGAAGCTACGCTATAGGTTTACACAGCCCTGTATCTATACGGAGGCCAGCATACATAGCCTGACATGCACCTCTTCACAAAAGGCACTCTAGGTCAAACAAAGCAGACCACAAACTCTGTGGATGGTCTGCTGGGCAGCGTTGCATTTGCTGCATTTACAATGTTTCCATCATCGCTGGTTATGTTGTTTGTTGGCTATAAACTTCATCTCCTCAAACACTAAAAAAATTGATCTGGATATATTTAAGAGTTGATAAAGTCCACACAATCTGAGACGGTCACATTAAGAGAGCAGTCTGTAAAGGATTTTTAAAGCCTGATGTACAAGCTTGAAAAACTACAGTGTGATCGCTCACATTTCTGCTGTATGTGGACTGTTAAAGATGTCCATATCAACTGAAAAGGGCGCAGATTTATTGATGGAGATGAATTTTGAATTGCATTTCATCTCAATATTCTTTTATTGCTGTGCTCCAGCTCTTCTCCTCTTATCGGTGGACAATTGCTGATTCTGACCAGTCTCTCTATCGTCTTATCCTCTAGATGTCTGCATATGGACAACAGGGGCCTGGAGGCTATGGCCAGCAGAGCCAAGGCTATTATGGTCAGCATGGCCCTCCCCCTCACACGGGCCAGCAGCAGCCTCCATACCCTGGCCAACCCCAGGGCAGCTCTGGAACCCCTTACCCCCAACAGGGCCACCCTTCACAGACAGCAGGCCAACACGGGCAGTCAGGACCTCCATACCAACAATCCCAAGGCCCCCACGGCCCTGCTGCAGGTCAGTCTCCCTACAGCCAACCCCCACAGTCTCAGCCAGGACAGCCGCCCTATGTCCCACCCCAGCAGCAGCAACCTCAACAGCAGCAGGGACCAGGTCCTCAAAGTCAGCAGGGCTCACAGGGCCAGCCTGGCTACCCACAACCTCCAGGACCAGGGCAGCCGCCGCCGCAGCAAACTCCGCAGCAGCAGCAGCCGCAGCCGCAGCAGCCGCAAGGACCCCCACAACCACAGCAGCAACAGCAACAGCCAGGAGGGCCCCCTCCTCAGGCCCAGCAACCTCCAGGCCATGGCCAGCAGGGTCAACCATCACCTTATTCCCAAACACCCCCACTGCAGCAGCAGCAACAACAACAACAACAACAACAACAACAACAGCAACAACAGCAACAACAACAGCAACAACAACAGCAGCAGCAGCAGCAGCAACAACAGCAGCAGCAGCAGCAGCAACAACAACAACAACAACAACAACAACAAACGCAGCAACAACAACAACAACAACAGTCACCATATCAGAGGTTCCCACCTCCTCCACAGGTAATATCAACACACAGGACTGAGTACACACAACTCAGTACGGATCATGGTACCCTTTTATTTTGTATATCACCCTGTTGAGGGTGTGGTGATGAAAAGTCAAATAAAAATCACTGCAGACATCGAATTAGCCCGAGAGAGGCTTGACAATCTGTGATCGCACATCAGTGTCTTCCTCTGTATTTACATGTGTGCAAATCCACCGTATCATCTCTCTCTTGTTTCCATCATCAGGAATTGTCCCAGGATTCCTTCAGCTCCCAGTCCAGCGCTCCCCCTTCCAACCAGCCCATGGCTTCCAACAAGAGCAGTCAGGAAGACAGCATGCAGGGCCGGCCATCCAGTCTGCCGGTAAGCCTCCAGTTCCTTCTCTTGACATACAGCTTTGGCTTGTTGTATTCATTGTTTGACCCTCCAGCATTTCAAAATTGGACAGATTCAAAGCCACAAATGTCAGATTTTTGTAAGACAAAGAAAATCTAGTTGTGTGTAAGCTTGCTGTCCAGCTGATTCGGCCACAAAAGGCAATGAGTCAAGTTCTGCGTACAAAGGTTTTCTATTGAAAGCAGTTGACGGAAATAAGTTTATGTCCTCTTTAAGACATGCATGCCAAATTTTTGTTAAATAGCTCAGTATTGAAGCACTTTTAATCAATCACTTTAAACATAGTTACTTGTTCTAATGCTGGTCAATTGGAAGTCTTTGGGGGGGCTCTTATTTCGTATCTAAACTGGATTCAGAAAAACTTAACCTTCCCTGGTCTGTATGTAACTTTATGAGTTTTCTGAGTTGTATCTACAGTGTATATTGCATCGCTGCAGGAGTAAGGTCAACATTCAGAACTTTGGACTGCTGACTGCTGGATTCTCAGCTTTGTTCACAGCTTTCTGTTGACAAGCCTGTAAAATTACTGAGTAACTGAGAGGCCAGACAGATGTCTGCATACAGAGAGGGAAAAAAAACATCTCGACCTAATAGGAACCCTGGTTGGCATGATGCAATGTTCTTAACCCAGTATCTGAATGTCAATGGCAGTATTGATTGACATTTGGATTGAATTAATCCTTTAATTTGAGCCAAACTGATTGGAAATTTAGATGACCACCAACTCTGTTGTGCTGGCAATCATGGCTGGTTTTTAAGGTGGAGTCATGATTTAGCGAATCCATGTGGATTGTGGGTTGAAATGATTTCGCAAAGGTAACAGAAAACTGTTTTCTTATACAAATAAATTAAAAAGTTCACAATAGTACAATCACTTTTTTTTAGAATGATGATCTGTGTTTTATCACCATTTTTCGTGGTCATTTTCAAAGCAATTTTTCAGGTTCCTGATTGCTGACCAACCGAAAAAAAAAAAACAATACACTATATAAGCTAAAATGCCTGTAATTTAAATATCAGTGTGTAATTTGTTTAATTTGAAGTGAGTATAGCCATTGAGAAGACTTCACGTACATCCAATCTCAGAAAAATGTTCATTGGATTAAAAAAGTAAACAACACGTCTTGCTAAAGAAGAGCTAGCTTGACTGGTCATTAAATTCATCCACTTCGCTCTGAGGTAGTTCTAAGTTTGTAGCTCTACCTCTTCTACCAACTTCTTTATAGCTTATGTCTTCTTCTGCCTGCACACATTTAACTTTCCAGCAAGGCAATATCATTCACATGAAAGTAGAAGGTAGAGTAACTACTGATACGAATAATCAACTAATCAAAGCTAAACTTCAACATAAAACAGTCAAGTACCCATACGGGCTAAATCTGCTGTGGTGGTTATTTCCCTGTTTCTATCACCGTTTTATTCAGCATGATTTCTGCTTGACAAGTGTCGGCATTTAAACACAACTTGACTAAATTTAAAATGATTCAATCTTAAAGATATACAGAATGATAAACAAGAGTTGGAGAGCATGTCAGTGGGACTCGGTATTTGCGTTTGCCATCTTTGCAGTGCACTGCATAGGTGCCACTCATCGCATAACACTTGTGGTTTTATGCATCATGAAAAATGTCCATGAACAACTGTAAAACTGATGAAAACATGACCCGTTTCTCGCTTAGGATCTGTAAATTTTGGACTTGTCCTTATCTTTCACATTTCGAAATCTTCCTTTTGCACATCACTCTCCATACAGCCCGCTGATGACAGTCAAGCTGTACTTGTAGATGTAGCGAGATTTAAAATTTGCACCTGCCATCTTTCGAATTACCGCTTCAAAATACCACAAGCTAACCACAAAAAAACTGATGCCAAGAGTGGGTTCACTGAACTCAAGCAGTGCAGGCTTCTACAAATGTTTGAGAGAAAAAAATCTGAGAGGGCAGAAAACCATCTCTGCCAGAAAGGGGATTGTTGAAAGTGAAGCAAATCTGGCTTCTGATAGCCCTCTGGCTAAGATAAAGGTGAGAGAACCCCCCCACCCCCCCTTTCCTGTTAAAGAGGTGTCTCTCTGTAACACGTTGCAGTTTCCATGGCACTGTTTATAGGTCAGACTGTGGAGCTAACCTCATTCTGGGCCTCAGGGAAGGAGAGTGAGAAATGAGATCATTAATGAGAGAGAATGAAAGTGAGAGAGCGAAGTCAGTGGCGAAGGGAGGGAGAGAGGGTTCGGGAGGGGGATTGTGGGATTGAGGGAGCACAAGCAAATAACTTCAAATAGTGTGAGTGATTGGTTGGAGTGGGAGACGCTGAGAAGGAGAGAGGGAAGGATGAGAGGCATTGCTGTCTGTGCCAGTAGGGGATGCCCTCAGGATGTGTTTCCCTCTTCTTTTATTTATTTCTCTTATTTATTTATACACCTCTCTGCGGGCTCCACCATTGGCCGAGCAGGACAGGCTGGGCTATTTTTATTTATTTCCCTCCAACTTCTTGGGGATTCCCTATCGGTGCTTTGTGATTGGCTGTGAGAGGCGATAATCTCACTGAGGTAGAGATAAACTTTCTCCATATCCTTTCCCTCTCATCTTTTTGCACACCTATGCACCAGACCATGTGCTGATCAGACCATGCTGGATGACAGTGACTCTGACAATTTAAAAAAACAGCTGACTCGACTCCATCAAGTATTACGAGTAGATATGCACCAGCGTTATCCGCCGCACCAGGAAATGACAGGACATTTTTCGCCAAACTCCCAATGAATAAAAAGTTTGTTTTTCACAACCAAATTGCACGGAGATGTTCTTGGACAATCCCTTGGCGTGACTCGTCCAGACATATGTGAACACAAAAATCACACTCTGTAGCAAAACAAACAAGTAAGACAAGATCGCCAAGAAGGGGTAGTCATGACGTGCCTCCAACCCAACCCTGGAGATATTCATTTGCAGTGGTGATTCGATCAACCCAGTAAAACCCAAATAATACAAACAGTCACACAGCGACCAGGCGATTGTTGATGGGCTAACAAATCTGGCCGTTTCCATCCACTCATCGTCAGCAGAGAAAGTGGTTATAGATATACCAATACCATTGGACTCAACAGCATCTTCTGGTTCAACAACTGAATTCAGAGAATTTGGTTCAGCTCTTCCAATCAGGAGGATTTGTCCGTCTCATCACCGAACTCTTCACTTTTACCAGGCTGGCCTTGTACCTTTTCATTACTGCCTAGCATAGTGGTTAAAACCTCTCATCTCTATGTGCTGACTCGAATATGCTCATTCAGTGATTTTGACTTCCCACTTCTTCAAGTCATTTTGTTGTGAACTGGCGAACATTAGTCTGTGTTTCAAAGTGTCTCGATATTTGTTGTAAATAGTAACCCCGTTATTTGGAGACTATTGGCCAAATTTATCCCCTGCAAAAATGCCTTTCAATTTTTATTGTTAAAGTAACTAGTGAGTATATTCCGACATGACCTTTTAGGATGCATTCGCAATTCCGCAAATTAACGGCTGTTGTAACCATGGCAACTGCTAAGACATTTAGCAGAAACTTGCCATATGACGGGGTCACTCCAAAACTAAAAACTTGCTTTCCACGATGCATAGTGTGACCAGTATGCATGGCATTTATTTACGTACTACTTGGGCAGATGAAGCTGAGACGTGATGATACGAGGACAGCCCCATAATGGCGTGTTATTTGTCGAGTATTATAATACAGCAGTGTGAACGCAAAGTAAGTACAACAAACATTAAAAGTGAAACGTTAGCATTGAAGGCTTGCCTCATGCCTCTATCAAATACAGAATAGACCCGAGCTCCACAGCAGCTTCTGAAGCCTCTTTTCAAGTATGTACTGTTATGACCTGAAACAGCAGTCCATGGTAATATGTTTCTGTTTTAATTAAAACCCCTCAACGTTTGCTTTTTAAGCTCTTGAAGCCCAGACTTTTGAAACGGTGCTGACCCAGTTTCATTTTGAAAATGAGGAGATATTTGGAAAAGTTGATGCATAAGCTCACATTTTCTTTCCACTGGGGTTTAATCATTCAAGATGTGCCCTTTTCTAATTTCTCTGTGTCCGTAAACTCCAAAAAATACTGGAAGTGTGTGTAAGTCAGGATAATGTAATGTGTAAAATATGCTTTATGAAGGGATCCAAAGAAAAAAAACAGTTGGATTACAACTACATGAGGGAGTGTAGCATCTGAATTTGCATGCAGGTGTGTTATTAGTAACAGTATAAATGTGGCACTTGTAGAGATAGAAGTGTTTCCATTGCACAGAGGTTTGCAGACACATCTTTAGACATACTCTGAAAGTTTTAGTTGATTTCGGACCCTGCATTATTGTCCACCTTATCTCCAGCATGATTACATAAAATTCTAATTCACTCTTTACTTTTTAATCAGTAATATTGTTGATTAAGTTTCGCCAAAGAGAATAACAAATGAAAAATCTGTCAATAACACAAAGTAGTTTTAAAAAAAAAAAGTGTGATACTGTATTGGTTGTACCAAAACTCACCAGTAAGCTTATTGTCCGATTTAAAAGTTATTGCAACACAAAGAAAAGCAATTATGTTTTATGTATTTATTTCCATGTGTTGGTGGATTTCAAACGAGTAGAAAGCATTGCTTCAATGATTAATCCAGAAAGAAGGTGTCCAGTTCTTCATCTTCATCATTAAGAGAGAAGTGTAGTTTTGAATTAAGTCACTTATGTCAAGTTAAGCAAAAAGGTATGTTTTCCAAATTAAAATACAGCTGAGAATTTTTAAGAACAGATTACAGCTCCTCTAGTTTGGTTTGAGGGAAAAAACGTGTTTATTTTGTAAGAACCTGCAAAGATTTGCACAGGCTCCTTTGTCTTAATCTGGCTCTGAACACGTTTGAATCCCGATCCAACAGCGGCTGAGAGGTAAGCACTATTTAGCTACTTTAGTAGCTTTCACACAGAGCCAGCCAGACATCACCTCATCCAGAGCACAGATGGAACTGTTTGAGCCAGGTGCTAAAATCCCAGCGTCTGTTAGGCCGCTGTTGAGGTGGGAATAAAGGAGTACAGGAGGCTCAGTGCCTGCTGGAAAGCGCAGGTAGGCAAGCAACAGTCAGTTTGAGAAACGGGGCTGTGGATAGAAGAGGAGGAGGAGGAGGAGGAGGGAGGGGAAACACAGGCAGCGGCAGTGTAACAAGCCGAGCAGGTTGAGCTGGTTCCTGGCTCCAGGACACACATGCACAGTTAAACTGTTGAGTATTTACCACACTGACGGTTCCCTGTAACTGATGTTGTCTTCACGGAAATATCTTTACACCTTCACAGTGTAGTCATAGAGCTTATGAAAATCCAGAGCAGCTAGCACTGAGCAAAGCAACGTCAGCAACAAAAGAGGAGAATAGCTGTAGTCATGGTTAAATGTTTCTCCGGTCTGATTTAAAAAGTCTCATCTTTCCAGGAAAAGAAGTAAGACTTCTTTTTATTTTCTAGATTGAAGGTGTCATATTTTTAACCTTATCCAAAATATATTATCTGATGAAAGAGGCACTACGTCCTTTTTTTTTTTTTTTGTAACCTCTAACTCTTCAGCAAAGAGTATTTCAGGGCGTCTGAGAACACACTTTGAACAGTATCTCATGCCCTTGATGAGGCATTCACAAGTTTGAAAAGAGAAACCTCATGATGTCAAAGTGATATTATCGGGTTGATTTAAGTTTGGCCTTCAGATTTGAAATTCATCAGCAAGGCCGGGGTTAAAGACTTTTGAAAAGAAAGAAAAAAAATAGGAGGTGATGGTGGAAGGGGTCTGAAATCCTCGGCGTAAAGGCAAATCAAAATTTTTTGCATGTGTAATTTAGAAAGTTAATGCATTGATGCAAGTTGAATCAAATTTGTCTGACACTATGAGATTGCAATTTACTCACACTGAAAAAGTGTGCAAAGTAAAGTTATCTGCAAGTCTCATTTCGCTTACAGATCTCATTTACTGCATCTTAATATGATTATTTCAGCATCCTGTAAACCTCTTTTTGTAACTTTTTTGGGCTTTTTTTTTCTGCCTTCATTTGAGTAGGACAGCGAAAAGATAGTGGAGCAGAGAATGAGGTTAAACACCAAGCAAAGGGTCTCACCACTACAACGAGGACAACAACCTCTGTTCATGAGGAATATGCTTAAACCACAAGGCCAACTGCCAAACCTTTACTACTATTTGTTGCGATATAATCACAGCGAAATCTGTTTGTTTTGTATTCAAACTGCTGTAGTAAACCAGATTGCAGGAGCTGTGTAACTTACTAGATACACTGAAACTAAAGCTAACAGACCAATAGGTGAACTGCTTTATATGTTGAATAAAATCAACAAGGAAGACAAGAAGACAACACTCAAGATCTATGAAAATAAACCCCTCTGATGATCAAACTAATATTCAGAACTTCACAGGTTTTGGGGGTTAGCACTCTTCCGGTCAGCAACATTTTAGTAATCTTTGGGGTGGCTGTGACTCTGAGGGAGTCAACTTTCTGTAGTTGGAAAGCTGGTGGTTCGACTCCAGTTCTTTACATCTGATGCTGAACTCTAAAATAAGCGTGGTGGCACAGCCAGAAGGATACCTGGGAATGTGCTTGATCATTGCTCACCCTGCATACGAGTATTTATTGTCTTTTTTTTAAAGAATATTTTAAATTTGTAGTTGTATTTATTAAAGTCCACCCAGGAGCTCATCTTCTCCATCATGTCTCCAGCAGACTTTGCAGGCTTCGCCGTCACTGTCTGGCCTTTTTAAAGTCTCTGGATGTGACACTTCCTTTCCATGTCAGCTAATTCCAATCACTTCAAGACCACCACTGATCTCCCTCCCTCTCCCCTTCACCGCTCTCTCTCTCTTCCCCTCAAATCTCCTAGTCCGCTCCCACGTCTTTTGTACACCCCCTTTTCTCCACTATGGGACTAATCCCACTCAGCACCGCCCACCGGTTGTGATGCTCCTCTTTTCTGATGTGTCTGAATGTGCTCCAGACTCAAGAGGAAGGTCACATGTTGGTCACACACTCGTGCTTGAGTTTGTTTTTTTGTCCTCGAGCCTGTTTCCCTTTGCCTTTCCAAATAAGAGGTTTCATCTGGAGGGCTTTTATCTTGAAGGAAAGATGCAGGGTTGACTTTATTTCTGTACATGTTAGAGTGGCACCATGAAGGAGAATAAGGACATTTCTTTTATTAAGCTTTAAATTCAATACTTTAGAATTGGGTCTAAAAAAGTAGTGTGACATAAGGAGACTCTAAATGAATTATTTCTTTCTGTTTGCTGCTGAAAGTCTTTTTGGTTTCTTGCTCTACTTTTCCCACCTTTAGATCTACTACAGCATTGCTGCCGATTAGACCCCACCCTTTGTATGAATTCAGTCTAACCCAGCTCAAGGACCACCCACATTACAACAACAGACCCCCCCTCCCCTCCTTTAATGACCTTTAATGTTATGTACCAAGCCTCCTGATCTGGAACTGAGGGATCCTCCAGCCCTGGTGCTGATCAACTCTGAGTCCCCCCTCCTGCAATCCCTGTTCCCTGCTCAGCCCAGCCCCGCTCTGCTCTCCTTCTGCAGCTAAGCTTGTTTTTGCGACATAGCTCTGGAGCAATCAGCCTGACAAGGCCAGCCCACTTTTTTTCCCCTTCTCCTCTACCCAGCCCAGCCCCCTTCTTGCTTTTTCAACATAACACTGTTTTTTGCTGCATTTTTCTCCTTCACTCTCTTGATTTTTTATACATATTTCAGTCTCTTTCGTTCCTCTTTCCATCTAAATTCTCTTGCACTGCCTGCACCCTCCTCCCCCTCCTCCTCCTCCTCCTCCTCCTCCTCCCTTCCTCGTTCTCTCTCTTCGCTTAGTAAATCAGCTTTCATAACGCTGTGCAGCACAGCCTTGTTTTGCGAGGCTCTGCCGCTGACAGTATTCAGAGTCCGGGGCCGGTTTCCTGTTGCTATTCTGGGGCCCTTGCTTCCTGTGTGGACATGTCTTATTCAGATTCCAGGGCGCCTCTCACTCGCTCTCACCCTACCCTCCCTCCTCCTTCCTCCTCCTCTCAGCTCGTCTGTTTCTCTCCCCCTGCTCCCTCTTGCTCTCACTCTTTTTCTATCCTTTCTATGTGATTTTTAATTAATGTTCTTCAGAAAATTTAACCTGCTGACAAAGTGCGTTGTTTTGCGTTTGCTTCAGTGAATTGTTTCTCAGCTCTGCTGACACCCAGAGCCCTGTTTTTGCTCTTGTGAGCTCTCACACACATACACACACGCGCACACACATACACTCACACAGAGCACTCTCCCTCTCCCTTTTTCGCTCTCTCTGCTCGCTTACACACTCTCACACTCTCCCATGCCCCTCCCCTCTGCCTCCATTTCTGCTGGGCTGAGCTAGTTTTGCAGCACAAAGACTGTGGCTGACTGCAGCACTGTCTGTGCTCTCTGGCTCTCACTGGAACAAGCTGCTGAGCTTAGATGGATGAAACTGGCCTCACAATGAAATTAACTCTCACTCTATGAAATAACCTCTATATTATTTTTTCTCTCCCCTCCCCTGTTAATTCCCTGCTGTTGCTTTGGTAGCTATAGACATGCTTTATGTGTGTGGGTGACAGTGGGAGGGGAGGGGTGCTGCTGCTCAGGAGAACAGGCACTGGCTATAGGGGTCTGGCCCCCCCCCTCTCACTCTACCTCACCCCGAGGCCCCTCCAGCCCCCTCACCCTCTGTATCCCAGCAGTCCTCACCTCAGGCTGGGCAGCTGCCTGCCTCACTTGGGCATCTGTGCGCTGCCCTGGGACTCCCTGCTACTATTGTGATCCCTACAAAAGGCCCCCCATGCACACACCATCTCCCCATTATTCACAGCAATCAGACCAACCACCCCCCCCTAAAAAAAAAGACCCACCCTCTGCTGCCCCCTTCATCTGCACACAGACTGCAGCAGTGTTTGTGTGTCTTGCACACCCCCTTTTTTGTGTTCCCCCCACAGAGAAGCTCAATTAGGCAAATGTGGGGCGTTTAAAGAAGAACTCCCTGCTTATTGATGTGGACCTTGTTTCAATCAGAATAGACCCATTTGAAAAAAAAAAATCAGTGTTCATGTGGCAAGACTTTGAAAACGCAAAAACCAAATAAAACTGATTGAAAACACGGTAGTATTCATAAAGACCAGTAGTTGGCAGTATAACTTTCAAAAGAGTGAAATGAGGAGACAAACAAGAAGATGCTAATGAACACTTCATATCAACACTTTGCTGAACATCTGTTCATCAACCTAAAATCAGAAGAAAATTCACAGCTCCAGACTCTATTGTTGATGATATTATTTACAACAATCTCTATCTGACTGGGCCTTTTGTTCACAAGGCTAATCAAAAACATACGCACCTCAAGTCTGCAGTTACTGCATGCAGTTGTTGTTAGCATACCTGTGCGTGCTATTTGTGCAAAAATTGCAACATTGTGATTTTAGCATCATGGCAGACCATCAGCCAATCTGTTCTCGTCATGGGCTGACCACCACTTAATACTTTTGCAAATTAAGCTACATTTTCATTTTCAGGGAGTCTTGTATTATCAGAAGACGCTAAAATCACTCTTACTGATCAGTCCTTTAGCTTCGTCTTTAGCCTTGAGTTTATTTTACTGGGGTATAAACCTGTATCAGGTAAACTCAGGTGGTATTGATCAGTCTCAAAGGACTTGTGTGGTTTTTATTCATAAGCAGTTTGATTCTTGTTTTCTCAATTCTGCTGCTTCACTCTTCTCTCTTGTTCTTTTGTTTGTGTTATTATCCTCCCCACATGGCTGTGGGTGATAAAGCTGCAGTGTAATGGTGATCTCCGGGGAGCTGGAGGTAGTAGACATTGTGTCTGTGGCTCTGATACTCCAGACAAGATACCCAACCCTGCGAGGGTGCTCTCATTGTGTCACCCAACATGATGACGGTGGTTGTTGTTGTTGCCTACATCTTGAAGAAATAAAAAAAACTGTATTAACATGATTTAATTCCATGAATCAAGAGGTATTTTGGTAATCTTTTCAACGGTTCCCATGGATACCATTGTGTGGATGGGGTCACAGGTGTCTGGTGCACCCATAGGTAGCTGTAACTTTGTATATTGAGCTGAGCCGAGCTGTGTGTGTGAAAGCCTGTAATGGCTGCTGCTGCTGCTGCTGCTGCTGCTGTATGAGGCAGGGGCCTGCCTTGCTTCTCCTCTCTCCAGTTTCTTCCCTCATAGTGGGATGGGAGTGCCCCCTTATGGTTGAGATCAGCCCTGCAAACCTGGAGCTGGGGCCGCAACTGCCTCCCTGTGAGCCTCCTGTGGACTCTCAAGAAGCTCCTTGTAGCTTCAGGGTGCAGGTGGGACCCTCTGGGCAGGAACCGAGGGGTCAGGGAAGCCCACCTGTCAGTCCTCTTCTTCAGTTCTTTGACAGTACCAGGTGTTATCTCATGAAACTGCCGCATGGAGTCATTACAGGTGGTTTCACAGCTTTGACAGGGTTGTTTTTAGTTCGTCTGAACAACTGAAGTCTGTCTGTTGTCGGTGCGAGCGCAGATAGAAGCGCTTTGATTGTCGCCTGCAGATAATGCGCTTCAGTGGAATCACGTTCAGAGGCTGAGCCGAGAGAAAGAAAGAAGAGAGACCCCTTTTTAAAAAAAAAAAAAAGTGCAGAGAAAATTCACTTGATCTTGAGCTTAAAAGGGAAGAGTTGACTTTTCCCATGACCCTGTTTCAGATATCAAAAGCCCACTTTGCCCTGAATGAATGAGTGGTAAAAGCACAGCACTGAAGTGTTCTTACTGACAAGACCGACAGTGTATAAATATAAACATAGGGGACTCTAGAAAGACAGTGGAGAAGTTCAGAGTTGAGTTGTTTTGTGTTTGTCCACTCTGTGTATCTCCCAGGCCTCCGCGGTGAAAGGATCTGCAGGCTGTAATTAAAGCAGCGGTGGAGCAGGAGCAAGTGGGGGGGGTAGTAAGGAGAAGTGGGGAGGGGGTGTGCGTCTGCGTTTCCTGTAACAATGACAGGCTGCTGCTTTTTGTAGTAGCTGACTGCACCGTGACCCTGCCAGGCTCACAGGGAGGCCACCAGGAAAGAGAGAGAGGGACACAGACAGACAGACAGACTGACTGAGGGATGGTGGCAGAAGAGGGGAGGGAGGGGAGAGACTGTGTCAACTCCAATGTGTCAAGCACATGCATCAGAGTAACCATGGCATCCTTGAAGATGCGGCCATTTTTTTTTTGGCTTCAGATGCATCTGTGGGCATTGAGCATGAGTAGGGAGTACAGGAGTCACAACATCAGATTTTTCATTTTTGAGAACATGCACAAGTATGTCTCTAGTATGAACCAATATCAACAAACACCGTCTGAAAAGATCCTCAAACTGGCGAGGAAACAGAGTTGCGCTCTTGAAGACATGATGTTTGTTGCGTTATTAGCCAAACTGTGAAGCTAATTTAATTTACATGACGGTTCCTCAATAAAGGCCAGAAAAGTAAAAAATTAAACGTTTTTGTTCCTGACAAGTTTCGGCTACTTTGCCTCTGCAGTCATCATCAGAGGTGTCACATTTATTTTTTACCTTTCTGGCCTTTATAGAGGAACTGTCTTGTAAATTTATCATCGACAGGCCGAATGAACCTTTTGAGCATAAAGCTAATCTAAGTTACCCAGTTTGTATTAACCTCTGGAAAGGACATTGCTTTAAACAAATATCATTTGTGATGCTTTTATTTTGATATATTTACCATCTCACATTTCCCTAATGTCATTTCCTGTATTGGAAAAACATATTTTATTTTGAAATTAATATGAGTTACGGCACCGTCTAAAAACAGCTAAAGGAACAGTTAGAAGTGTGAATGCATGAGTACCCTAAAAGACCATATGTTGTCTAGTTAACATCAGTATGAAAACATCTATCTTTGAATGGCTGCTGCAGCTAGCTAGCTGTTTTATCGCTGTCACTGCTTCTTCTTCTCGCTGTTATATGGTGGTGGGTAACAAGTGTAAAGACCCCCTGCTGCCGCAACTAGAACAGCTCATAACCATATGCATTAAAAAACTGACATTTTTAAGTGATCATCCACAATGGTAATATAGAAACAGCTCTCTCAGCGACAGGAGGAGGGAGACTGTGTCTGCTTCAATGTGTCAAACACGTGCATCACAGTTACCATGGAAGCCCTTGAGATGCAGCCATTTCTCTCCACCCTCCCTGTCTTACTCCTCAGCTATCACCTACCCACAGAGGGATGTGTGAGCATGTGTCTGGAGTGAGTGAGCTTTTTTTTTTCTTCTCCTCTCCCTTCCTGTATATTGTGTTCAGCATCTGGAGGCCTGAGAATGAGGAAGCCTGCCAACTAGGCGGTGGTTGGTGAAACCCTGAGGTATGAGAATGACAGAAGACTGGGTCAGGGAGAGTGTGTGACTGAGGGATGAACTCTGTACTCCCCTCCCCTCCTCCCTCTTCCTTACCACCACTACGAGCAGATCTGGTTACACTACCGGCCGGGGTCACACAATCCAGATACGTTTCATTATCTCAAGCTGCTTCTTCTTTTCCCCCTGTCTTCTTCCTCTTCTTCTCTCTGTGTCTCAGAAGGTACAAAAAAGAAAAAGGAGAAGGAGAAGAAATTGCCTGGCTTGGCAGACTAATGGCTCTGGTCGGGCTTGATTGATTCAGTGAAGTAATCTGCAAATGGAATACATTAGAGGAGAGCAGAGCAGATGACTCAGAGACAGCAGAGGCACGCTCGGAGGAGAGAGTGGAGAATATGGGAATAATGGGAATAGTAAAGACTCTCTTCCTTTTTCCACATTCAAGAGAAATAATTTCATTTTTTCCAGGATTTCCAACTGAATTTTCACACCGGACTTTGTTTAAATTTGCATCCTGGCTCTTCGCAACCCTTTAAAATTACAAACACTCTTCTGCAGCCTTCTACCAGCTCTGAAGTTCCATGTTAGGCAGTGCTGTGAAAACACAAAATGGCTGCCATAGAGAGGAGCTTGGAGCTCCACAAAAAGAGCTGCAGCTCTCTGTTTCTCTCCACAACACAGCTCACATCTTCTCCTCTTTTCCTACACGTAGAAAAATAGCGTGTTGTCGTGTTTCCTAATGTTATTAGCGGTTTTAATAGTTGGATTTAATAGCGTTTCCCACAAACAACCCCTCCATCCGCACACAAACACACACACATGCTCACACTGTCCCTCAACTCCTTCTCATGCCTGATCCACATCCTCTTCATCATTCACCCTCTAATGATGAGCGTGTTGAATGGCAGAGCCACAGCAGCATCCGTATCATCAGCCTCCCCCTCTCCTCTCCTCTCTCCTCCCCTCCCCCCTCCTCTCCCTCTCCTCTCTCCCTGTCCGGCTTGTGCAGTCAGCAGAACAGGCGGGTGCTGTGCAGTATTGAGTCGGGAAAAATCAATGACTGCAGAGTGGGAGTAGGTAGGAGCTTGTGTGTTTGAAAGTGTGTGTGTGTGCGTACGATGTTTCTGCTTATCCAGGCTGAGGGATCAGAGCTGTCAGTTGCCAGATATTTACAGAGTTTGCTCTCTCTCTCTCTCTCTCTCTCTCTCTCTCTGTGTGCTGCATATGTTTGACCATGAGGGGCTGCATGATTATCATGACTAAAATGATCATCAGGATTGTTTTGATCAACGATGGCATAATGATTTGTCCTGAGTATTAATTTTAAGGATCAACTTATTATTTGTTTATTGATTATTTTAAACCATATCTAGTATCTCACCTTTTTCCAGGCCTGGACTGTAACAGAAAATCTGCCCTGACAGATTTGACGGCGCACACCAACCCAAAACATTTGATCGAATATACAGAAGCTTTAAATATTATTAGGGCTTCATTTAGCTTCTTTTTTAAGTTTATGAAATCTTTGACTTATTTTTAATGATATACTAATTTAGATGTAATCTGTTATACTCTAAAATAAGACAACTTGGGCTTTATATCTAAAATTAAAACGGACCAATCGATTGATCAAGCCATGTGACCTTTAGCATGTTTGCCACATTCTCCTCGCTCACTCTGTCCCTCTTCTTTACTAACACACAAACACACACAATTGTAGGGCTGGGCGATATGGCCTCAAATCAATATCACAATATATTGAGAAGTTCACCTTGATAACAATAAATGGACAATAACTACCCCACAAGTCCCCCTCCCACAGTAACCTCGTGTACTTCAGCTGCCGCTTCAGCTGCTACAACTTTTGAACCATCCTCCATCTCCTCATCTGTCTTACCCTCTTTGTTACGGACTGGATGAGGTGGAGTCACGTCTCTGACGTAGGACAGCGTCTTAAGAGACATGAGACCATAAACCATTTTTTATTTATTTATTTATTTGACCCGAAATATACCAATATGGGCAAATTGACGTCAGTTACTGTCGGAAATTTAGGTATCGTTAAAGTTTTGGTTTATCACCCAGCCCTAGAGGCCGCCACTTCCTCCTTGCTCACTCTGTCCCTCTTCTTTACTAACACACAAACACACACAATCCTCTTGCTCGCTATCTAATTTACTGCAGATATTGGATTAATTGTTTAGCTCCGGGTTCATGGCAGATTTTTAAAGCTTTGTCATCTTTTTCAAGTCATTCTTCAACGACTGCGAGGATATTTTTTTAATTTAACACACATCACATAAAAGAGAAGGACTGATTGTTTTGCATGTTTTTGTCAAACTTTCTGATAAAGTTTTGGAAACTTTTTCCAGCAAACTGCCTCACCTTGCAGCCAAGAGTCAAGATGTAATGACTGCATCATTAGTTTCCACAGCAACCTCTCACATTCTGAATAAAACAAAATAGAGTTTCACTATGAGAGATCAGTTTTTAAGAAGAAACAATGCCAGACTGGATGATCCAAGCTCCCACCCCGTATACAAAGTTATGTTTCAAGCTCAATTCCATCCTGGAGCTCCTTTCCCCCATGTCATCTCCTGATCTTCCTCCTAATATGTGTTCTTTTTGCACTCTCTAAAACATAGGCACAGAAAATTGAAATAACAGTACATAATAAAAGAGTTTCTTCACTGGACATGCAGTGTTTAAAATGGGCAAAGACTGGGCCTGGATATCCTTTATTTCTTATCTCGGAAGGTAAAAAAAGCGCCAAAATGTAAGACCGACATAGAACCAAGAATGTGCAAATATTACCCTCTGATCTTCATTTTGCTTTGTAGCCCTGAGAGTTCATGGGATGCCTCAAGTTCTCCTCTCCCTATTGCTGGTTTTCCTCAGGATAAACCCCGCCTCCTCAGTTCTTCCTTCTGTCTTTTTATCTTGCGGCTGAAGTGTGTCTATGTTCTGTGAAGTCGTCCAGAGTGACCCCTTGCTGATATGTGACTTCCAGGCGTAACTCCAGGAATTGACCCCTGACCTTTTTTGCCCTGTGGTCTGGGTCACAACAGAGGTTGGCGGAGGAGGAGGGTGTTTTTTGTACTGTGTGCATTGATCTGCAGCATTTTGTGTGGCCGCGGCTGCTGCTGCTGAGGTGGTCATCTTGGCGTCTGGCCCGGGGCCTTCAGACCGAGCTCTCTTGTCAGATGACCGGTCTTGTGATGTCTGAGAGGAGGTGGGGTGGTGCTGGTTGGGGAGAGGGTGGATGTAGGTCAGCTGACAATGCCACCTCCTAGAAAAAGGATCCTGCCACGGTTGTTTAAGTCCAGAAAGTCATGCTGTTTGATCTCTGCTCTTGGCTCCTGAGCATTAAGATCTTAAAAGCACGCTGCCGTTCACACAGAGACGCTGTGTCTCGCTCTGACCTGCTTTTAGATCTGTTAGCATGAATTAGGATTCAGCCAATGAAACACTGAATTTTTCTCACCCATAAAGCCTCCATGCTGTGTTTTTGCGTGGCTCCGGTGGATGCCATATTTCCTGTGCAGGTCAGAAAGGCTCGCGTTTGTGTAGTCAGGAAGAGACGAAGGGAGGGCAGAGGGAACAGGGTGGGGGAGGATTGGAGGGGTGAGTTCTGAATCAGCGTTCTCCTCCTGTCACTCCCTCTGGGGTTCCTCCATCAGGTCACGTCCCAAAAATAGCAACGGGCGCTGTTTCAAGTGCAAAACCGCCAGCTTCGGGGCTGCAGCCAGCCTGCGAGTGTGAGATTTCTATGGGAATAGTTGGCCACCTTCCAATGAGTGCTTTTTTTCCTCCCTCCCTCCCTCCCTCCCTGCTCATTTTTTTCCCTCCTCTGATGTGACTGGCAGATGAGCTTGCATTTCTGAGTGAGCACATGGGCTGCACGTGAGTGGCCAGTGTGTAAACATTCACCTTCTCACAAACATAATAATCTCCGGCTGCCTCCCTACCTTCGCCGCCCGCCTGCCTGTCTTTGTGTGACAGCCAGCGAGGCTCGGTAACAACACCACATGGCATCAGAGCCGGTGCCCAGCACCAATTATTTCTACCGCTTCCCCAGATGACTTGCTTCAAATATTCTTTCTCTTCACTTTCTCTTTGCGGTGCTGAACAAACAGAGCCCGCCTTGCCAAGATGGATCATTATCAGCATTAAAGGAGTGGTTTTGAAAAACACGCAAAAATAGTTCACTGTACCTGGATGTGTGTTTGTAACATAATAGGGCTGGCAGGCTTGGATAAGAGAATAACAGAGACATCAGTGATGGCAAAGGGGGCTGCAACTTAGGCATTGGTGGATCTCTGCTCTCTTGAGCAGCTTCACTTGACTCTGAATAAAATCCTTTCTTACCTTCAAGATGTAGAAGAAGAAGATGATCATGTACATCCTCTCTACATTTCTCTCTGAGCCAAACTGAGCTTCATTTACATCCCTGCACATTGTTATTTTTGTGTCAGCTGTTTGTACGTTATCTCTTTTTCTTCATCCACTCAGTCCTTCTCAAAGCTGCTGAAAATCAACACAATTGAGTGATCTCTTTTTGTTTTAAAACTGTGTCTTGGAATAAAGAAATCTGACAGATACTACAGAGTACTAGAGCAGGGTTTTCACTTCAAATTGAAATGTTTACAAGACTGTCTCTCGCTCTTGATCATGCAATTTATCAACAAAGTACTTTTTATATGATATTCAGGAATCAAAATCGCATTCAAAAGATGACGCTTACTTCGTATTCCGGTTACACGATTTCTAACCCGTGTGGTTTCTCATTTCAGGATCTGTCAGGCTCCATCGATGACCTGCCCACCGGTACAGAGGGGGCTCTGAGCCCAGGTGTCAGCACCTCAGGGGTGTCCAGCAGTCAGGGTGAGCAGAGCAATCCCGCCCAGTCGCCCTTCTCTCCGCACACGTCGCCCCACCTGCCAGGGATACGTGGGCCCTCGCCATCACCCGTGGGTTCCCCTGCCAGCGTCACCCCCTCCCGCACTGGACCTCTGTCCCCTGCTGCTGTGCCAGGTAAACATTCAAAACTTGAAGATTCATGTGTTTGAAAGGAAGCACCAGGTTTGAGAAAACATGAAACTCGCCATCTTGGATGTATGATGCATGTGCAAAAAGCAAAAACAACAATTGCTATATGCAGCTTGAAGTAATGATGTTAGTGTTCCCCAAAACTGCCACACTAGATGTCCCTGAGAATATCGGCAAAACAGTTGTTTTCTAAAAACTCTGTACGGAAAGGGTTCAAGTTTAGCGGTTGGTCTAAAAGTAAAGAGGGTCAGGGTTTCCTTGTGCGAGTAGAAATCTAGACAGTTTCCCATCATGGACCAAAATATGCAGTTTGAAACATTTGCCTAGCTCATCATGTTTGTCTAATCGAAGACTGAAAAACACAAACAAAAACTAAGTGGCTAAAAAGGCCCAACGAAGACGAAATGTTTCATATAGAGAGTCAGATGCTGTGAAACATCCAGAGAACAGATGAGGTTTAGATTTTTAATTTAGCACTCCCTCTTTCTCCCGCTCTCACAAATACAACAGCTTACATTTATAATTTATGAAATGACTCGCCAGATGGGAACATTTTTCTCCTGACATCATGCTAGTAAACCATCCGGATTCCTGCGAAACAGAAGCCTCGATACTCGCCGGGGAGAGCAGTCTGACAAGAAGCAGAACACTGTCGTTGTCTGTCTTAGTCATTGTTCTGTGTTTTTTATTCTGCTTATCCTTATTTAAGAGTGAATATGTCACAACCTTATTAAAAAAAGCTGTTAGATGAAAGATTTGTATCTGATCCGTGCTGTTGCTGTCCTGCAGGTAATCAGATGCCTCCCCGGCCGCCCAGCGTCCAGTCGGACAGCATCATGCATGCTTCCATGAACCAGTCAGCAATGGGCCAGGACAGGGGTGAGTCATTAGACATGCTCAGAGGCATGGGTCGAATAATTTATACGTTGACTCAAAAGAAGAAATGAACCTATCCTCACTCCACAGTATCCGACAGTGTTAGAAGTGTGCCACGTCCTCAGGAGGTTTATGAAGTGTTTGCATTTGTATGCATTCCTCACTCCTGTAAACACTGCCCCAGGCTGTAGCTTTAAATAAGAATGTGCTCGTGGTCAGGTCAAATGAGGGTACCGGCAGACAGGTACAACATCTTGCTGCATGTTGGTTAAGAGTATAGAACAGGGGTCTTCACACAAAGAGCTAATAGATTTTGTTTTTGTCTTTTTGGACACATTTTTTAAAATGTTGAGATTCTGGTTTCTGTTTTGGTTTTGGATACTGTTTAATCTCTCCTTTTTTTTTTTTTTTTAGTTTCCAATATTTTTAGACAGTAACAAAACAAAACTAGTATTTTAAAAGCAGAAATAAGTATTCCTTTATTGTCAGGATTTGCAGACTCTTAAAAGAAAATTGTCAACTGTGACAAGGTTTTTCCTTATAAAACAAACACAACTTTTTCTTTAAAAGTCAGATCATCAAAAAAAAAATATACACAACAACACCACAAGGACTCCTTGCCGGTGGAGAAGCGTCTCTGGACTTGTATCTAACAAACAATCATTTTTTGAATATTTTTATGATTTGTTTAGAGAAGTATAAACACAAAAAGCTCACCAGTGTTTTGTATCTGAGTGTGAGGAGACACTGTTACAGCTGCTACTGTGAACATTTTGGCACATTGAATACATCCAGTAAATATCTACTTCCTCCCTAACATGAAATGTCTTTGTTGTACTTTGCTGTGTCGTTTTCTGTTCAAGTAAAGCTTTGCCAAACGTCCTGTCGCTAGTTGCGGTCCACCATGATTGTCTCGTCACAAATTTACTGAGTTGTTGTCATAGTTTCCAGTCTTTCTGACTGCTCAAAGGGATTTTACCCCACACGTCACATCACCCATTCATTCTACATTCATACACATAGTATGCTACAGTAGGGGATCACCGTTTATTAGTATTTTCATACTCATACCTACTTACACACTGCTGACTTTGATACTGGGAGCAGTGTGGGATTCTGTCTGTTGCCTAAGACACTCTAAACCGCTGTTATCAAAACCCCAAATCTCCTGGTCGAGAGGTGATCCACTCTGTTGTGACCTTCAGTGAGAAATGGACTCAAATGAGTCTAAACTCAACAAAGGAAAAATAAAACTTAAAATTTTATGTATGCGACATTGTTTATTTCTTCCTTGGGCACAGTTTCATGTAAGAGTTTGGATTGATGCAGGTTTTCTGAGAGGTGACAGAATGTGAGATCCTCATGCCAAATGCTTTTTGCAAGAATTACAAGAAGGACGTTTGGAAATCAAATTTCACAAACAGTGAAAAAGTCTTTTTGCTTTTATTGAAACCCTGAGTTGTATTTGTTATAATTCCCCCTTTTGTCCCCCCATCAGTGTACAGATGCCCTCAGATGCCTCCTTATGGGTCCCCTGGACAACCTGGCTCTGCCTTATCTCCACGCCAGCCTTCAGGAGGCCAGATTCACAGTGGGATGGGACCATATCCCCAAAACAACTCTATGGGAAACTATGGGCCACAGGGGGGCCAGTACGGTCCACAAGGTGAGTCCTGAGGACGGAGGTGAAGGTGGTGTTGCTTTGAAAGGCCCTCCGCTCTGGTTAGAAAGGAGAGCAGGGTTTTTAGCGGTGCACTGTGCTTCGTCATTTCACACCGGGTCTGTTTTTTTCCTCAAATTCTAAAAATTATTATGAATGAGTGTACAGTTGTCCTCCTGCGAGCACCACAGTTTCATAGATAACCCAGATTTTAGAAAAGGGCTTTGAAGTTACCTCTCACTTCATATATTTATGAAATTATATCACTTCACTTTGAAGTCTCAGATGGTTTCTGTGGGCTTTGAAGAAGTTCTGCAATGAGTCATAGCAGCGAGCAGCGAGGGCCAGATAAAGCTCCGCTTCATCCGGCTGCTTGTCAGAACAGGCAGCACTGAGGTAAATTTAGAGCCGGACCACTGAAATATTGTCAGGGAGAGATGGGTAGAAGTCCTTTCACACATCTCGCTGCTTTAGACCAAAACACAGTTGATAGACAGAGTAGGATGAGTGTCCGATGATTGATAGATACTAGGCTGAACCCCGTGATTCACAAACACTGGTATGCGTACTGTGGGAGGTATATAGGCTCCTTCTGAAAAGGCCAAACATTTGCTCTCATTGTGGTTCAAGCCCTTCACCAAATGCATAAATTGCGTTTATACCGAAGTTTATTTTTACATACATCTGGGGACATTGTCACACCAGGAAGTGATTATTACACATCTCTCTATGATTCCATATTTCCTGACCTGAAAACTCAATCCATGTGCTTTTAGGATTTCCTGACTAGTATAGTCAACCCACAAGATTTTAAATATCTATGAGTCATTACCATGCTGATAACATTGTCCAGCGTAACTTTCAGGTATCCGTTTCCTTCAACTCTTCATTTTTCTCCTTAAAGTATAATAAAGGAAATACATAAATTCTGGGAATGGATCTGCTTTTTCTGAATATAATGAAAATTCAATAACTCTACCTTTTAGATACAAAATTGGTCTTTATAAACTGTATCATTAAAAGCTACAGCGAAGCTAAAATATATATCAAAGTGAGCTCAAATTGGGCTAAAATGACCAACTGGGACAAATACATATCTGCAGGAGGCAGTGGTTTGAAAATTTAGATACCTCTCCCAAAAGTTTGTAAATATGTTGCTAAACTATTTGTTCCATCTCTGTCCCTTTTAGGTTACCCACGGCAACCAGGCTACACAGGGATGCCCAATGCCAACTACCCAAGCGGTCCAGGCATGGGCGGCACCATGAATCCGATGCCTGGTCAGGGCAGCGGAGGTCCTTATGGAAGCATCCCGCCTGGCAGGATAGGCCCGGGGCAGATGGGTGCCAGACCCTACGGTCCTGGGATGAGCTCGAACATGGGAGGCATGCCACCTCAGGTGGGGTCAGGCATGTGTCCTCCTCCAGGCATGAACAGGAAGGACGGTGGCCCTTCCATGCACCATGGACCAACAAACTCCATACACACTAGGTGGGTGAAACAGCTTTTTCTTGCTGCATCAGAGTCCTGAAGTAAGATCTCATAACAGCTTGATTCTGATTTAGATTTCTGACAATGAAACTCATCAGTGATCAAGACAAGAATTCCTCCTCAGGATGACCTACATGACACTGTATATTAGTCTGTTAACATTACTTCGACATCACAATTTTTTAATTATCAGAGGTTGAAATGGTCTAAGGATGTCTCTGGGTCAACTCCCACACGTACAAGCTGTGCCATAGTACATTTTATTGTAATCTGCGAACTGCAACGTGCTGCAGAACATTGTGGGTGTTTTTGCGTTTGAGTATCTTTAGCGCAGTTTGCTGTGTGAATTAGACCTTGACATGGAGCAGATAGTGGGGCAAATAGTTTACTGTTCTTTGCACTTTCAGAAGCTGTGAGTCATTCTCATTTACTTAGACTGATAGATATGAGAAAATAAAAGAAGGAATAATTATCACTTTTGTACAGAGGACATGTTTTGGCAAGTTTTCTCTTAATTTCGCTGACGAGTGAGTGTGTCAGAGAGACACTGATATTTTGGGATAAATCAATTAAAATCTGTGTTGCAGTCAGAGTTTGTTCGATTTGGAGAGAGGGAGACTTTTGCAGAAAATAATGCTCCCAGTGATAACATTTTGAATGACAGCGCTAAAGAACCAAAATAAAGCAAAAATAAAGTTAGCAGCCACTTGGCTCGAAAGCCCCTCTGTTAAAACAAGAAGAGGAATACTGATTTCTACATTAAACTTGTAACACTCTATGTTGCTCACTATGCATACACTGTAATTACCACACTATTTCTCTGGAATTGGATCTTGATTTCTGCTCTGAAGTTGAGATGCACTGATCCATTTTTTCCCGATACGAACCGATACCAATACCTAGGCTGAGCGTTTTGGCCAGTATCCGATACCAATCCAATACTCCTGTTGAATAAATGAATTGTATACCTTGCCCCGTGAGTGAAGGCATCAGGCTTCACATTAGCCTTGTTAAAAAACATAATATTATTTATTGACAAATAACAAATTGCATATTAGCACACAGCAAAAAGAAGTAAGACTTCCATGTATTAAAAAAAAAAAAAAATTTAAAAAAAAAGACTGGATCGGAATGCTGGATCGGCATCATTCATCAGATATCAAATCCAGTTAATTTGTCAGTATCTGAGCCGATATCCGATCCAAATATCAGATCGGTGCATCCATACTCTGAAGCAGTGGTAGCTTGTGGCAGTCATAACAAAGACATGATATATGTAGACACCTCAATAAGTGCTGGAGTGTAATCCTGAAATGCTGCCATATTGGATGGGTCTCTTCACTCTTCGCTCACACCAGAGCCAACCGAAGTCAACGGCGAATGAGCAACTATGCCCGTGTTTTGGTTTGGGAAAAACCAACGCAAAATTGAAACTAGATCACGTAGGATTACATTTCACAAGTGTGATTGAAAAATAATTTTGGTTATTTTTCATGTGTGACAGCGTTAATAGTTGGGGTTAATATGGTTGAGCATTCCTACATTATAAATAAATACATTTGGGGTGCATGGGGGACCAATCCAAGATGGCGGCTGCTCTGATACGTGAGCTCCAATAGGCAGTGTCAAACTATGAGGCGTCATCTATGTATATTATGTCTATGAGTCATAAGACATCTATGATAGCAGCAACATGTTGTGTAAATTTATGTTTTGGTGCCACAAAATCTCTCTTGTTATCCAGTGAACCCTACTGATTTATTTTCTTTTGGTCTTCAAATGGGCTGGATTACTTTGGTCTACCTGATTGCTCATGTATCGCAGGCTTTTCTGATATTGGTATTGGTATCAAATCAACTCTGAAGTGTCTTAATGAGACATAAGGGAGCTGTTGGCTGTTTAGGTTCAGAATGGCACTATGATTAAAACTACAGAGCCTGAAGGATTCTCTTTTCATCATTCAGCTGAATTCTTGCGTCTGTCCTTGCCTCTACATGCTGGCTGTGTGACCATGAAAAACGATTGGTCCTTCCCACGTGCAAGCCGGTGTGCTGTGTGTTTTGGTGGTTCAGTGTAGATGCAGAGTAGATGGCAGTGGACCAAACACTCATCTGTGAGAGAAAAGGAAAAAAGTGGAAGAAAAAAAAGAGAGAGTGAGAGAGAGCAGGAGATGCTCTCTGACATCAGTGAATCACATCTCTCCCCAGTGAGGATGCCAGCTCAGCCCACTGAGAGGCACTCGTGGGCTCCAACATGCTGGAGTCATATGATGTAAACTGGTTTCTTACAGGATAAACTGAAATAAGGCAAATATTTAAGTGGAGATTTATCACAGAATCAAAAATAAAACATTTCTAGGAGCCTCTGTCATCATAATAAAGATTTTCCTCTGTCTTCTCTTCCATAGGCCACCTGGCTACCCCAACATGTCACAGGGCATGATGGGAGCAGGCTCTCCATACGGCCCTGGCATGAACAGCATGCACGGTATGATGAACCAGGGAGCACCGGGGCCATACCCAATGGGAGCAAATATGGCTAACAACACACCTGGTGAGTACAGGCTGCACTGAAACTGGGGTTTCTGCCATAAGAGGACGCTACTGACTGCTGATCTTTAATACCTCATCTTTTAATTCTAGGAATGGCTCCCAGTTCAGAGTTTGGCATGGACAAAATGACTCCTGCCCAGAAGATGAACAACAAAGTGGATGGGACTCCCAAGCAGGAATCCAAAAAGGTAAAATTTTCATGTCCATACACATTAAACACCAAAAATCACACAGATATGGAAGATGCAGTCTGTTTTTGGAGGGTTCAAAGGTTGATACGGTGCTTCTACATGAACACTTCCATTGCATTCAGCAGTGTGTAAATTTTAAGCAGATGTGAAGCTCTTAAACAGGCTCTCTGTACATTCATTTAGCACAACCTAAAGTGGTGTTAACAGATGTGAGGTATAGACAGAGCTATGGCTGGGCGATATGGCCTCAAATCAATATCACGATATATTGAGCAGTTCACCTTGATAACGATAAATGGATGATAACTACTCCACAAGCTGCTCACCCCCTCCCACATTAACTTCGTCTACTTCAGCCGCTACAACTTTTGAACTGTCCTCCATCTCCTCACCTGTCTTTCCCTCTTTGCTACGGACTGGATGGGGTGGAGTCACGTCTCTGATGTAGGACAGCGTCTTAAAGGGACATGAGACCATATCCTACCTACACACATCCAAAACCAATTTTTATTTATTCTTTTTTTTTGACACCGAATACATTGACATGGGCAAAACGACACCAGTTATTGTCGTAAATTTCGGTATCTGTAATTTTTCGGTTTGTCGCCCAGTCCTAGACAGACCTCATGCTTACGACTTGCATCACTTTCCTGTGATGGTTCTCTATTGTCTTAAGTTTAGAAGTTACTCAATCCAACGTTTACCCATTCCAGAAGTCAAGTTCTTCCACCATCACCAACGAGAAGATCACTCGTCTGTATGAGCTCGGTCCAGAACCGGAGAGGAAGATGTGGGTTGATCGATTCCTGGCCTTCGCTGAGGAGAAAGCCATGGGCATGAACAACCTGCCGGCAGTGGGACGCAAGCCTCTCGATCTCTTCAGACTCTACGTGTCTGTCAAGGAGATCGGTGGCCTCACACAGGTATCCATGACCTCAGCTTGATTAACATTAACATATCACAGAATCTAAAAAAAGCAGACATGTTCGTTTCTCTTAGAGTGTTTATTATGTGCAGCTTTGTGAGCCGCCTCCTTCCTCTGTCGCCCACCAGGTGAACAAGAACAAGAAGTGGAGAGAGCTGGCCACCAACCTGAATGTGGGCACGTCAAGCAGCGCAGCCAGTTCGCTTAAGAAACAGTACATCCAGTGTTTGTACGCCTTTGAGTGCAAGATTGAACGCGGGGAGGACCCGCCACCGGATTTCTTCAACACAGACACCAAAAAGAACCAGCCCAAGATCCAGCCTCCCAGCCCAGGTTAGCGTCACTGTCATCTCCCGTCTCTCCTTTGTTTGTTTCCCACGTTTCTCCTCAGTGAAATTAAAGATGAGGAGATTTGAAGTGGTTTTAACACAAGAGCAATTTCACTTTGATTTGGTTTTCTGCTAAAGCTGGCAGAAGGCTTTTTTTTTTTTTAAACATAATTAAAATTCGGCTTTTAACACACTGCTGCACAAAGACCAAAATACCTTTTTGTTGGAATATAGAGTTAGTTTTAACTCTTTGTTCACCAGTTGTAAAGAAGAGCGAGGATAAACTCACAGAATAGGATCCACAAAAAGGATAATTTTGTCAGTGAGACTGAGACTCACCAAAAACACATGAGCTGGTTCATCAAAGTTTATGAACCAAAATATACAACTCCACTTCAGTCTAGTTTGTCTGGAGGGACAGGTTGAGCTTCTCTCTGGTAAGTTAGACTTAAAAAAAAAAACACTTGGCAGGATGTTTATTACTAATTGCTGACTAGACAGGAAATACAAAAAAAGACTTCTTCATTTTCATTCTTCAGGTTGGCTTCCTGCTAGCAGAAGCAGGTTCTTGCTGTAATTTTGATGTGACGGCTACATTTTCAAGTTCTTTGTTAAAATAAGTCTACTGCAAAGTAGGAGTGTGCCACACTGTAAGGCACTTTGGTAATTTCAGGAATTCTACCCAACCTGCTACCAAACCTCATACAGCATTTAATCAGAAATGTAGGAACAATTCAGAGTCTGTTAAGTTACATGGAGGTTTCAGTCTGGCTTATTATTATAATAATAATAATTTTAAAAAAAGTAAGCTATGTCCTTGAGGGGAGAAGAAAATAGCTTTTTTCGCTGAATAGAAGTCAGATTTTCATTTCTGGTGCAGTCAGACAGCGGAGAAATGTAACTGCTGATTGGCTCTCACAACGCAGCGTCGAGCGGATTTGTCATTCAAGTTAAAATATTTGATCTTGAACAGATAGTTGGCTGCATGTGCATACAGATATCTCTTCTTCGTGCAGAAAAATAGGTTGTCAGAAAACTTCAATTCAATTGCTTCTGCTTTTTTTACGGACTGTTTTTCCTGCATAAACTGAAGCCTGCTGGTTCACGAGAGGTCAGTACAAAGTCTGGCTCTACATGGACATGTTCTACTTTTTAAAATAAATATAAACTCGCTAAAGGGTCAGCCAAACTGTAGAAATCAATGTTTTTAATTTTAAAGTTGTCATATTATCAGTTATGTTACATAAATAGTGATGTTACTTCATGGCTAAAGGGCTGTAGATCGGAAAGGTAGAAGTTTTTTTTACTGTGAACGCACTTCCAAAACAAATTTTCACTCCAGCCACATCACGCTTTATCAAAACAGGTGCACTGCTCCCTCGGCTCACAGGGCAACTCTCATAAAATATGCTGTATTGCTGCCTAAAATCAATATTCTGATTTTCACCTTCCTTCTTTGGGAGCAGTTAAGTGTCCCTGTAATTTCTCACATCCCCATTTTCTGTCATTTGCCCCATAAACTAAACGACTCAATTTTATTGTTGCCCTATTAATTGCGGAGTTAAATGCCAATCTTAAAAGTGTTTATCTGCAGTGTGAAGCTGCCGTCCTTCATAAATCAGAGATATTTGGGGGAATATATTGGAGGAGCTGTAAATGACGGCGGTGTAGCTGAAAGTCACGGAAGCACACTGGATCATCCTGTGGACAGATCCACAAATGCTTCTCTCTGGGGAATACTTTGGCATTTGCACGCAGCATTACCACAGACTCCCCCCGGTTGGTTTTTGTGTGAATGTCAGAATGCCAAATCTTCCGATGAACTCTGAATGTTGGGTAAAAGTCAGTGTGTGAACTGGCAGTCAGTCAGAGGTTTTGGAAGGGGTGGGGTGGGGGGGATCTCAGGACGATGCATCGCCTGGAAGCTGTTTGTTTTGGAGGGACTCTGGTTGGAGCTGCCAGGAGCAGCCGCCGCACCAGGAGCAGGACCACGTGTTGCTCCAGTCTGGCCGAGACCCAGGCTGTCAGACATGGGGCAGTGAGTCAGCGCCGGGGTGTTGTTACAGGAGACATCAGGGTGCTTGTCAGCTGGCATTAGCCCTCTAGTTAGTACGAAGGAAGAGCTGAGGGAGGGGGTGGCGGCGGCGGCGGCGTGGGGCGGGAGGTGATTTGGCGATAGCGATGCCCTGTCAGTGGTGTGTCCTTGCAGCGTGGTGCCTGGCCCAGGGCTACAGAGGCAAGGCAACACTCCCTGGAGATTAGTGCTGAGCCAGAAATGATGAATGGGGGGGAGAGGCTTGAATGTGTGTGTGTGCGTAAAAGTCTGACTCTCTGTTTCTACCGAGCTTTTATTTTTTTTTTTCATCCTCACGAGATATCCCCCCCTCCCTCCCTTCGTCTTTCCTCCCTTCATCTTCAGTGGAGGGAAATCCCTGCCCAGAGGGAGGGGGTAGGGGGGGAGGTGGAGTCAGTTAATGTGTGTATGTGTGAGAGAGAGAGAGAGAGCGAGAGAGGCGAGAGGGTGATGTGAGAAAATGTGAATAACTGTGACCTGCCAGTGACCCTGCTGTTGTGTGTGTAAGTGTGTGTGTGTGTGTGCCAGTTTAATGAATGGGAACCTGTGAGTCATCAGACTGGCGTGCTAATAGTGAGAAGTCCTGAACTGAAGTTAAGGACGACTGCTGCTCTGTCACACACGTACACACACACACGCACACAATACACAACACAAACAATCACTCACGCTTACACACACACACACATACACACGTCTTCATGCCAGCTTTTGTCTCTGCAGGTCAGGCTGTAATCTGTCACAGTCAGGGTTTAGATCATTGTTTCCTGGTGACTTCAAGACAACCGGCGTGGGTGAAGAGGAGGGTGTTGGGAAATAGGAGGGGGCAGGGTTAAGTGAGGGGGGGTTGGCATGCTGTGATGAGCTGGAGGATTCAACATTTTTTCACTGACTGTGCACTCCAAAAAAAAAAAAAAAAAAAGGCAGCTTGAGACAAACCACATTCCCCTCTGCAACGCTCAGGAATTTCTTAATGGGATTTAGGATTCGCCGAAAGCAGCGTGTGTCCCTGAACCCAACCCCCCCAGCAGAGCCCAGCCTAACCACAAGACTCTGCCGACTCACTATCACACATCAACTTTGACTCCTGGAGTGAGAATCTGCAGAAATCTTTACACCTTATGATCCTGAGGACTATCTTGTTTGACTCACTCAGCGTGTTCTTCTCTGTTTTTTTTGCAGCTGGTTCTGGATCTCTCCAAGGACCCCAGACTCCTCAGTCCACCAGTAGTTCTATGGCAGAAGGGGGAGACCTGAAGCCCCCTACCCCAGCCTCCACCCCGCACACGCAAATGCCCCCAATGCCTGGCGTCAGGTACGAGTCGGAAACCACAATGTTTAGTTTCTTTGATGTTAATAACACGAATCACCACAACGAAATGAAAGTGATCCCTTTGGCAGAACTTGATCCTTCGGTCAGGAAATAGAAATAAATACTACAGACATATTGCTTTTCGTTATGTAAGAGTAGTGTTGATGCTGCGTTCACACAGTCCGGCTGATGGTCGACAGGAAACCTGATATTATTTATTGGTTGAGTGCAGGTCAGGGAATGAAAGGTGAGCGCATACCAGCTACAGATTTGGCAGATGACATCGCTGTTCAGGGTTATCGCGCCCCATCTATGTGGTTTAATTAACCACCAAATTTTACCTACACAAGGAAAAAAACACATCAATCTGGACTTCAACAGACCAGTTCTTTTAACAAGATAATATCCCAGAAAAATGAGGTTTACTCCAATCACTGTGTGTAGTAAATTAATCCCTTGTGGTTGTTGTGGTTTTTTAAAAGATGTTGGAGGTTTGTTAACAAGTAAAAAGAGTCTGGCTGCATTTGAACTGCTTTAAAACGCTCCTCCTCTTAAAAATAAACCCTTTGCCTGATCGACCGCCTGGCACGTCAACCTTGAGTGCCTTTATTTTTAAATGTTTATCGTTTTGTTTTTAACTTGATTTTTTATGCTCTTGTTTTTTTTATGACAGTAGCTCTTTGAGATGTAAGTGTAAAGTTTGTGTAAAATTTATTCCTATCAACATCATAAGATAGGTGCTGTGTGCCTCACTAGAATATTGTCACATTTGCACCATTGATTTCTTTTTTTTATGCCATCTTAAAAAGTGAGATGCATCCCATACACTCGGACAGTAAGTATAGATATCAGTCCAACCTGAATCACACCAAGCTGAATTCGTCAAAGTTGGACAAACATACCTAGATAATGTGGTTCGGGATCAGTTCTCTCTTGCGTGTATACACTTCAGTCAGATCCAAACTGGCCTAGAGGTCTTGGTCATGATTCACAGTTCACATGCTGGGCTTTCTCTTGAAACTCAAACAGCATAAATGTGTAGAAGGACGCTGTGTCGTAAACAAAACCTGAACAGAAGAGGGAGAAGTGGAGCTAAAAGGAAGTTTGATTGAAAGCTAAAGAGCCATAAAACTGTCCTGGTTTTAAAGTTTGGCATACAACCAGTAAGCCTCTGGCTAACTTGTTTATCAGTTGTTACGGCATGTGACAAAGTAAGTCAACTGGAAGGTTGACTTTTAAAGGTCCAATAGCAACTAACTGAAAGTGGCCATAGCTACTTACCCAAGCAGAGGCGGACATATTCGTCAATAAATCTGTTCTTGTGTGCTGGGACGAGGGCAGTAGTCCGATTAAATTGCCTAAATGAGCAATGGCCATAGCTGGAGTAAACTGTTGATGCAAATGTACTGGGTGGGTAAAAGTATTAGACCGTCTAGACCATATCATGCCTTCAAATAAACAGTGGTATTAAATAGATGAAGTTTGTGGAGTTCTGCTTTGATTGAAACAACTTCTCAATTCAGTGACAAGTGACAAGTGGAGGTGGATGTTAAGAGAGTTTATGATTGTTTGAGGGTCTGTACTGGATCACAATCAAGTTTGTCATAGGCTGAGCGCAAGCACTGTACTTGCTGCTAAAAGGGTTGCAAACTTATCATAATGAAAACAGATTGAACCAGAAAAAAGCTACACAGGTGCACAAGAATAGCACGTTGTGAACTTAGCTCAGGGTAATGGAAATCCTCATGCTGGAAGAAAGTTCGAACCTCTGTGCCACAGGGAGCCTCGCAAATACAGTCTGTATCTAATATATTGGTGCTTTTGTATAAATGCCAGATTTTAATGGCCCATGAAATAAAAGACAGAATACTTGCTTGTATACTTTTTTCTTCAATTCTATGAAACAATACAACACCTCCAGTGCAACATATGGTTGTGTGTGTTTTGTTAAGCAGTAATAAGATTCAGTCAGACTGTGTTTTTGTTTTCTCTGCGCTGTTCAGAAGGTGTTGTCTGTCCACCATCTGCCTGAATCCATGTGAATGCAGAATAACATATATATACACAAACAACCAGCTGGTTAATAAGTGTTAAAGAGGAGTACAATACTGAAGAGAGCATCAAAACAAATTTGAATCATGTTTTTAGTTTGTAATGAGACTGGAGAGAAAGAGAATATGCATTATTAAATGAAAAAAACAAGAGTGTTCAAACAAAGGTTTTGTAACTCCTGAATATTCTTAATTATGTTATTTGTAAAATATTATATATTGGAGCTGACAAATGTTCTATTTTACCAACCTATTTTCTTGTTTTTTTCCACAGGAGTAGTGTTAATCTGCAGGACCCTTTCGCTGACGGCGGAGATCCAGCATTTTCTAGAAGAAACGCCATGACTCCCAACTCGCAAGGCTACCAGCCTGGAATGGGCGGCCCGGAGATGATGGGTCGGATGGGTCCTTATGAGTCCAATAAGGACCCCTTTGGAGGCATGAGGAAGGGTAGGCGACAGAGGAAAAATGCAGATTTGATGTTGTAGTAATTCACCGAAAGCTGTAACTAACAATTTTTGTTTTGCTTTTTGAAGCTGGGGAGCAGTTCATGCAACCCGGCCCCAACAGTGGGATGGGAGAACAGTACAACAGAGGTCCACAGGGTCCTATGGGCAACATGCAGATGGGTCAGAGACAACAGTATCCCTATGGATATGACCGAAGGTAACAGCTGCCATAATTTTTTGGTAACATATTAAACAAATATAGATGGGCAACAAAGTTCACCTTCACTACATTCACAGAACTTTCTCCTTAGAAGTTCTTCGCTTGGCCTCCATTAAGAGGCGATTTTTGAGATTGGGATCCGGCTTGCTCCAGTCTAGATGTCCTTTCATATACCCAGTTAAGTCAAATCTGTTCATGAGTGTTTGTTGGATTTACAGACAGGAGCCAGGTATGGGCCCTGATGGCAGTATGGGACCAGGAGCCCCTCAGCCCAACATGATGCCTTCTGGAGCCGACACAGGGATGTACTCGCCAAGCCGCCCTCCACCACAGCAACGGTCAGTACCACACTTTGCTCATACTGGTCTCTTATTTCACAAATCCTCACAATCAGTTGTAGTGGACTTTCATACATCTGTGTTTTTCCTGTAAATGTAAGGCATGAAACGTCAAAGTGAGAATGTTTGTTATTGTTTTAAGGCATGACTCCTACACCAATCAGTTCCCTGGCCAAGGGGCTCCCCCTGGTGGCCCGTACCCAAATCAACAGCCAGGAATGTATCCACAGCAGCAGCCGGTGAGAACATTTTGTTCAACACTTGCAGTTCTCTCCACACAAGTGAATTTTCATCTTTTGAACATTTCCCTGTGTAAAGATATTTTTTCACTATTTAATTATTGAGTTGAACTTCTGTAGCTGTGCTAGTATCTTTGTGAACAGATGCACATGTGTGTGTGTTCCTCTGAGTGTTATTATGATGAGGTTTTTAGTTCAGTTTTAACGGTCGTTGTATTTTCCTGGCAGAACTACAAGCGCCCTGTAGATGGAGGGTACGGTCCTCCAGCCAAGCGACATGAGGGAGACATGTATAACGTGCCCTACAGCGGTCAGACGCAGCCAGGACCCCAGTCCTCTGGGCCCCAAGGTCAACAGGACATGTACAACCAGTATAATGCGTACCCTGGAGGGGAGCGCAGACCACCAGGCCCACAGAACCAGTTCCCCTTCCCCTTCACCCGGGAACGAGGACCATCATCTGCAGGCCCCAACTCTCAGTCAATACCACCTCAGATGATGGCAAGCCCCATGCCTTCAGGTCCTGATGGCCCCCAGGGCCCGATGTGGCAAGGCCGCAATGAGATGGGCTATCCCAACTACCCCAATCGACAAGGACCTCCTGTACCAGGTCAGGGCCCCGGATACCACGGCATGAACCGCTCAGAAGAGATGATGTCATCAGATCAGCGCATGAACCACGAGGGGCAGTGGCCCAGCCATGTCAACCAGCGGCAGCCACCATTTGGCCCGGGAGGTTCTGGACCTCCCATGACCAGACCCCTACCATCCACCTACCAGACCTCCCAGAACCACATTCCTCAGGTGTCAAGCCCGGCACCCATGCCCCGGCAGAACGTGGAAATCAGAACGTCACCCAGCAAATCCCCCTACATGCACCCAGGCATCAAGGTGCAGAAAGCCGGACCCCCGGTACCAGCCTCCCACATTGGCCAGGCCCCTGTGCAGCAACCCATGATCAGGCGAGATGTGGCCTTCCCTCCTGGCTCTGTGGAGGCCTCCCAACCTCTGCTGAAGCCCCGCAGACGGCTTACGATGAAAGACATTGGTATATGGCTTTTTTATTTCTTAATCTCAGTTATTGTACTGATCAAAAAAAAAAGTGGGAGAACTTCATTATTATGTTTGTTTAGGACTTAATCCAAAATATCCGATTATTGATGACAAAACCTGGATCTGCCTCTTGATTTCCTTGCTTGTGATGTTGGATATGGAGTTTCCATTCTGAACAGATAATAATTGCTGGTCTTGAACAGGAGACAAGTAGTTAAGTTTATGGGTGTGTACTGGGGGTCTAGATACATGATTTTACCATGGTACAATACATGACATAATTCAGGGTTGGCAGTTCGAACAATATGGTATGGATTAGGGTTAGGAACAATCAATGCATCTTTACTTTTGTGGCCAGTGGTTGAATGTGTGTGAAATAAATATCTGGGTATTCTAGGTGGTGCAGTTGGGGTTGGGGATAGTTAGGAGCAGTGCATGTGTCTGTCCGTGCTTGTCTCACAGTTGCTATAAAGTGCAGATGTTTTTACCTACTTCAGTCAAGACTTTGGTTTGCAAAGCATGTTCCACTCTGGCTCAATATGAGGAGAGATAATAGACACATACCACTGTGTTGAATCATCCGTCACGTGTGTTGAAGCTGTACATCTACCCTCAACGCATGTTCATGCAGTGCATTATTTTCAAAAGCGTGGGTGTCTTGGTATGTTGTATCCGAAGTTCTTCAAAATCACTTCATAGAAACTGGATTTTCAGTCACTCTGTATGGTCACGTGTCTTTACCGACAAATCAGGTGATAGCTGCTGTGTTAGCTTTAGCTCTCAGTGAGTCTGATTAAAGATGGCAACCATGCCTGAGACTTTTTCTGGGAACTACTTACACTGCCGTTGCTGTGGGGATGGAGCTGGTAGCTTGGCATTTGATGCTAATAATAATGAAGGAAAGATTGGTCGTGTCGCCACTGTCCTTAAATTCATCTCTGCATAGTCTGCAAACAGCTGCTGATTTATCAAGGACGACCTCTGTTTCATGGGAAGGCAAGATCTGTCCACACATAAGACTTGCGCAAATATTCTTAGTATCACGATAATCGATGGTTTGCTAGTCTTCTTCCATCTTTGCAACAGTTACTGAATCTCTTCTCTTTAGCTGGCTCACCTTTTTAATGTTTTTATCTTCTCACAGGCACTCCTGAGGCTTGGAGAGTGATGATGTCACTAAAGTCGGGTTTACTCGCTGAAAGCACCTGGGCCTTGGACACCGTAAACATTTTACTGTATGATGACAGCAGCATCTCTACTTTTAACTTGTGTCAGGTAAAAGCCGCAAACATCTGTTGGAATTTCATCAGCAAAAACAGCAGGATGTAAGAGTTAACGGGTTTTGTTTTGGTTTCCTCAGCTGCCTGGCTTCCTGGAGCTCGTGGTGGAGTACTTCAGACGCTGCCTTATTGAGATCTTTGGCATCTTAAAGGAGTATGAAGTCGGGGATCACGGCCAGCGCACCCTCATAGATCCTAATGCTGCTGAGGACTCTGATGATGACATCCCCATTCCTGAAGGCGAGGACATGGATCTGGATGAAGACGACGAAGAGGATGAGGATGTAGAGGAATCAAAGACTAATCCCGATGCCCTTCCACTGGTTCAGGTGAAACAGGAAGATGAGTGCTCACAGAAACCCAGGTCTTCGGAGGACGAAGAAGAGGAGAAGGAAAGGGAGTCTTCTAGCAAGGAACCCAGTACCTCTACCTCAGGGTCCTCCCAGGACCCCAACCTTCTCTCTGAAAAGCCCAAGCAGGCAAGCAAGTTTGATAAACTTCCCCTCAAGGTGGTGAGAAAGAAGAACCCTTTCTTGGTGAACCACTCGTCCAAACTTGGGCAGCGGCAGAGCTTCGATAGTGGCCTGATACACTGGAGCATTGGTGGTGGTGACACTACTGAACACATCCAGACCCACTTTGAGAACCGGAAGGAAGTCCTAAAGCAGCGGAAACACACACCAATGGCGCCCGAGAGCCGCAAGAAGGTCCAGATGACCGAGACCATCGCAGAAAACTCTGAGAAGCCCAAGACCAACGAGGAGGAAAAACCTCAGCAGCAGCAGCCCCAGTCCTCTGAACCTCAGAAGTCTCCAGTGCAGAAGACCCCTCCTCCTCCTCCTCCACCGTCTCTTCCCATTGGTGCCCCAGTGACTGCCACCATCGACGATGTGCTGTCCGCTCGTCCAGGGTCGGTAACGGAGGAAGTTGTCCGCGGAGGTGCTGAAGAGCAGAAAGAGAACGGCAAGTACCTCTTCAGCATCAGCCCAGACCTCCAGAGCAGGCGCAACATCAAAATCCTGGAAGACGAGCCTCATAGCAAAGACGAAACACCACTCAGCACTCTGTCGGACTGGCAGGACTCGCTCGCACGGCGCTGCATCTGCGTCTCCAACATCGTACGCAGCCTCTCCTTCGTTCCAGGAAACGACCTGGAGATGTCAAAACATCCAGGTCTCCTGCTGCTGTTGGGCCGCCTGGTGCTGCTCCATCACAGGCATCCTGAGCGCAAACAGGCACCCGTCACATATGAGAAGGAGGAAGAGGAGGATGAAGGCGTGAGCTGTGAAAGAGACGAGTGGTGGTGGGATTGCCTCGAGGTGTTACGGGAGAACTGCCTGGTGACTCTGGCAAACATTTCAGGCCAGCTGGACCTTTCTATCTACCCAGAGAGTATATGCTTGCCACTGCTGGACGGCCTACTTCACTGGGCCGTCTGCCCCTCAGCAGAGGCTCTAGACCCCTTCCCCACGCTGGGGCCCCACGGCTCACTTTCCCCTCAGAGACTGGTCCTCGAGACCCTCAGCAAGCTCAGCATCCAGGACAACAATGTTGACCTCATTCTTGCAACACCACCATTCAGCCGCTTGGAGAAGCTGTATGGCTCGTTGGTGCGCCTGGTCGGTGAACGCAAGGTGGCCGTTTGCCGGGAAATGGCTGTCGTCTTGTTGGCTAACTTGGCGCAGGGCGACAGCTTAGCGGCGCGGGCGATTGCCGTGCAGAAAGGAAGTGTGGGTAACCTGCTGGGCTTCCTGGAGGACAGCCTCGCTGCCACTCAGTACCAGCAGAGCCAGAGCTCCCTGCTACAGATGCAGGGCGGGCCTCAATTTGAGCCCACCAGTGTGGACATGATGCGGCGCGCGGCTCGTGCCCTGCACGCCCTGGCTAAGGTGGAGGAAAACCACTCAGAGTTCACTTTGTACGAGTCGCGGCTACTGGACATCTCAGTGTCTCCACTTATGAACTCTCTGGTGTCCCAAGTGATCTGTGATGTACTGTTTCTGATCGGCCAGTCATGACAGCCGTGGAGAGGTTTCGGCTCTGCCTCTTCCTGTTCCCAGTCACTCCCCCACCCCCTTTTTTTTTGTATGTGTGTGTCTGTTGCGTGTGAGTGAAAAGAGCAAAACTGACTGTCCTTTTTTTTTTTTAATTTATGCAAAATCACCTCGGATTCCACTGTCTTTCTACCCTGCTTCTCACTAAAGGAAGGAATATCATGAAGTAGCTGTGGATTTAAAGTGTCTGAAATAGAGAGATACTGACAAAGAAGAGCAGATTGGGACCCAGGCATAGGACAGAGTGCGCTGCCCTGCGGAAAGGACTTGTTTTTTAATGAAAAGAAAAAACTCCAGAAAAAAAAAAAGAAGAAACTGTAACCAAAGTTGCTGTCTCGTTTACAGTGAATTTGGGGGATACATGTGCTCACTTCTCCCCCCTGGGGGGATGGCAGGGAGAAGAGGGCACGGACTAGACAATATTATGGTTCATGTTTGGAGGCTACATAGACTCACAGACTGTGGTGTGGTATAATTGCTGTAACTTTGGATGCTATATACTCAGCCCCACAGGAACCACATTATTGGCTGTGAACAGACATCTGTCATGGGAGGCCTGTGCAGTAGATTGTAGGACTTTTTTCTGTACTGTACACCTTAAAAACTGTAAACATACTGTAATAATACTGTTTCACACTGAGATACGCTGGCTTGGCAGCAAACTGTAGTTTTTAAAAACAGTTTTAGTTAATGTCGAGAGAGAAAATGGCTTTCCCCCCAAAGTATGGTGAACCTACAACACCCCGACCTCTTCTCTTTGTCCCTTGATTGTATGACTTGACCCTTATATTAAAAAGTCACCTCTTTAGGACTGGTCCTCAACTCTAGATGCAGTCCAAGCTGCAGTGTATATATGATGTTGTACATTACACTTCTCTCTCTCTCTCTCTCTTACTCAACTTCTGTTGCTCCTCACTGTTTTTAATCTTTGACGATTACAAGTGTCCCCGCATCAAGTACGCCATGTGATTACTTGACGCCCACCCTCTCCGTTACTTAGGCGCCTCACCCTGCTCGAATCGTGCTCAGAGGGGGGTTTTTAGCTGCTGTCCAACGCCACCCCCCAACAAACACAACTTCAAGTTTCAGTTTGTCCCCCGGTCCGGGTGTAGAGAGTATAACAAAAATCATGTCTGAGGTTCCATTTGAGCTCCTTCATAAATGACAAACTAGATCTTGATGAAGAAACCATTTTAATTTTGTTTATTTTGTTTATTTTTTTCCAGTGATGCGGATTCTGCATATTTGTATTTCAGATGATGTAGCTAAAACTTGATGTAAATTCCTCTTTTTTCCTTTTTTGGCTTAATGAATATCATTTATTCAGTATGAAATCTTTATACTATATGTTCCACGTGTTAAGAATAAATGTACATTAAATCTTCGTAAGACGTTTGCTGTGGATTTCTTATTCCCCTCCGATTCGGTTGAGGCAGCAGTTAATAAAGTGCTGAATTTTCTGTTTGACATGCAGAGAGAATTTGATACATCCAAAGCGCTGCAGAGTGAGTTCTGCTGATGGTTTCGATATTTACACACAGATGCACATCCACGACACACAGCCAGCTCTGTGGAGAACACATCTTATCGAATGCACAGCCATGTTTTCAATCCTTGCTCTGGCTGCCATCTCGCCCCGTTGTAAACTGTCCTTGTCCGCTTATCACACGTTGAAATTAACATATAAATTTATATCAGTGGAAGGTGAACAGGCTGCTTGATATACATAAAAACCATGGGAAACGCTGTTCTTCTTTAAGATACTGTCTCTAGATCGCCTTTATTTTGTCTTGACAGGGGCTACATTCACATCTCAGAGAAAAGAAAGAAGTGGAATTTTCAAACTGCTTTATAAAGTCAAGCATAGTGGTCACCATATCAAAGGGAATAAATCTTGATGCTTTGGTGAGCCGGTGTTTATTTTGAAGGCAAAAAAATCCCCTTAAAACCAAGAAACTTTGGTTCAGTTCATTCAAATAGCAGTCACTTATGGGGAAACAAAAAACACCCACATAAACACAACTGTACGAGCCAAAAGTGGCACTAAGTAGATTTTAAAAAGACTTCTTTCCTTCTTTGGTTTTCCTTTCTCTTTTATCTTTATTTGCTCAGGAAGTCTCACTGAGATCAAGATTTATTTTTAGAGACACAGGAACAAAGAACTCAAAAGTGAAGCCCTCACTTCATTTTCACAACTCAGAGGAAAGTTTGTTTGAACTCATAAAAGCGCATGGATCTCCCGAAATAAACTCAGGCCTCAATTTCTTGAACTGACTTGTCAACTCTTGGATATATAAACAGAAGTTAACATTTTTGTAGTCATAGTGAAATGACATTTATGTAAGGTAATGTTGATAAATGATGTCTGTGAATTCACACATTTACTCTAGAGCCAGCTAAATGGCATTTTTGGCAGGTGCTTCAGGGTTGTTAGCATACTACGTGTAAAGTCATCATATTCACCATCCCAGGCTGGCATTGCGGCGTTTAAATTTGGTAGTTACCACGTTTAATGTTAACCATGTTGACTTTCCCAATTTACTTAAAAGGTATTTTTAACAGTCCATTGTGTTTACAATTACAGCACAAAAAAACAGTTATTTTATCGTTGTTTTCATGAACAAGCCATAAAAAATTGTGACTGATCATTTTATTTCATTGCTCATCCATTGACCAGTAACTGAAAAGAAAAAGTCATATGCAAGTAAAATATTATAGATAACTCATTAGTGATTAACAAATTTAAGTTTTACTAATGTAAGCTAGAAATCTTATTGTTTCTCTTATATTAACATGACTAATGTCAGCTCAAAGTGGCCGAATCCTTATAACAGAAGTATTCAACTGCAGTTTTTTTTTCAGGAGCTGGGATTTTCAATGTTTTCCCTAACATTGTCGCCAATCATTTGGATAGTAACAACTTCATTTACATTCTCCATTTACTTCATTTTAAACCTTGAACACAGCAGTCTGCAGTAAGAACAGTATTCAAAGCTCCCTACTCTGAACTTGAACCAGAAGAAACCTCTGCTATATGAATAGTTGATTGATGTTCAAAGTCATTTGAGAGTGTTGGCATGCTTAAAGATGCAGATAATGATTGCTGACAGATGGAAAATTGAATACCCACTGATTCATCATGCAAGTATAGCTGGTTAACTTGTTAACAGCTGCTAATGTTTCACAGGTATGATAGTCACAGTTTCAGACAGTAGTAGACAATACATTTATCAGATATTGTAAGGACTTAATTTCCAATGAAGTTGAGCCGGCGTGTAAAGTGTTGCTTTAAAAAGATGATTTGATTGTTTGAAAATCATTTAAACTCATGCTCTTAATTTCAAACAGTGCCAAGACAAGAGTAAGAAGACCATTATAATACCTAGGATCTACTAATGTATAGCCATACTGGTGCAATATGTGCAGGTTTTGGCTGGCAGCGCTCCTGAACCTGCATGTTATCCAACATTGAGATGACCGGCTTTACTTTACACAACGTCCCAATTTTTCAGGAATTGGGGTTTTGTTATCTTCTCATCAAGCTGTTAGCAAGATTTTCTTTTATGTCAAAGCGTGTTTTTTTGTAGAGATGGGATAATTTTCTGGGGATCTAGCAACAAAACATGAGGCTCTGTGGTAGGGCAGACTATTCAGGTCATGTTCCCACTGCCCACAATTATTATAATGGAATTGAGGTCTTTGTCTGGGTTTTATTTATGCATTTGAAATTCTGCGGATATGAGTCATGATCACAGGAAAACAACTAAATATATCTTGTAATTACACGGAAAATGTGCATGGTATGTCCACTTGGGGCTTCCATAGTTCACAGTTAGAAATAATTATTGTATTTACCTGCTGCATCTGCCCAGCCATCTGGATCCATGCAAAGTAGTAGGTGTAAACTACATGTTCCATGAAAACCAACCAATTTTCGCTGTCATAGACAAGCACGGGTGTTGAACCTCTAATATGAGTCACAGCGCCAAAAGGTGTCCTAGAGAATCTTGATCCATGATAACTGCATCAAAAAAGCAACAGACCGATTCATCCTCCTCCCTCTCTTATGTGTGTTCACTTACAACGCTGACTGAAGAGGACACTGTGTAAGAGGTTTAGTGGCACTGTCAATTTTCTGTGCTGAAATACTGACTTGGTTGGAAATATAGTCCACAGTCAATCTTGCGTCAGCAGATGCATCTTTGTATTGTGATGTTGAGGTGCCCTCTTGTGTTAAGATTAGCAAAGTACAACCAAAGTCCCTCATCGAAGCTAATAAATCAACGTCCGCTTGGGACAGGAAGCTCCATGCTTCTGTGCCCGTGTTGTTTTATGTTAATCAAAACACTGATCTGTTTTTTTTTACATTTCAGAATCCTGTTATGATATCAGCTCACAAGCTTTTTGAAGATTTGAAGTGGTTCCACTGCAGTAAAAGATAAAAAAAAAAAAGTGGGGACTTGATATCAGAACTTAAAAGCTAGCACAGAAAGGTTTCAGGTGGTGAACTAAAGAGAGCAAACTATATCCAGTCTCCACTGTCTGGTGTGAGGAAGTATGGTGGATACTTCTGAAATAGTAATAAAATATATTTCTCTTATATTGCTGTTTTTATGTTACAGAGTGCTCTGAGGAGTTCAAGGTGTCCAGAGGTCTGGAAAGTACTATATGCCTCTTAAAGGTAAGGATCTATCCAGCCCAAACAGACACAGGCCCATACATAAACACTTGTGTTGGCCAGTGTATGTATCAAAAGATTTATATTTTAACACGTTATTCTTAATGACTCGTACTCGGGACCACTTCAGAACCACACTCCTGCCACCAACAAGATTTGGTTGTACACAGAGCAGCATGAAGATTTGTGGAAGTGGAAGGTAAATGTAACCCTTAACAGACAATCTGAGCCCTTCAGTGGTGAAATAAAGCACTGAAAGTGGACGTAGTTTGACAATGTGCAATTGCCCTGTTAACTACATTTTAGGTGGTTTTGCAGCTGCTGGCTGCTCTGCTCTCCCTCAATACTGGAGGTGGAAAAGTTCCCCTTTTACTACTTTATTCTATATACTGTTCCACAAAAAAGAAGCACTTAATATTAAAGCATCCTTATGATGATTCACAGGTGCAATTGCCTCAGATCAGTCTCACATATGAATTGGAGAGAGTGGGGTAAGTTGAGCCACCCTCTGTTGTTTGGAAATGGTAAAAGAAATTGATCATGTGACCAAGTATTTAGGAGATGGGCATCAATTCATGGAGTCTGTGAAGGTTAGAAGCACATGAGTGAAGGGGTTAGACATTTATTTCCAAAAAAAACATTGATGTAGTGATCGGACTCGCCCCTACTCTTTTCATTACTTCCAATACATGAAACCAACTGTCCTCGGATCAATCTCGAGAATTAAGGGATTTGCTGTTATCAATCACTAACTAAATTCTTTGTGTTTTCAATCCCAGTAATATATTTTTATCGTTTTTTTTTTTTCTCCTTAAAATATCTATGATACTTCTACAATTTTCAGGAGAATTAGTGTTGTTTCGATCACGAATGATTTGTTCAAAAGAACGAATCTTATAAGTGAACGTACTGAACCGAATCACTTCCTCAAGTGAATCGTTCATTTCTCAGTTAACTTGAGAGGTCAGCAGTGCAGCTGCCATAGTATTCAGTAGTGCTGGGCGATCAGCCAGCAAGCCACCGCCGCAGGGAGGAAGGAGGGACCGTAAGCACAGTCATACTGTGTATCTGTTCAGGAAGTTGGAGTCGCAGGCTCCTCCTGCTAAGGGCTGAGTGATTCGGGCCATTTCCGAAATGAATCACTCAATCCCTAACCCCCATATGGGGTTTTACTATATAGTTAACTATGTAGTGAACTCAATCACCAGAGGTTTCGGACACTACATGGCAAAACGCAATGGATGACAAGATGCCCACCATTGGATGGTCACTACATTTTGCAATACTTTATGGGAAATTTTGAGTCGCCTATATAGGGCACTGGAATTGATCACTCAGGTTTCGGACACCCCTCAAAATGGCGCCAACCCCCATATAGTCGCCTATATAGAGGTTAGGGATCCATTTCGGACAGAGCATCAGTGATTTGGTAAATGAGTCTTTTGAACGAATCTTTTCAGTTAACTGATTCTTGTGATTCAGTACATGTAAAAGAACTGCAGTGCCCATCACTAAGGAGAATCGGTTTGTAGTTGATAGAGGGCAGTGTTGCACTTTCCACAGTAGAGTGCCGCTGTAGAGTAATTGAATGAAGAAGACGAGGGAACATACTGGTCACGAATGTGTTAGGGAAAATACTGTATATCAAGAATTTCTACATTTCTGTGCAGCCTGTAACCTTTGCATGTAGAACCACCGGGGGATTGTGGAGAGGTCGGCTCCTGTGAGAACAACGAGTAAACCGGGAAGCGCTCAGCGGGAACAGTTATGTAAACAGTCAGCAGCTGGCTGACTGAGCTGGTCTCTATGGCACAGTTAGCAAACAAGCTAACGCTGATCAATAGAGTGTCACCTGAAGTCTTCATGGTGACACACTCCATGGAGAATTCATGAAGAGGCATGGCAAGTAAGAGGAGTGGAGTTGAGACAACGGGGTCTTTGGGTTGTTCACACCTGAATATTCACATGAAAGGATTACCTCGTTTTATTTTACATGAAATGACGACGTTCAGCTGCTGCCTCCTCCTCAGACTCAGCGGGTCTCAGTGATGCTGCTGACGGCTGGACTAATGCCCCGGTCGTCGGAATTGGGACAGAGCACTCAGAGCACGGCATCATAAACCATGAAGAACTGCGAGTACCAACAAATCGACCCGCAGACTCTTCAGACACCAACCCCGACCCCTCCACCCCATCTTCATGGAAAAGAGAGCAAACAGAGAGAGGAGGAAGAGGAGGAACCCAAGAGACCGAGGAGAAAGTGGGAAGTTTTCCCCGGAAAGAACCGCTTCTACTGCGATGGACGGATCATGTTGGCCAGGCAGAGTGGGGTCCTACCCCTCACACTGGGCCTTATCCTCGTCACATGTGGATTATTCTTTGTGTTTGAGTAAGTTCATGTTTCATATGTTTCAATCTTGAGTTTAAGTTTTGCATAGAAACGATTCAACTATTTATGAAACACTTGTTCTTCTTGGATAGGGGGTTCAATCAATTAGTGATGGGCACGGCAGTTCTTTTAGATGCACTGAATCACCAGAATCAGTTCACTTGAAAGATTCGTTCATCGAATCACCGAATCATTCAGTGCTTGGCGGGAGGAGCCTGTGACTCCGACCTCCTGAACTGATACACAACTGAACGGTTCAGGATTCGGTTCAATTTATAGCTTGTGGGACTGGGAGACGAGAGTGTTTGGAGGTGTTGCTTTGGCGAACAGGTTTGTAAAAATGAACTTGTATATAAGTTGTGATGTTTTGAGTGTACTGTCCTATGGTATGCTGTTTACCAGGTCTGCTCGGTAAATTGGGCTCAGTTAGTGATTCGTTCACTGAACATTTAGAAAAATTCAAACTGAACATGCACCGTTCCCTCGCAAACCGCTGCAATGATAGGATGCTGCGGGTTTAATGCACTACATGTTACAAGATTTATTCTTAAATAAAAAAAGAAAGATATTTGAACTTAAAAATCGATTTAAAAAAATAATTAAAAAAAAAAAAATCACGATACATATGTGAATCGATTTTTCTCCACCCCTAGTCAATAAGTCTGTCCACAAATATGAATCTATAAAAATGCTTTAGCAGTTCTGGGAAGGTTAGTTACTTTTTATTTTGTGAGTTAGTTGTCAGTTTTGCCTTTACAATAACTCGAACACATCCAAATGTTTGTCCCCCTCCCTGGTTTAGCATCCTCTTTTCTAAATGATATCTATATTTCCTGTCCACTCCCTAGCTAGAGTTGAACTCTGTTATGCTGCCCTGAATGATGCAGTTTATTGTTGCTTGTGACTTATCTGTCATTTTAAAAAATCTGTGACATAACTTGATGTATTTTTCTGGATCTTTCAAAGTCCATCTAATCCATCTCTGGTTCAGATTACTATAGACTGTAAGAATATGAATGAATAATACATGAAAATTGGGTGTTTTTTGATCTTTTTTGGATTTTGTTATGTAAAAGATTAAAAAAAAAAAACTGTAGGAGCCTTCCTGACCTCTAACTATCAGCATTGGTTGTAAAAACTTTATTAATGAAACAAAAAAATTAAAAAGAAATATATATTAATATATATTTAATAAAGATGTGTCTTGATTAGTAAAATTAAATAAGGAACCGCCACCTTAAGCCTGATCTCTACTAAAGCGATATCTCAATTCTGACATAATTCAGTTTAAAAGGTTAGGTTTTATAATATAGTTCAGCAGTGTTTGATGTAAAGCTTGTAAATCAGAGCTCTTTTTGTACAACCCTAACAGCGCTTGTTTTATTAAGTATATTAAATACTAGATATAGAGCTTGGATCTGAAAATGTCACTCTCTCTGTCACAGTGTGGTAAAAACTATGCTCCATCTCCAGGGGTTCAAATGGTGGTTGAAGTAACCGAGCGTTAATTAAGATAGCTTTCAAAGTAGATGTTAGAAGTAGGCTTAGTCAAATGAGGCTGGGGCTGCGTTCCATTTTCCAGCCTCTGAAATAATAATTAATAATATAATTATGTTTTTTTCCTCTTTGTCTCACACTACAGCTGTCCATTCTTGGTCATACACCTGACAAGCTGCATACCTTTTATTGGAGGAAGCTTGTTTGTATTTGTGGTCATCACCTTGCTCCAGACCAGCTTCACTGACCCCGGCATCCTGCCCAGAGCAACACCTGATGAGGCTGCAGATATTGAAAAACAGATCGGTAAGACTCGGTTATAAGTAGGGTCAGGACTATACAGAAAAATAATCATGGTCATTTTAAGAGCTCATCTTATGTAGGCCTGTCACGATAACGAATTTTGCTGGACGATAATTGTGCTACAAATTATCGCCGATAAACGATATTATTGACACCATTTTTTAAATTATAGATAATGATATTATATGGCATAATAATGCGAGTACACCATGTCAAAAGTGATAAACTTTAATTTCCACACGAGAACAACACTGGTTGTTTTCGTTGACTAAAATATTTCCCTTTTCTCCCACGACGAAGACGTAACGTTGACGAGCTAAACATAAGTCGGAGATGACTAAAATGTGACGAGACGAAAGTGCGTTTATGTTGATGGGACGAGACGAAAATGACGAACAGAGTTGCAAAACTCAGTCAGTTAAACGCTAAACATACAGGAGCAGCTTCAGTCCGCTCTGACAGCTCTCATCAGCCTGCTGTGCTCCTCCAACACACAGACACACACGCGCGCGCACACAAACACGTGGAGTTTTGTGGTTGACGAAAACAAAACTGGTTTAAAGCCTAAATATTCCCACACTTGGGCTGTTGCGTTCGGTTTAGACACCAAAGCTGTCGTGTTCATTCTGTTAGCTTGCTTTTCACTCACGACGCTCACTTGCAGCACTGTATCCAAAAGTTTGTGTCTGTGTGCCTGTGCGCGCCAGCCCCCTCGTGACAAAGACACTGAATGACTGACAGGAGGGTTCACTAACTCCGTTCATTACGCTATAGAGCCAACGCCCCCAGGTGCCGAGAAAAATGTGCAGAGTGAGACCTCTTCTCTCATCCAGCGTGTTTGGTAGCGAGAGAGGAGGAAAACAAACGCACGTCAATTATCGAGGCTGGCAAAGTTATCGACCTCGTTTTTATTTATCGAGCGATAAGGCGATTTATTGATTATCGCGACAGGCCTAATCTTATGTTTCTCTTCCTGCTCACAGTAAAAAGTCTGTTCCTTCCTTTTAAAGTGATTTGCATGAAAAAAAAATCTTCTTGTCTGTTACTGACCTGAAGTTGTCAATTTCAACAAAATCTGCATTGTTTCTGTGTTTTTGTTTTTGACTATTGTCTTGGAGCTCTGTAAAAAAGCTGCTTTGTTCCTAGATGTATTGACTTGCAAACTTGCTGATGCAATGTCCTTGAATCAAATTACTAGAGTTGTTTATTTTGCCCAGAGTAAATAGTCCTATGAGATTGCTGCATGAAACCAATACTACCATTAGCACCAGACTCTCTCTATATCTTTTCTCCTTCTTGAAACTATTGACCCTTAAAGGGATATTCCAGCGTAAAATTAATTTAGGGTCAAACACACCATAACACTGAATTAGCCACCCCCTCGAGAGATGAATGTTGCTGACCGCTTGTTTCTCTGGTTACACCAACTTTAGTAACGATCGCATGATAGCAATACACAGCGGTCCCAGGAGCCATGCACTCAATCAAAATGCCACTCTATAGCCACAAATAATGCTCAGAACAGCACCTAACTTCATCAACAGTACATATAGGGTCCCAGCTATAGTACTAGCCACCAAACATCTTTTTAGCTTTGCCTGGTTACTTTAGCAAAGAGACTAAACACAACTAACCCACTCTCCTCCAGCAGCCGCTTGATGAGTCGATCACCGACTGCAGTGGAGTTTCGCAGCTCAAGGAAGAACATTTATGAAAATTACTTTATCATTTCTTTGAAGTAATAATCACCATAATAATCATTTTGTACTGCAGACACTGTAGTTCTTCTGCTTTAGCATCTCGGTCTGATTGCATTTCCATGAAGAAATGATCATAAATGTTCTTCCTTGAACTGCGTCACCCCGTTGCAGTCTGTGATGGATATCTCAACAGTGCAATTAGATTATGAAGATGTGATATTTATGACATTATCAAGAATGACATATCTTTCAATGTTTTAGTTTTTTTGTTGTTTTTCACTCATTTGGTTTTGTTCAGGCTTCAGAGCTGAGATAGTGAATGTATTAGTTTTCTATCCTCTCCTTTTTTTCCACTGTAAATCTCTAACATATGGCGGCTTCTAAAGGGGTAGTGATTGTTTTCCAAGTTCCGTTTCACAAAAATAAAACATTTGACACTTTAAAGGTTCAAAATACAATCTGCGAAAAGTCTCATCATCTCACCTCAGTGTGATGAATCTCTGTTGGCATCCATGAGAGCAGATTTTTTTTTCTGGAAGGCTGACTCCTGAAGCTTTGACCAGGAGATTCATCATCCCAACCTGTCCCTATTTTTCACTTCAAATGGTCCATCGGGTCTGTTCACTGTCAGTTTGAGTCTTGCCAACAGTATCTATCCCTTTCATCTAACATGCTTCACTGTAATGACCTCGGTGTCAAAAACTGGCTTTATGTTCTCCTCTCCTCCTACACAGGACCAAAGTTGAGGCCATGGTAGTGTCAGATGTTGAAATAACCCAAGTATGCTGCTGTTGTTTGATTTATTTTTGAAACCTAGCCTCTGACAGAAGCAGCACAATATTCAACCAGTCTGTCTTTGATAAATTCTTTGAGCATTTTTACTCAACATTGAGACTTCAGTAGGCTTTGGCTAAATTCAAAGAAAGCTGCGTTAAGAGTTTCCCAAAAGCAGGTATAGTATGGCCAATTTATATCTTAGTAGCATTTCTGTATTTTTTTCGAAAGTCCCTGTGAGAAGCTTTATCTGACTGTGAAACAAACTGAAATACCATTTATTGACTTTTTATGACCTTAAAAAGTAAATAAAGCCATTAGCAACAAAATAGATGATTTCTGTGCTTGATTTTTAATGCCTGCAATCAGGTTTCAGACTTAAGTGTAGATAGCAAGCTTGAAAATAACACCTTTTTTGGTTTTTCCACAACAAACATTCGCTATGAGTGACACACTAAACTGTTAAAAGACAACAGGATGAGATATTGTTGATTAAAAAGTCAGTCTTTGTTGCTTTAAGGTTAATTGACCATTGAGCCCATTTGTTTTCCTTGCAGACAACCCTGGAAACAGCAGCTACCGGCCTCCACCACGCACTAAAGAGGTCCTTATCAACCAACAGGTGGTGAAGCTCAAGTACTGCTTCACCTGCAAGATGTTCCGACCGCCACGCACCTCCCACTGCAGCCTGTGTGACAACTGTGTGGGTGAGCTGCAACACCACACACCAACACACTGACATTTGCCTGTGATAAATTATGAATAGAAACCACACAGGTGGTTTCTCCAGTCAGCATCATTTCGTCACTCTGATTCTGGAATGTTTGAATCTGAAACTGTCAAAATTCTTCTTTAATGAAAACAAAAATAAACAACAACATCAACAAATTTGTTTAGTCTTCTCCGCTGTGTTTTTTCTCCAGAGCGATTTGACCATCACTGCCCATGGGTGGGGAACTGTGTCGGTAAACGAAACTACCGTTTCTTCTACACCTTCATCGTGTCGCTGTCCTTCTTGACGGCGTTTATCTTCGGCTGCGTGACAACACACCTCGCACTAAGTGAGTGTTCATGCGCCCATTCGAAATAATAAAAAAAGACTGATGTTGGCTCCACTGTTTATTTTGTGCTGGTTTATTTTCGTCTTCGTCTCAACTCCAAAGTGATTATAATATAGTTTCAATCCTTGATAATTTTAGTATAATTTAAGTTGGCAGCGTTTCAAAACATTTCAGTCGAGTATCAAGGTCTCAAAGATTTTCAGTGTTTGAGTTGGCAACATTTCACCCTCAGAACACTTTTACTTCTGTGATATCTGGATTCCTTACCTGTCGGATCATTTAGCATAGACTCTTTCATAAAGCACTGCTGCTGCGCCCTCTGCTAAACTCTTACAGATAGTAGGATCTCACTCAAAGTACCTGCTTGATGCAATTGTTTTTGTCAATTTGAGCAGTTAATGTGTCTGATAGAAAATCTGCCAAATGGTTATTTTAATTTGCTGGTTTGTGTCTGCTTTTGTTTTTCCCCCATTCAGCTCCCTTTCAGATTCATTACTTTGTATTTTATTCAGACGGGACAAGAGTCAGAATTACAAGAACATATTTGAGCTTGACAGCTCACATGTAGAGAGAAAACTAACTGCTGTTCATTTAAGAATCCTAACTCAACTTTTGTCTCATTTGAATTATTATTTGAGTCATTGTTTCTCCTTCCTTTCAGGGGCTCAGGGAGGAAAGGGCCTGGTGTTCGCTTTACAAGAGAGTCCTGGCAGATATCCTTTACTCACAAACATGCCAAAGATTTCCAGAGCTAACTTTATTTGCAGTTCTCTTTTCATTAACTGGTGATTTCCTTGACCAGCTCTGTCACTGCAGTGGAGCTGGTGATCTGCTTCTTCTCAGTCTGGTCCATCTTGGGCCTCTCAGGCTTCCATACATATCTTGTTGCTTCCAATCTCACCACTAATGAAGATGTGAGTTCTGATTTGAGTGCAGTCTTTAACTAACTTTGACATATTTGAAAAAATCTGCATTACCACAGGAGTTAAGCACAAAAATTCTAAAGAAAAGCTTTGAAATGTTGCATGTTGAGAAGTTTTGGTTCCTGTCTGTCTCAGATTAAAGGCTCCTGGTCAGGGAAAGGCGGAGAAGATGTCACCAACCCATACAGCCATAAAAACATCTTCATCAACTGCTGTACTGTGCTCTGTGGACCCATGCCTCCCAGGTCAGTATGAAATCTCACACACTGTGTTCTCTGAAATGAATCTGTAAATCAAGCTACAGTTTTATCTAAAGACGCCCTTGTTTTTCTGTTCTAGCTTGATCGACAGACGAGGTTTCCTGCCCTCAGATGAATCAGCCCAGACTTCTGGTGTGGACATCGAGCTGCCCTCTGCGCCCAGCAAAAGCGAGATAAATGTGGTAGGAGGATCTTCCCAGCTTCTTCAGCTGGCTTTAGGCTTGCAGGAATCCTCCCCTCCCCTTTGCCTGCACCCGTTGACTCCCATCAGACCTGTTCCTCTTCCAGACAGGAGCCTTGTTGCCTGCTGTAGTCCTAGCTAAGCATCTGTCTGCTGCCTGTGGATGGGTTTATCCTTAGATATGTTGTAGTTATCCAAAAAGTGAAACTAATTTTATATAAATAGCCTGAGGGGAATGCATCCCAACATTTTTGTAACTCTGCTTTCCTGTCTTTAGATCTCAGCTTTTTCCTTACTATCTAGAGGTTTAAAAAGCTTCTCCTCTTGAAATAACTATGAATTAGTCAAGGATTTGATAGTAAAACTGTAGATTAGCTCTTTTTTGAAGTGTATGGATGCACTGTTTATGGCTTCTATATATTGGCCATTTATTCAGTGATCTTGTGTACTGAGGCTGTTGGCCTTATTAGTGAGATTAGCAGAGATGCCTCCTCTAAGCAGGTCAGGCACCTCAGAATACCTCAGTCTTGTTTACCTCGTAGTGATGAACAGATCAGGTACGCTCATCTTTTTTATAAGGGAGCGGGAAAACAGATTAATAGAGGATTACCAACGTTTAGTTTCAGGGAGAATATTTTGAAAAAAGATGAAGTTAAAGTTTTGGAAATGATGTCAAAATGCTAATAACTGACTTGAAGTACTGCCAGGTATTAAAAGATTTAAACTGGAGAGGATTTTGTGAATTTTAAGGATTTTACAAATATCTGAAGAGGATATTTTTGGACTTTATTTTTGATATCTTCACTTTGTTCTCAAAATTCAAGTAAAAACCTTCCTCATATCTTTTTTCTTACACCTGACGGTCATTTTGCACAAGACAGATTAGGGCTGCTTCTACTAAAACGAGGAACATAAACAATCCTGTGAAGTGAAACTCAGTGTCCGAGGACAAACAGTGGCTGCAGAAACACACACAGTCTGCCTGTCAGCCTCTTCTTCTTTATAAAGCCTCAGTTTCACATGCAATCAATTCAGAATCCTGAGAGTTATTGATCCTGTGATGCTAATAAAGGCATGTAACTATTTATGAAGCCTTGACTAACAAGTGATTTTCATTTAAATGTATGAGATTTTCCTTTTTCCCTGTGAGGTGGCCTTGCTATTCTGTTTGAATATTTAAAAAGCACACTAACACTCCATAATTTAACTGAAAACAACTTTTTAAATACCTTATATCTGCTTTTCATACTCATCTTACAGATACCGTGATCAATAACTTAAAGTTATGACAATATGTGACTCAGCGTTATTGTTTTCAAAGTGGGAGTGAACAAGTAATGAAGCTGCTTCTTCCTTACGGGGCCGTTCTCTAGTTCAGTGTTTCAGTAAAAGTCATAAAAAAGATACCAGGAGAGCTGTACAGGAACTTTCATTTCACTTAAGGTACCTGTGGTTCAGGGAGAGCTGCAGTCGGAGTCTCTGTAATCTCATAACGCGAAAGAACATCGGCTGTTTGGTGCTTTGTAAAACAAACATTATTTTTTATGTTACACAAGACTGATAAAGATGTGTTCTGTTGACTCGGTGTACGAGTAAACTCAGTTTACTGACAGTCAGCTGAATCTTTGTCAGGAATATGTTTTTTTTTTCGAGTCAAGTTTGGTGGCTCAAACAAGAGTTTTGGATTTAGTTAAAAAAAAAAACAGGAAGAAAAATGTTTCCAGTTTCTTGTTCTTAGTGTGTGTTTCAGTTCCCATCTTCCTTTCTTACTGTGTGATTGTATTAGGGCTGGGGGATATGGGAAAAAGTTTATCACAGTATATTTTTTCATGTTAGTTGATATCGATATATATCACGAGATAAAAAATGAAATTTAACAGTGTTTATTGGTAGCATGTCTTTTGCAACACAAATATTTTCTGCATCTGTGAGGTCTTTGTGTCTCTTTGATGTTTTGTCATAAGGCGTTGTGCTAGAGAAAGCAGACTGAATGGTCGGCTGTTTCAGCTGCACAGGCGCCATGGGCTCCTTACTCCGCTCTGGGTTTGTAACCTTTTGCGTTCAGGTGGTGAAAATGATTTGAGGTATTCCCCGACTTTGTGAGAACATGTACTCGACATAATTTGCAGTGCACATTACTCTGCTTTATGTTTGACCTCCAAAAACAAAAATACCTCCACACAACCGATGTTTTCATGCCAGTGTTGTTGACGATGTCGTCATCTGTTGAGCCTTCATCGTCATTTCTTTCGGGGGTAGCACTCATTTTCTGCCGGAGCAACTCCCCTTTTCATTGGCTATTCGTATAGTCTACCAAAACATGTCAGATTGCAGGTCATCGAAAAGCATGCTGACCATGTTTTATATCGATATTGAGGGGAATTAATTTTTGATATCGTTATCATTTTATCGCCCAGCCCTAGATTGTTTATGATTCAGTTTTTTTTTTTCTAACTTATCCCTCCTTTTATAAACGTTTACATATCATCAATATCTGAGATGAATTTCCACAACACATTCTTTTTTAATATGTAATATACCCCTCCGTGTATGACCCCATTGTTTATTTTCTTTTCCCTTTTCTAATTGATACAGAGCCCCTGAAGTCCCAGAGTAAACATTTTTATGTTGTATGCCTAAGTTATTATGTTCTGCACTTAATGTAGAGCAATGCCTGTGAGCTAGTTCAGGCAGGCGACCAAAGCTGTTTAGCTAAATACAATCATTTTACATACACAACTTTCCTATATCGTCATTTTTTGACAAAAATGAGTTTTTGGCCTCAATCATCTCTAAATCATCTCTTGAGATGAGGGTGACCATATGGTGGTTTTATAGCCAGACCCTCGGCTTTGCAGTTATCACTACTGCCGTCCATCTATACTACGCTTAAAGCTTCAGCCCATCACCTCCTCAGCAGTCGCTTACAGACTCCAGCTAACGGTTTAAGATTCTGTCAAATCACTCCGAAATCACTGGAGCTTCATTGCCAGCTATGGTTTTCTGCTGATGCAGTTCAGTTTCGCCAAATATAACCCGAATGACAGCCCGCCTGAAATAACTTTGTTGAATATGCAAGATAAAAAATATCCGCACTGTACCTCGGGGACCTGAGGAGCTCTGTAATTTTATATGTTGGATCGAAAGGAAACCGTCGTCAGAGTCTCTCCCAGTGTGTCATTTCCCCCAGTCTTACTCTGCTGTCCTGTATGTGGTGTGTCTCTGTGCCGGTGTCCTGCCACCTACACTAGGAGGAGAAATGTCTGGACTTTGCTGTGACCTGCACTGGATGATTAGCGTCTGTTAGTGCAGGGAAAGTGAAGCTTGAGCTTGGAGTCAGAGAGTCCAGAGTCTTTGCCCACTGGTGCACTTGCGTGTCATATTGGCTGGCTCCTGCATGCTACGTTGAATTCACTGCAGTTTTCATTATGTTGGATTATGTTAAATTGATCCACAATGGACAGATGTGTATTAAACCACAGCATGTTCCTGGATATAAAATGAATTCAGGATGTATGGCTGTAAAAAATCTGACTTTACTGAATAAGATTTACTTGAAACATTTATGATACCACACATTTATCATAATGAGGCTGAATTAATAACTGCATTTGGGACATGATCACAGACAACATATAATATACAGAAAATAAGAGTATGAAATGTGTCTTCTGTGCTATGCAAAGGAGATGGATGAAGCATGTTCTGTCAGCCACCGTTACGCCTTTTGATATGAGGCTGTAGGGTCTTGAATGTTTGTAGCTGTAAGTGTCGACTAGTGGACTGGAGGGTGGATTTGTGTGCTGCTGATGCCTTTATCTTGACTGGCAGGTCATGAATCAAAGTTGTAATGTCTTTTCAATATGCTCATTTTTCTGTTTTTATATTCTCCTTCACTCTAAAAAAGGGACAAGAATGTACAAAAATGACATGCTCTATTGAAGAGGGCGCACACTAGAAATAAGAACTGTAACTTTAAGATGGAAATGTTGATATAGTACAACCTTGATTGAAGAAAAAAAAAAAAGACACTGAAAAATTTTGATGAAAAGCAGTTTAACATTTTAACTCAATGCAAAGACTGGGGTCCATATGGGCCCCATATGTGGAAGCTGCGCCTCCCCAGTGGCTGGCCCAGGGTTTTCCCCCAGTCTGTTGCTTTTTTACTGCATGTCACTCTCCACTTTTTTCCCCTTCCCTGCTCTGTCCGCTGTCCTATCCTCTCCAAACAAAAGGCAAACAGCCTAAAAGATGACGATGACAGCATATCGAATGGTTTTGTTTTCCAGATATTATGTTTTTGTCAGAGAGGACCCCGCATGTTTCAGTATAAGGCTTCCAAACCATAGTCTGCACATATTACACCAGTATGGCACTTAAATAGAAGAATCTGGGCGATGGTGTTTCCCACCAATACCAACTTGTCACCTGTTGAAAGTATCTGGTGCATCATGACACAAAAAGTATGACCCCAAACTGTTGATCAGCTCTATCAGGTGAGAAATGGGACATTTCACTTCAAAACTCCAGAAATTGGTCTTCCAGTCCTTAAATGTCCACAAAGTTTTGTTAAAGAAGAGATAATGCAACACAGCGGTGAATATGCCTCTGTCCAACTTTTAAACCTATCGTTGACATCAATTTCAGGATTTTCTTGAAACAAGTGGACATTTAAGTTTCAAACTTTGATTTTTCTTCTGTTCTGATTAACCCTTTACTGAGCATCCAGACTTTTAAGGTTGTTTATTTCTGGAGCAGTCTTTGAAATCATTTTGCAGAGCTATCATACTGTATGTTTCCCGAGGCCTACTGTGCCTTCACATGCAGATCACATCCAGTTTTTCGCTTTGGTTTCGCTCATGCAGCGTCCTTACTCTCTCAGCTTCCCATGAATCCCTCACAGCTGTACTTACATTCACTGAAGTGATTTAAAGTCCCGCTGTTTGACCTTTCAACACTGGTTTGTCTGATCACTTCCTGTGTTTTTTCCTTCCCTTCCTCTTCAGTGCACGCAGGGAACTAAAGGTCTGCTGGAATCGGCCACACGCTCTCCCCTCATTACCACCTCGTGTCCTCAGGGGAAACCTCAAGCCGCTCATACCTGCCCAGACATCAGCCCCGCCATGAACTCTGACCCTTCACCGGAGGTTTCCACAAGTTGCGGGGCACGCCATATCATGATCTCCCACGGTGATACCTCTCCGCAGCGTCACACCAAGACCCGTTCAAAGAGGAGTAAAAGAGCAGCGTTGCATATTCCTAACCCAGCTTTCGATGTCCCTGTGTCCCCTACCTCTCCAGATGCTGGCCTGGGCTCCAAATCCGGGGCCCATAAAGGTGCCAGCTTTGCTCCTTTGCACTGACTGTCAGGAATAACGGCTTCCTCAAGAGAAAACATACTTTGTTTGAAGCTTGCATGCTGTGAAACAGTCATGACACAAGTTTTATGAAGTCCAAATTTTCTTTATTTGTTGGTTCTGAAACTGCTGGGTCCCGTCATAATGTATGAGGATGACAATCAGGATAGTATGTTACTGTGTAATGAATTTACTGGAAGAATAATATCACCAGAGAAGACTGATTGACTTTAAAGACTAAAACATATAGACCATACTCCCATGGTGGCCTTTGACATCACTATCAGGGTGGGAAACTTGTAAATTCTCATGTATTAATTGTGTAAATCATATAAACCCTGATAATCTGAAACATTTTGGTAATTTCACATCTCATTGGTTGATTAGCAGCCACACAGACTTTGGGTTATCAAAACATGTTTGATGACCCACTAGCATTCAGCTCCTTCCTATGTAGCAAATATGTTGAAAAATCACAGACACAACAGAAACAGTTACATTGCAAAGGTGGATTGATTGATGACGTACTTTGAGTATTATGTTGTGTAGGCGTCTATTTTTACATCACTTTAGCTATAGATTTGAATAATAGATACGACGTTCCCCTTTGAGCTGCATGTCTACGTGGCAGCCATCTTGGCAGGGGCATCATTCCCACTAAAGGCAATGCATGTACAATGAAAATAAATGATATATATATAAATAAATAACTTGCTCATTTATCAACCGATTTTCATATGGTTTACTTTATTGTCAGTGCCAAAACACATGCTATTAATACAGACTATCATATTTAAAACATATTTTCTGTATTAATAGCACGTTTTGGCCTTAAAAATGAAGTAAACCGCTTGAAAATCATGTAAAAAAAAATAGCAAGATATGATTTATTTTCCATGTACATCTAATTCCTTTCACGGGACCATTGCCCCTGCCAAGATGGCTGCCACGTCGGAACGTTGCTTAGCGGGCTGGTACTCGCTGCACACTGGCGATAACCATGTAAGCATTTAACTGAAAGACGCTCATATACAGGGTCACATCAACAGTCTTATTGTAAACTCGACCTTCGAGTAGGATGAGAAATCTTACTTGTGTACAAGCTTTTTCCTTTAGATAAACCATCAAATGGTAAATTAATTTAATAACATTAAAAAAAAAGAATAAAGACAATATTTTAAGGCTTCTAACCCTTATGATGGAAGTAAAACAACTACACAGGACTGTATGGGTGGTATTGTTGGCTAACTAATACAGTGTGAAAATAGATAGCAATAATAACAAACTGTTGATGCTAATTGGGTTTCTAAGTTTCATTATCTGGGACACTATGATAATGCGTGAAAACCTACAAGTAACTCACAAGAAAACGGCCACTGTGGGAGGGTCTATTGTGAAGGTAGTGTACTGTTAGAGCCATACACCTTTGTGATGATGTTTATGTAAAACAGCAAGTCTACCAGCATGCCAGATACATCATATATTGTTAAACAGTGGCTTGATGTATAAAGTACAAACATCGGGGGCTTGAAAAGCTTCAAATAGATGCTCAAGTTCAGAATTTGTCTCCATCTGTAAAGACGAAAGCTGCTGTTGAAGGTTACGTCCATCCCAAATCTACAGAACTCACATGTGCTATTTCTATAACAGTGTAGAGCTCTATTTAAAAAGTGAATCTGAGCCAGTTTTCTCCTTAAGCTGTACAGCAGAGACACAGTTTATACCAATGACATCATGATGAAACTGATAGACAGTGAATAATGGAAGAAGTTATACGACTATGACAGCATCCATGGAGCTCCTTCCAGGAAATAGGAGACATTTTTCCATCTGAACCTGAGAGTACATGTCATATTTCTTGGTTAAACAGAAAGATGACGAGCCAAAGAAAAGGTGTCCTACTTTCTGATTGTGGTCCAGACAGTATTGTTTTGTCACATTTGAGTATGCAGGAGAAAAATACCTGAATCGAACAAAATGTAGCTTGTAATTTATATCAACCAGTGATCATGATCCAGCTGATGATATCCTTTCTCACTTCCCCTCCACTTCAACTTAATTCTGAAGCACAGACTTCTGAAAAAAACATGGATGTCTCAGTTTCTTCACAACTTAAGGAGTATGAGCGAATTAAAGTAATAACCATTCAGAACATACCTGTTATTGGTTACATGTTTAATTTATATTTTTGCCTTTTAACATGGGTGTTAATGGAGATTCCTTGGTTTTTGTTGCCCGCCTCAAGTGGCCATATTAGGTACTGCGGTTCTTTTGCACACGAAGCAAAATTTCTTAAGACCACAGATTGCCACTTTGTCAAAATTCACCAAACAAGCAACAAACAAATGTTGCGTAATAATTAAAACAATTAAAATAACTTTATTTCTATGGCGCTCTCCATGCAAGTTGCAGCCAAAATGTTTAGAGCCCCTGTGAAGTTTTTGACTAATTGTTAAACAAAATGAATTACTAATTCTTTATGAACCACAAATGAACACAAGAACATCAGCAACAAGACTGATGAATCGAGTTCTTTAATTTTTAATGCCTGACACCCTGTTAGAGGTCAGTGTCAGACCAGGTGATTGACAGCAGCCTGAAGAAACAACCCCTCTTTACACTTTGACTGGTCAATATTCACAGTGAGAGAAGTTCTGCACACATAGCTCACCTTCTTTTACACTGAAATCATAGCTGTGAGTTCTGTTTTGGGTGGACTATCCCTTTAACCTCACACAGGAAGCATAGAGATATCAGTGTGTAACTGTTGTATTGGTGTTGTTCAGATTTCTGTTATATATAGATAAAAGGGAATGCATCTGCATGATAATGACCTAAGAGATATTTTATGGATTTTTTTATTTATTTATTTATTTTCATTTTAAACGCCTCAATGATTTTTTTTCTTATAAAGCTGTGATATGTATTTCTAAATATATGGTTTACACGAGCAGATGCGGTGTTGCACATTGCCTGTGCTGCACCCAGAGACACTTATGAAGATTTTGGGCCCCTCTGCTTCACAACCCCAAATGTTTTAATATGTTTCAGTCATGTGCCCCTAAAATCATCCTAACTTCTTGTCCAAAACAGTGCCCCTGACTGCACCTCCTCTTGTTGAGTTATTTATTTCATACAGTGTTTTAAAGTCTTCAGTTAAACCTCACTTTCTCCTCCTCAGTTTGTTTAAACATCTGCGATACTTCTTCCCTCCTCCATAAAACTATTTAACTCTGTTCGCTCTGACGGATCCATGAAAATCTTTGTAGAGATGCTGATTGTTTTTTCTCAGGTGGAAATAAGTGAGTATTACGTATCCAAAATGCAAGTTCTACATTGTAACCAGATGGCAATAGCTGCACAAAATGCATCCAAACAATCCTCTCCATCTCGGTGCACACATTCACATGTGTACCTGCACACTGTCTGTGATTATTTCACCTCAACAGTCTTCCCGTTAGTGAAGCAAAATCACCTCTTGTGCAATATTTTCTGTGTGAACATTTATCCCGACATCTTCCAAATGCAAGTGAGAATGAATGCAGACAATGCATTTCCAAAAGGAAAACACTGTACTGTATTTGTATGACCAGTAAGGTTATTTGAACCAATGCTCCTTTCAAAATAAAGGAAAAGGGAAAAAGGAAAGTGAAGTCGAGAGGCTGATTTTGTTTGCATTGCAGTTACAATTGACCACTAGATGGTGGTAAAGGCTTATGTACATGTTATAGTCTGGAGACCTAATCACACTCAGCTGATGCTCTGTGATTATTGAGTAGTAGATCTTTTTAAAGCACTGAACTCCTTAATTCAACCTTTCTTTGTTCCTCTTTGTCTTCCCCTTTTATAATTGCACACCACAGAAATTCAATGCAGTCCTTTTCCCGGCATTGTAACTGAGAATAAAATAACACAGATCCTTTTTAACTTTTTTAATCTCAATGTTTATTCAGACACCATGTTATGAAATGCAGTCGAACAAATAGCTAAAAGCAAAGATGCTATTTAGGGAGCAGACAGGTGTTTTTCAAAGTAGTGTAGTTGTAGACTTCAGCTTGCACATGCCGACACGTGAGTTTTGGTTTTTGGTCTGAATTCCACAGCTGACAGTGGATGGAGGAAATAAATGATTTGTGGTCTTTCCCAGTAAGCACATTTTCTGTATCAACACTCTGAGTGTTAGTGTGTTGGTAGGGGGTCTCTTTTAGGTAAGCACACAACATTAATAATGACTGGCAATAACTGTAAGAGAAATAACCCACATTAGTACTGTTGAAGAGTTTAACACTTGAATAAACATGAAGAGACAGAGTGTGCACCCCCACACAACCACAGCTCACACATAAAAGTAGAAGCTACGGATGTCGCAGTATCATTAATATCATGGTATCAAGAGAACTGTAGTCTTATTGTGGACCTGTTTGTAAGTCAGCCGTGTGAGGTGCAGTGGTTTGTTGAACGTTCCTGGTTCAGATCCTCGGTTATGCAGGGAGCTTTTTGTGTGGAGTTTGCATAATCTCTCTGTGCATGAGCGGATTCTCTCTGGCTTCCCCCCACAACCCAAAGACATGCTCTTCAAGGTTAGCTGATAACTCTTAATTGCCCGTAGATGCATGTCTGTCCTGTGATAGACTGGCGTCTTGTCCACGTATCCCCGCCCTCAGCTAATAAGAGCTGGGATCGGCTCCAGGTCTCCTACAACGCTGATAGGGAAGACCGATGAGGATACTGGGTGGGTTGATGGATAATGGAGGGAAATGGTAGCCACAGAGAGCATTGTCTCATGCATCTTTGGAAGTGGCTTCAGAACAAAAGTGGTAGTGGTGATGGAAGACAGAGAAACAGTGAAGAAAAAGAAGAAGAACAAGAAGAACAATACCGAGAAGAAGACCAAGAAAAAGACCAAGAAAAAGAAGACCAAGAAAAAGAAGACAAAGAAGAAGAAGAAAAAGAAGACCAAGAACAAGAAGACCAAGAAGAAGAAGACCAAGAGGAACAAAAGGAAGACTAAGAACAAGACCAAGAAGAAGAAGAAGACCAAAAATAAGACAGAGAACAAAAGGAAGAAGAAGACCAAGAAGAAGACCAAGAACAAGAAAAAGAAGACCAAGAACAAGAACAGCTTTTTGCTCCCCGAAGGGACATTCAGAGATCTTCTGAATCTGTCTGTTCTGCACCAAGGTGAGAGGAGCTATCCATCACCATTGGCCCTTTGGTCCATCAACAAGCTGGATGCTTAAAATATGCAGGCATTGACCTACATGTCATGTCAGGGAAAGAGTAATATGAGAGGTCACCAGGCAAATCATCACTCCTAGAGCTTCTTTAGCCACACTCTTCAAGAGAAGAGAGGCCATTTTCTGTAGTTGACAATACAGGATTCAAAAGGTTAGTAAACACTACAGCCAAAGAATAATTTTGCAAACATTATCAGCAGCTCTCTACAAAGACAAAAAAAGCTTCAGTTTGCTTTAAAATCAAATCCTCTTCCTAATATCACACTGTTACCAGTCTGTACATGTACCCATTGACCTTATCAAGCATTTCTCAGACATCTAAGACAACTAATGTGTCGTGACTCCTGCATGTTTACATTCTACAGCCATGTGACACAGATACAGACATTGCTTTGCAGTGGCCAGTTCCTAGAATGTTGAAATAAGTGGCAGCATTTGAGTGATTTCTGAAAGATGTTTTTCTTAGATTCATCCCAAACATAAGGAATTGGTAATGGCTGTCTTTCAGGTCATTTGACTGACAGCACGTCCACTGATGTGACTTTTGCAGTCATAAAACCTAATCTGAAGAGATTAAAAAGGTCAAATCTTGTGTTGTGGACATGAAAAGAAATGTCCAATTTGTGTCAGTCAGAACTAATGTTGGAAAAAGGTTATTTTTTTTCTTATGAAAGCCTTGCCGTGTCAGTCAGCACATTGAAGCATAATGAGATGATGGCATGAATGACATGTTTGGCAGCTTGATCTCTTTGGGCATGAGGAGTACAGTTTTGAAACAGAAGAAGAAAAAGTAGAGGTGATGTTATGTTACGTTAAACAATGACTGATGGTATATTTTGTGACACATCGAGCTTTACAGCAGTTCATATGGTTTTAAAGGGTTAAAACCCAATGTTTACTGCTTCATGATGTCGGTGCGGTGTGTTTTTCTTTGCTGAGCACAAATGTCAAAGTGTTCTTGTTTCACTATCAGGTAACAATGACCTGAAAGCACAAGGGGCTTTGAATCTATGACACACACACACCCTGCAATTACTCAGAGTGTGTTCCATACAATGTATGTCGCATACTGTGAAATTGCTTGCCAAGTTATATCATGCTCATTTCGACGTTGCACGCATCTAGCAACAATGGAGGCAAAAACTACTTTCATACTTGGAGTTGCCTGGCTTGCTTGCAAAAAAATCAAGCATAGTGTTAGTTCAGGCAGGACACAAAAGTCACGCCAGGCTCACAATACATTTATTGATCCTAATGCTAGCCCTATAGATCAGCTCATCACATGTTAGCCTACATATCAGCTTATCACCTCTTTTGCATCCAGTTGGCAAATGTCAAAATGGGTTTTCCAGTTTAACTGCCTCAGTCTTCTTCTGTTGTTTGTCCTCCAGAACAGTTTTGCAATCATGACATTGTTCCACATGACTTCAAACAATCAGTTGCATAAGTCAAATTTTATGCTAGTTGTTGCAGTGTCGTCTGGCGGAACATTCTGATGTTCAATTCTTTATCCCAGTAGGATAAGTACTCCTACTTTACTCTTGCTCCAGCTGCAGTTATGACACTCTCTTAACAAAGTATTTGGCTTAGAACAATCCATTCGTGGTGTTGGGATAAATACCTTTCGGCCATGCAAGTTTCTGCATCATCCAGTGTTTCACTTTCAAGCTGCAAGCTGCTTCCTTTTTGCTGGCCTTCCTCGCTGCAACCTCTCTCGGGAGGAATTATCCTGGTGTTTCACGATTGCACAGGTGAATGAAGCCACAGTCATTGGACCTACAGATCTTTTATAAAATGAACAAACCAGCACCTATTTTCTACAGTAAGTGGTAGATGTGACCAAGCTGATTCCACAAGTGTTCAGTTGGGTCGAGGTCAAGACTGCTGCTAAGCTATTTTATCCTCTCCACTACCAAGTTATGAGATGGGCAAAAAAGTATTCAAGTTTCTTCTTTCTTTCTTTTCCTGGAATAAACTAGAGATAGAGCTAAAGCTGGTTTCACTGGGAAATCTTAAGGCATTGTTGAACAACTTGAGGACGGACGCATGTGGCTGTAGGTGTTCCGCTTGATGTACACACGCCTTTAATTGATTGGGACAAGGATTTAAAGTGAGCAAAATTACTTCAAGATTGGCAGTATCAGATCAAATCTAGGATCAGTAAAGTGTTGTGTAGTGATGTCAAAACAACAACATCAATCTACAGGACAAGGGGTCTTGAGCTGAAATAATCAACTCAGATTAAAATTAGGGCCGCGACATTAACGTGCTCATTGTGATTTATTAATTACAGTAATATTATCTTGTTGAAAACATTAACGCATATTAATCGTACCTACAGAATTTTGCACTGCGGAACGTTTCTCACTGGATGAGTTTCAGGTACTGGCTCATACTGGTGCACCCCAGAGTGAGAGAGTGCAGCAAGGATTCCAGTCCCACCCAGGTACTCGACTCCGAGTACAGAGACCCACACTCAACCCACACTTGACCAGACGAGTGGATTCAGAGCTAAGATGAGTGAGTCCACATCAGAAAAAACAACAAACTCTCTGACTCACTGGATTAATGTGATTAATCAATTACAAAGCCTCTGATTAGTTAGATTAATTTTTTTAATCGAGTCCCAGCCCTAATTTAAGTACAGAATGTCCCTTTAATACAAGAAGGTTCAGTACCCTGTTGTACACATTTACACACTTTCCACGACTGCAAGAATTATAATGTCTTTTTAATGTAATTCCACGCACACACCTCCAAACACTTGAGTCATCAGACATTATGAGTAATTTTGTTTAGTTAAACAGTCGGAGACTAAAACACATGGGATTACCAAACTGTCAAGATGCCATGTATCAGGAACTCATGCTCTATGAAACACCACACATTGGCAGTAAAATATCCCAACAAGATTTTTTCCAGCTGTCTAACTGGTACTTTACCTGTCTGTCTTCCATGTGTGCAGCTTATGAGGGAAGCAGGGCTCCCCTTGTAAGCTGTGCTGAGGAATGCCAGGACAAATTAGATTGCCACCGGCCAAAAGAGACTGCCATGTTTAATGAGTTCCTCGGAAGAACAAATAAATGTTAATGGTGAGCCGCTGTGTAACATCCCTGATCCCCGCTTCCTTGTCTGCTGTTCGGCTGTGTCATGAAAACACAGGGCTGTTGCCAAGGAGATTCCCTCCTCTGTTTAATGAGTGGGGTCTTTGTTTGCGCCCCAGGCTTCAGGTTAAAACTTTTCATCACCCTTTACTAAATATTCACTTCTTGGCAATGCTCAGACGCCGTGACTAGCTCTTATTAAAAAAGTAAGGCCTTCTTCAAGAGTCCAGAGTCAAAGTCAAGCTCAAGGGCAGAAAAAAGGAACACCTCCTAAAGTTTATCATGTTAAACTCACTGCATTACCAGG